AGTGGAATTTGAGGCCCAGCCCTATCAGGCTCGGCCTTTCAGTAGTTTCCAAGCTGAGCAAATTGGGAACAGAGAATGGCAACGCCTACTAATAAAGAGCCACCCCACCAGTGAGTGACCCAGCACTGAGTGCCTAGTGAATGAGAAGGGCAAGGCAGCCTCTCTCACTCGGCTCTCCATTCAGCCCTTTTCACCATTTGCCAAGTGCAAAGGATGCACACTGTGACATCACAAAATGGAATGATCAAGCCCTCTTCTTCAGCATTTAGCTGAGCTGGCAGATGAAGTTCTTGATTGAATCAAGATGGAAACACACAGTGCTAATTTTTCTCATGAGGGCCCCAGCAATGCTGGGCAGAAGGCCACACTGCAGACTTCTCCCCACTCACACTGAAAGCTAGTACCCATGGTGCACTGCTCTGCCTGGAAAAAAAATGGTCTCCAAAGTCCTGCACGTCCCAAAGCCAGGGAAGCAGCAGGTGGAACAGAAAGCACAATCCAAAATCAGGTCTTCCCAAATCAGGCAGACCAGAGGTCTTTAGGCCCACAGAGATCCAGATTGGACAGCCGAAAAGGGGGGCGGGGTTCTTTTCTCCTCTGTTCCAAAAAGGAAATCCACTGATTTGCAGTAGTTAATTTCTAAAAAGGCAAGTCCTGGAGACTCAGGCCTACACCACACAAACCCAATAACTTGGAAGTCCTGTTCTCTAATCCCAAATATTGGGGAGCCTCATGTGGTTATTCTGTAGTGAGGGCAAGACCCTCTCTCCTGTATTATTACTTCACATCTTCCAAGGCTACACACCCTCACGTTGAAATCAGGTTCTGTGCCCTTGGCAAAGTGTGTTAGATTGTGCCCTGACTGACTGGACTAGGTGATCAGACACAAGAGACCCTGACTGCAGAAATAGAATGCCCCTATTCCTCTGTTCTCATGATGAAGAAAGGATTGCAAAGTTAAACCCATACACACAAGTACTAAAGGGGCATTCCTGCTTCTTGGGTAGACACAGGTCACATGCATACTATACATTTAAAGCACATGGCTTCCCACAAAGAACGGTCATTTGCACCTCACAGAGCCACAATTCCCAGCACCTTAACAAGCTAAAGTTCCCAGGATTCTTTGAAGGAAGGAAACCATGTGCTTTAAATGTGCTCTTATGGCCCAGTGAGAAACTTCTACATGAAGCTCTTCAGAAGCAATAAGTGAGGAGGCAATGTACTATGACTATGACTTTATGCTTCTCCTTAAACATTGCTACACTTGCTGTTTCCGACCAGCAAGGGCTGCAGATATGATGAAATTATATATACTGTATATAGAATGCTCAGAGTCCTTGCTCATTAAGCAACCTGGGCCTCTAGCTTGATTACTGCATAGGAAGGATATGCAGATTGGGCAAAAAAAGTCTCTTGGCTACAAAAAAACTGTTTCCCTGGAGGGTTGCTCAAGGCACCCAGAAGTAGGAAGCCGAGGTGTATTACTGACAATTAAAAGCAACAGCAGTCGGCAAAAATAGGCAACAGAGCAGAGATTCTCCTGTAGGAAAGAAAACAGTTTCTTTCCCCTGAGCCAGGAGCTTAGGGAACTGTGAAGATATTTATATACAGTAAGTCGATGGAAATCTGGTTTCCGCTTTGCGCCGACCCAACCAAGCCTTCCTCATGCCCTGCAGCTTCCCTTCTGGTGCCATCAGACAGGCTCTGTAGCCTCAGATCCTCCCATGCCTCCCTCCATCTGTCTCTCCAGCTTCCTCCACAAGATGATGATCTCCTTGTAGGCTGTCAGCCCAGCCCTGCGTTTTGAAGCGCTACCAAATTAGTTCAAGGGGAATTAACTTGCAACCCCCAGCATAGTGATAACAACACAGCTGTACCTTGAGTTCAAGAAATGGAACTAGGTGCACATGCTAAATTACACTAGAACTGTTCAGCAAGTCAATTTCCAATGGGGGGGTTGGGTTTTTTTTGGGTGGGGTAGCATGTGGGTCCCTCCCACCCTGTTTATTTTGGCAAAGGCATTTTTAAAGGTGCATATATATATATTTTAAAATTAACCAATGCAAATAGGAACGGAGCACTCCCCACACCCTTCGGTGTGACCGAGTCGACTCAGGGAAGATGGCCCGACGTTTTCCGTTTGCCTTTGTGAAGTTTTCATTTCCTGGTTTCACTCCCTTCCCGTTTCCACCACCTCTCCCCACCCCTCCGTATCAAAGCTGTTCCCACCAAACCCTGGCAGCCTGCATCTTGCAGGCAGAAAGCCATCGTCAGAAAAGAGGAATTTGAGTCCGTGGTTGCCTTTGTGCTTTCCAATGAATTCCTGTGGATCGGGTCAGAGCGGGCGTACTGGGGCGGGGGAAAGCGGCGAATACCAGCGGAGAACGACACTTCGGTGTGTGTATGTGTGACTGCGTGTGCCTTAAACCGATGGGGAAAGAATCAGCCAGCGGAACAATCTCAGGAACCCCAAAGCCTCCTTAACAATAGCAACTGTTGGCCAAGGCCAGGGCAGGAGGGAACCGACCTCCCCACTCCCTTCCCCGCGCGCACCGCGGCTCTTTTCTTGCAGGATAAAGGGGTGGGGTTGTTTTGGCTGCTAACAAGTGAGTTTTCAGCGGGAGCGAAGGCAGCTCCGGGGGGGGGGAGCAGAGCGAGAGAAAGATACAAATGCGGGGTGGGATCACGCCGCGTAAGAAGCCACTAGGGGAGCCGCAGAGAAGGGGAGGGTGGCCGTCCTTTTCTTACCTACATCTGCATTGCAAAACGCTTGTTGCGGATGCACCGGGGAGCAACTGCAGGCGTCGGCGAGGCGGTCCATCCTTCCCAGGAGCAACACGGCCAGCGAGGCCAAGAGGCTTGGGAGCGTAGCGCTCATCTTGCGGACAGAGACCGACAGAGAGATAGACAGAGAGAGAGAGAGAGAGAGAGAGAGAAGGAGGGAAGGAAGGAGGGGTGGCGGGTAGGCGAGATTTGACTGCTCACTGCTGCTGCCGCCTCATCCAGACACGCGCGCGCGCGCCCGCCTCGATCTTCTGTGCTTCTCTTTGCGTCCTCTGCTGCGGCGATCCCGGGGCGACTCCTGGCGCTTAGGCAGCGGCAGCAGGCAGTCGCGAAAGTTTGGGCTTTGCACTCGGCCTTCTCTCTTGGGCTGGTTGGGGGTTGGAAAAAGATCCCGCCACTGGAAGAATCGGAGCCTCGCAGATCGTAGCTGCTGCTGCTGCTGCTGCTTGCTGCTGCCTTCTATGGAGGTGTTTTCTTCTCCTAGCTTCGGCGAAGCCTGGCTTTTTAATGGGCTCTGGGGATTCGCTGCCCCTCCTCTCCGTGGCACTGGGCCAGAGCGGGCGGCTCGCCTGCTCCCGGCAGCCCTCTTGCGCTGCTCGCTCCCTTCGCCTCCGGTCCCGGCTCGGCTCGGCTTCTGGCGACCCGCGCGAGCTTTCTTTGCTTGACAGCTCCTTCCCTCTGGAGCTCTCCGCTCAGGAAGAGCATGCAGCCCTGTGGAGCGCCAAGCACACGCCTGGCGCTATCGGAGATACAGATTCGTGGCAGCCAACTCCTAGGGGCCGAGGTCCCTTCGCCCTCAACCCACGAATAAAATATTTGAGAGGGCTTCCTCCCCCCCCAAAAAAAGTTGATGGGCATTGACATTTAAATGGTGCGCGTGTGCCACGTCTTGTGATGTGTGGCGAGGCTTACCTGCCCCCCCTCCAATATTTTATTCAAGTTGGCACCCCTGGATATAATATAAAGATTTATAGTATATATAGTAATATATTGATTTATAGTATATAGTTTATCATTGCTAAAAGAGTAAGCGCATACAGCCCTACTTAAAACTTCAATTCCATCTTCATAATGCGAACCTTGTGAAGGAGTGCTAAATTATATATTTGTGTGTGTGTATATATATGATTTAGATAAATTATTTAAGGCCAGGCATGTGCTTGGCGCTCCACAAAGCAGCATGCATTTTCTATAGAGAATAATAGTAGTGCTGTAAAAATGTGACTCAAAAGAGGCTCCGTGAGGAGGTAGCACCCTGCTACACAATATTGGTATTTCGTCTCCATTATTAGTATCCCCCTATAAAACCTGTGAACCCAATATATTACTACTTCTATTCCCTGTAGGTCACTGAGTGCAGCAGAAGAGTTTCCCTCGAAGACCCTCAAATAAGAGGAGGTCACTCCACAATAATCCACAGCAGGGCTTTTAGGGTGGGTGCCCCTGTTCTGTGGAACAGGATCCTAACTGACCCTAATCCAGTGTTTCCCAACCGGTGTTCCGCGGCACACTAGTGTGCCGCGAGACGTTGCCTGGTGTGCCGTGGGAGGGAGGCGGGCGAGTCGGGCGGCGAGAGGCGGGGCGGCGGCGGCGAGGATCCGCGTGCACACTTACGCGGGAGCAAAACCCCGTGAACAAACTAGGGCTTACTCCAGAGTAAATACGGGTAGGATCTGGCTGCAGTTGTACAAGAAGAAGCAATTGATAACGTTTTCGCGCCTTTGGGATTGCCTTCACGCCTTCCTCCTCCCGGGTCCTTGAGAGCGCGGGAAGCGGCAGCGCGAGACCGGCGTTGAGCCTGGTAGGTATTGCGCTTGCCAAGGCAGTCATTTGGGAAATGAAAACTTGCAAAGCAAGCAACCAGTTCAATCTGAAGTACGTGTATGCTTAATATCCTGTATCTGAAACCTGTTCTGCCCCCTCCCCCACACTTGGTGCCATTTTCATCTACACATGCAGCAGAGTAAGTTGACCCAGAATAGTACCAATTCAGATGGGAGAATGACAGTGCTGAATGCTTTCCCATGTAGAACAGTCCCTGCAAATAAAAACCTAGCATATTTGGAAGAGGGATGCTAGCCTAACCATTACCTTCTATGCTGTTACTATTTTTTTATTTTTTTTTTACATAAGTAAAAAGTGACCTTTCCCCATCTGGCGTGGTGTGCCTCGAGATTTTTTTCATGAAACAAGTGTGCCTTTGCCCAAAAAAGGTTGGGAAACACTGCCCTAATCGATAGGACTGGTGTCCACCCCTTGTCCTTTCCAGAAACATTTGGAGATATTTTTGTTTCCACAAGCTTTTTCCAACTCAATAAAAAGATATCTGCCTTAGATTTTCATTCTGTATTGTCTTTAAGCCTAAAGTTGTTGCTTTTCTCCTTTTTTAAAAAAATGCTTTTAAAGCTGTTTTCATGGTATGTTTATAAATCTCCTTCAGTTAAGCATAGAAGTCTACTTATAAATCTATAATATTAGTAATAATGCGGCACTGATTAGCCCACATAAACAGGTTCCTCCTGCCCCCTTCCTTAAATCTTGCCCCCAATATCATTCAGCAAGTCCAGCCAAGTTTTCCTGGCTCCATGTCAGCAGAGAGAATCCCTGGAATAAGCATTTATGTTAATTCAGCAGAGCTAAACATCCAGAAAAAAAGTCAACGGGCCATTCAGTCAGCAAGGATTTATTTATTTATTTAGAGCATTTGTACCTGGCTCTTCAGCCAAAAAGTCTCCCACAGCAGCTGACTTACAAGTAAAACAAGACTGTCCCTAACCTCAGGCTTACAATGTAAATAATAATAATAATAATACACACAAGGGAAAAGGACAGTGATATAGTAGAGGAAAATCAAAATTCAGGCACCAATTTCTAAACAGTTCATATTGACCAGCTGGCACTGTTCAGGTGCAGGAAGTGCCTAAGCTGGTGAAATGAGCCCTATTTATCACATGGAGGCCACCTGATGGAGTGGCTGCCCCCATATGGCAGTTGAGGGGAGAGGAGACCTGATGGAGCAGGCCTTTCACAGCACAGCTGACTGAGTGCTCACTGAGCTCTTCTTCCCAGCTCTCCCAGTGAAGCAGTCTGATAATGGCTGAGGCGAGAGAAGGCCTTTATGTGATGTGAGTGACAGTTGAGGAGAGATAAGTCCTCCGGTGATGTCTTATGTCAGATGTGGCCTTAAAAAAATTAAAAGGCCCAGCCGCTGTTGGCAAGGCAGCCATTGTTGGCAATAGAACTCCCCAAGGCATTCTGACAGGACACTGCCAGAGGAAATATGGCAGAACTGGGCCAACAGTTTCTGAGGGAAAATAATTGAGATTTTTTTTCTCACCTGCCCCCACCTAGAAAAAGGTTACTTTGCGGAATTTTCTCTGAATATTTTCCACAATTTTTGCGACAGCCGCCACTTTTCCTTTCACTGCGACCCAGAAGTACACTAGATTCCAGAATATTGTGCAGGATACAAAAATGGTGACCAGGATACCAGCACAGCTGGTTTTTTGTTTGTTTATTAAATTTTTATGCCACTGTATAACCCGTAGATCTCAGGGTGGTTCATAACATAAAATTACAATTTAAAAACCCCCACAAAATACATGATAAAAATAAGAACAGAAAGAAACCAATAACGCCCCCTTTCACAACACATTTCTCCAGCTGTACCAAAAAGGGGGCTGGGTAGAGAAAGAATCTGTGCTAGTGCCACTAATAATACTGAGTCTGACCACCAAGAAATTATTGGATAATTTTTCCTTCCCTTGGAGAAAATCAGTGAATTGGTCCCTTCAGTTTCTCTACCTTTGTCTTCCCCAGGGGGCTGAGGAAGTTGGTTAATGCCAGCATATAAATGCTAGGCATTCTAGAAGAATATATAAACCAGCTTCACCACTGGGCTACCAAAGTGCTTCCAGATCAGAACGTGAAATTTCTAAACCAGCTTGATCTTTGTTATCAGTGATGAATCAAAGATTTTGAAAATAATCATCATCTGGAATTCCATCAGCTGGTCTACTGCTACCAGCCTTCTAATCCCAGATGTTGGGAGGTATTTATGATTACTCCAGTGAGACAGAGGACTTCTGCACATGCACAGTGGCACCCTGTTTATTTGTTACTCCTTTTCATGTTTTAGGGGTGAACCATGGCCCTGAAAATAGTTTCTGAGGTGAAATGCCATTGAGACCTGGCTCGAATTAAGCTGCGGAAGTTGTTTTCAGCGCTGCAGCTCAACTCTTAAAACATGGTAAGTTCCCACCCTTGTTGTGCCAGATGGAATCTCATAGCAAGAGGAGGAAATGCATTTCAGCTGTTGGCAGCAAGGCAGGAGACTGCCCAGCTTCTTCTTCCAAGTGGCTTCTGCTGCTTTCCAAAATACAGGGATTTCTCAATCCTCAGACCATGAGTCTAGTCACAGAGGAAAGTGAGAACGACATGACCTCAAGAGGCAAAAGCCTCAGATACTATGTTCTAGAGTCTCCCTTTCATAAGCTTGAGAGGCCTTCCCAAGCACTTTAACTAAGTTGAAGTGAGTTGTACAACATACAGTCTTGTATATTCTTCACATGCATAGAGATTCATCTTGGACAGGTTCCAGGTAATTCCACGTAAATTAGGGGTCTGCTATGGCCTGAACATGCTGAAGGAGCAGTGTGTGTGTTGGGCGCTGCATTCCCTATATCTAAGCTGTCCGCAAGCTTCCCCCCTGGTTTCCCCTCAAACAATTCCAAAGAATTAGGGGTACCCTGAATGATGCCTCTTCCTTGCAGCAGCAACTGACTTCCAGTGGTGACTGATGCTCATTAGGACTGGTAGAGCATAAGGTCAGCAGAAATGGAGCCAAAGCCAATGACAGGCGCAAACACAGCTAATTCATTCTGGTTTTGTCCCTATCTTCCTCCCTGCTGAGACTAAGAAAGACAAAGCTGACAGCCAAAGCCACCCCTCTGGACTGGTTGTAAGTAAGAAGGCAGGGGCTGTGGGGGCGGACTGAGGCAGTGCCTCGTTCTCCCTAATAGGCCACCTCCACTGATGGCTTCTATGTTGATGGGAAGCCTGGCCATTCAAGATCAGCAGCATGCTCATGATGAGCATGGGATCCATTTTACAAAAGGAAAAAAATATTCTCCCCCTTTTCTGTAATCTGTTCCTCTCCTTGGGATTCGGGACTGCCCTGAGCTCCTCTCTAACTCACATCTGTTGAAAACAGGCAAGGGCAAACATTGCTGTGTCTTAGCTCTGCTGCTCTACCATGGCACTTCATGTAGACACCAGATCTTGCCCTTTTCCCACCCCATCCTTATTTCTGAACGTGCCAAGGGTATTGACCACTTGGTCCCTCCCAGCCCCCATGTTCTAAATTCAGACCAAGGTTGCCGAAGAGAAGGAGGTCCAGTCGCAGTACAGCAGCCTCAGAATACCCCGGGGATGTGCAGAAAAATTGCAACAGGCGCAGAAGGATCTGCATGAGTGTTTTGACAATGCTAAGGTCAGGAAGCCAGGGTGGAGGCGGGTCCTGCTGACGGCCAGGGAGTGGAGCCGGCTGAGCGCCCAGCAGTGAGTCATGGCTGGAGATAAATGGAAACACATGTGCAGCCATTTGCGGGCTTTATTGCTCACAGCACAGAAAGCGTGGACACTTAGTAAACACAGGCCAAGGGCTGGTCCAATCCTGGAACTCAGACATCTGCAGTTCCCACACCCACTGTAGAACAGACCCAGGCATGGGGTGGGTGGGGGGAGGGAGGGAGCTGTTCTAACCAAATTCTCGGTGCACATCCAAAACATTTTCCTGCCTGAATCAGAGCACGAGTGGGGGGCCCCACCCTGCTAGGGCCAACTCTTTAGAAAGTCCTGCTTTATCATTCAGGCAACAAATTCAGCTTTCATCAATTCCCCCCACCCTATGATGCAATCTAAAGCAGATGGCTTCATTCTGCCAAATGGCAGGGTGAGCCCCACAAATCCCTATACAGTGGTACCTCGGGTTAAGTACTTAATTCGTTCTGGAGGTCCGTACTTAACCTGAAGCTGTTCTTAACCTGAAGCACCACTTTAGTTAATGGGGCCTCCTGCTGCTGCTGCGCCACCAGAGCACGATTTCTGTTCTCATCCTGAAGCAGTTCTTAACATGAAGCACTATTTCTGGGTTAGCGGAGTCTGTAACCTGAAGCGTATGTAACCTGAGGTACCACTGTAATGGTTTCATTCTGGTTTATTAACACTTACATCACACTTTCATAGAAATCCTGGGTTGGGAACCAACCTGGGAATTAAAGAAATAGCATGTTCTAGGCAGAATTGCAGGGTACTACTGGTTCTAGCTGTGTCACTGGAGCGTAGGTGACTAGGAGTGACTATTTCCAGCTATCTCTGGTTTATCAGCTGCAACACTTTCTTGACTTGGATAGCCCAACTACAGTTACCCATCTCCTGTTAAGGCTATTGTAATATCCTCTGTGTTGGGCTATCCTTCAAGATCGTCCAGAAGCTGCAACTAGTGCAGAACAGAGCTGCTAGAGTTTTGAGTGATACAGCAAGGGGAATTCATATAACACCAGTCCTCCAGGAGCTACACTGGCTGCTTATTTGCTGTTGAACTCTGATGTACAAAGTCCTGGACAATTTAAGCCCAAAATACATGAAAATGCACCAGTCTCTTCTCATACCTGCCAGTCCTGGCCTTACGATCTGCAGTGGAGGCCCTTTTTATGGTTCCACAGATAAGCTTTGCTCATCATGTGGCAACCTTGGAGAGGGCCTTCTCTGTGCCCTCTTCCCCCAGCCCTGGACAATTTGTGGAACTCCCATGCCTTGGGAATATAGCTGTGTCCTTCATTGATGAATTTTTGCTGATGGCTCAATATATACTTCTTTATGCTGATGTTTGGGGGACAAGGGTAGGCTTGGGTATTGGAACAATGTCCACTGCTGATTTGTAGTTGGGGGTGGGTGAATTTGATGCTATTGTTCAAATCCATTTTATTGCATTTGTGATGTGTTTACTTTGCTGTATACCACACTATGATCCTATGAGGTAAAGGGCAGTTTAGAAACCAACAACAACAACACATCCAGCTTTCTCAAAATGACTCACCCCTATCCTGGATAAGAGGATATGAAAGTAGTGGCTCCACATAGGGCAGAAAAAATTACAGATACTGCATTTTATTGCAATTTTATAGGTTGGGGGGCAGGGAAACAGGAGGCCATCCTCTGTTTTCCCCCTGACCTACAATATTGCAATAAAATGCAATCACGGCATTTGTGTGTCTAGTGTGGATGAGCAGGTCTCTATTTAAAGGGCTCTGCCTTTATTTCCTGTTGACTGTGGCCTGTAAATTGCCTGTTGAATAGTCTCTCCTTAATTGCCCCAATGTCAGATTCATTTTTTGGGGCGGGGACTTTAATTACTTGCTAATGTCTTGTTATCTTTTCTTTTTTGAGTTTGTAATGATGAAATAACACTATATTACTATTAAAAAAATGAGACCAATAGCCCCCTTCCCACGGCTGTTTCTCAGCAACTGGTACTCATTGGCATGCTGCCTCTGATCCCTATTCAAGAGGCAATTAACAGGCTTTTAATCAGTAATCCTCCAGCTTTGATCAACAGGAAGCAATAACATTGGCAGGGTTTTAATTTAACATTCAAAGGGACCTTTACTGAATAGGGCTTGTAAGTAAACATAGAAGGATCTTGACCAGGAGAACGGCATTGTTGGAAAATAGAAAGCTAAATTCAGTGCTGTGTGGAGCCTCCATTTTGATTCAAGTGAAATGCCTCAGCAGCGTTGAAGGGCTCTGCTGTGGAAGATACCTTAAGAACAAGAACAAATTCTTAATTTTTCTAATTTATCACTAAATATATATTTTTTTAAGTAAATGCATGCCCTCCCCTCAAAAAGTAGGCAAAACATTTTCCTGAACTTTTATGGGGTGGGAGAAAACCAGGCACAGGGGTGATGAATTGATACAGAACTAGGGAAAACTAAGGAAGAGCCCCAGCCCTGGATGTGTTTAGGAGGAAGACTTTTGAAAGAGATGGAAGAGCTCCTCACTCACATGATGGGAATCATGTGCAGAGACAGCCTACATTGTCAGAATATATGAGGGGCAAACGTCCTCAGGACCACTGCTAAGATGTTGCTCCCTTGCAAGGCATTTGTGGCCAATCGGGTTCTCTTTGTTCTTCAGCTTTTGCGGTGCTGCTTTCCTGTTTGAAGTGCTGACAGTGCTCATTGTTGGACTCACCCACACCTTAACCATTAAAGCAACTTTTAAAATGCTGATCGTGCTCAGGAAATGACAAACTTTTTGCTATGTGTGTCGCAAACCACCTCTGAGGGAAAGACGGAAATCCTTATGTGCAACATATAGGAGACATATAGGAAGCTGTCTAATACTGAATCAGACCATTGGTCCTTCTTATTTAGTTTTGTCTACACTGGCAGGCAGTGGCTCCCCAGGGTTTCAGGAAGGAGTGTTTCTCAACCCTACCTTGAGATGCTGGGGATTGAACCTAGAATCTTCTGCACACAAAGCAGACACTATATCACTGAGTTACAGCCCTTCCCCAAGGGGCATAAGAGCATCAGAGGGGAGAAACTAAATAAAAGAAAGAGGTAAGAGATCCTGGCAATCAAACAACCTGCTTCTTTGCAGCCACAAAGTCAGGGGGTGGGTGTCCTATCAATATATATTATTAAACTGCCAAGGGATTACTGTATAGCCAGTAGAATGGACATAAATACAGATACTGATGTGATGTGATGTGATGTGGGATAGATGGCAATTGCACATACAGTTTTTATTTATTTAGTTTTGCTCTTCCATGGTAACTTTACATGCACTTATTTATAGAAATCATTCATGTTATTGTATAAATTATTTAAGGGAATCTGGTCGTATTATCCCCAGCACAGGAGGGATGCCTTATATTGTGGGAAATTCCTCCAGATTTGGAAGCCAGAACTCAGATATAACAAGCAAGGATTTGGCTTGTGTACTCTGATGAGAGAAGGGAACTAGAAGAAATGGTGGACATGGAATCATTTTTCTGACAGCAGGCCACAGCATTGCAAGACAGGCAATGTGCCCAGAGCTCCTTTAAAAGCTTCCAGGTCAAGCAGCCTGCTTCCTGGTCTGAGCAACTGTATGACTAATGCTAACAACCAAACTAGACGTAGTGCTAAACATCTCCTTGGCAAGCATGTAGGGAGGTCAGAGAATTCGAATGGAAACAGGAGTGCAAATGATCAGTGTTCGCTTATTTGCCCCATGTCTGGACCGGAAATCAATACAGCAAACATGATAAATATTTGCTGTTTTCGTTGCTTTCAGTCCACAAACCATATGTAATTGATCACATTCTTTTCCCATTTGCACTGTTTCCTTTGCATTGAAGTGCAGCTTTTCTCCCACAGAGAATCAACTGTGACAGCCGGGACCTCTTCTGAACCAAAGTACAGTAAGACACTTTTCAGTTTAGGTAGGTACTGCTTAAGTATTTGTACAACTGCAAAGCTTAAGTCTCCATGGTATCTTTGCAAGGGAGAAGGATGGGGAGAAAGCTAGAACTGGTCATGCCACTGAGACTTAATTGACCACACACCCCTGACTTCCTAAGAGTCCAGTGGGCATGAGCTGTCACTGTTTCCACCTATAGAAGATGTCTGTTTGTTCACCTAGAGATAGAGCAGCATGAGCAAACAACCAGCTGAAACCAATTTGGCAGATTGACAGTTGATCTCAGACTGAGAAGGCTGAAGTCTATATACATGTGGCTTAATAATTTTCTAGGAAATCTAAAAGTTTTAAATGTTTTAACCCTGCATCTCTGACTTTGACGCTTTTCCACTATGTGAGAAGTTTTATTGCTAGACTGCTGTTCTATATGCCTGAATTTATGTTCTGTTCTGTGTTTCTGAATAAATCTTTCCATTCTTTTACTGCTGCAGTCCTATGAATACTGTACATAGCTGTACTAAGCCCTGGAGTGCTTTACTTCAAAGTAAGCACTGACAGGATCATAGGTGCCGACTCCCTGGGACCCTGGGTTCCTGAGCACCCATAAAGTTCCCCATGAAGGGGCTGGGCACCCACAAATTTCAGCGCCAGGGCCATGCATGTTGCATGGCACCCATGGCCTCAGGCACCCACAGTCGTGGGGCCAAGATGGCACTCCTGGACAGGATTGAAGTACTGTACATGACTACTAGCTTTTCCCTCCCAGCTACATAGGCTTATCACAGATACTGAGTGAAGACAGGGATTCTTTAATTCTACGAGGTTACAAAAAGAAAGAAACTAGTGCCCTTCACAAGGCAAACATACTTTGCACATGTTCAGAGGCACTGCTGTTAGGTCAGTTTTTCAGAATAGCAGCTGACTCTATGGTAAGGTCATCCTGTGAATGCTCAAAGACATTTTTGTCTGAGATCTTTAGAAGAATGGCATAGTGGTGGTTGCTTTTTGGATCACCAAAAATGTGCAGCTTTTAGTGTTGCTACCCCTTTTCTTTGGAATATCATTCATGTTCAGAATCTGCAATTTCTGGAAACAACTGAAGACATTTTTGTTCCAACAGGCTAAATGGGTCTTTGCCATGAGTGTCCACTTCTTAGAGATTTAGTCTTTTTAAAAATGTGTTCATTTTTGTATTTTTAACTGTTTTTAATTGTTTCATATGTAAATCTTATTGAGATGGGGGTTTAGAAGGCAATTAATAAATCAATGTTAATAATATAATAATATTGAAAGCGAAAGTTGGCAACTTGTTTTTCAAATTTTATTAAGAGAGAATCTCAAGCTAGGGGGATATAAAGGGGCAGGGAATGCACATCCAACAGCATGGGGACTTCAATTAATTAGGATTAATTGTAGATGCATCTGTCAAACTCGAGGGTGAATAAAATTACCTATCCACTTTGAATTAGCTCACCATGATATAGATGCTGGCTTGGACTATCAAGACACAATGCTGAATCAACAGTTAAAGAAGCAGCTAGGACAACAATAGAAGCTGAGGTACTATGAGATGTGCCTCAAGGGCAGATTTTGACTTGTTATATATTCTGCCTGCAACAGAGAATCCTAGCTTTTTATGTGTTCAGCTTGTAACTAGGACGCACCACAACAATAAAACCTGAGTAGCGAGTTGGGCATGGGAAGAAGGTGGCACTGGGAACCACGGCCGTACCATTTTGAAAACTGACAATACCTGCGATATAGGAACTTTGGCAGAGCAAGAGTGCTTTGTTATTGTAATGGATGGTGTCATCAGAAGAACCTTCCAGTGCAAGATAGCTAACAGGGGTAATGTCTGAGGAAGAGCATGTACCATTTTGGTGGCTTTGTTCAGGGCTGTGGTAGTTGAAGGCCCAGGTTATCTTCTGCATCTTGAAAAGAAAGCTAGGGTGCTTGTTTGTTTCAAGTTGCTGGGTGACTTGGGATCCAAGAAAATACTGCTGCAACAAGAAGCCATAGCTTAGGTGCATGCTCCAAGTGGGCTCAGTGTAAAAACGAGGGATGTGTGAATCACTTGTGAGGTCATGGAGCTTGTACTGCTCTAGGAATCTGAGTGGCACTGTGTGGAATTCAAGAGCCTCCATAATCTTCCTCTGGAAAATATTCTTATAAGTCTCATAAATGGTCAGGTTGAACTGGAGCTCCAGCAGCTGCTCTGGCAAAAGCATAGGAAAGCGGATCTTTTCCACGTGGCCTTCCTTTATTTCATTGGTATGAGCCCATTGGTCCAGAGCTTTCAGCAGGGACCATTCATTCTGAATCACAACATCTGTACGGGACAGCAGGGCCTCCATCATCTCTGGCGTCAGGGCCAACCAGGCCTCAGTGCGAGTCAAGGCCTCACAGTTCCAGGCTAGGTGCTGCATGGTGAGATCCTGCAGCTGGGCATCTCCACTGGCCAGGCTGTAGTTGTACAGCTTCAGGTGAACATGAAAAGTGGGGTCCAATGGAAATAAGTTGGGGAAGACCTGGATGCAGTACGCTTGCAGGCTTGGAACTCCGTAGGCCAAAGCCAGCTTGTGGAAGCACTTTACTGAATCCAGTGTCACTCTGATCTGCCGCGAGTAGAAGTACCTGCATGAACAGAAGGAAACTTCAGAAGTGAGATAATGGCTATACAGCAGCTGCTTATTTTTATCATGATGGGTTTTGAAAGAGAAAGACTCAGGACTTTGAAAAGAATGTTTGTGGTGCCCCAAATCCAAATCCAAGCAATAGAAAAAAGTGAGGACTTATTGACATGCTTAGTTTTCATTACCTTGCGACCATAAGGAGAAAGGGGAAGGCAACAAGCAAGACCAGTGTGATCCACTAGATCATTTATTACAGTTAAGCCTGTAACTTAGCTGAACTAGATTCAGTCTTGGGGGTAAGCCCCACATTACATGCAAATACCTGAAAACAATCCCAGCCCCCACCTGACACACAAAGCAGAGATGCTGGCCCTTACACAGATGTTTTTCTGTGCCCTTCAGACTGAACACATTTTGCAGAAGCCTTTTGAGGTGCTTCTGTTGTCTGAGTGAGTGCTCTGTTTTAGATCAACATAGTGAAGGAGCTAATAGAACAGTGTGCTCTCCTGTATGGCTCAAATACTGCCCATTACAGCCTCATGTTGATGCACAGAATGCATAGAAAGTTAGGAGAATCAGACTTGCTATGTCAAACCCTTGCTATTCTTACCTGAGGAAGCTGTGCACATTGGGCAGGCACTCTTCATCTACCTTCAGTGTGCTTCCTTGGAGAAGAAGGCTGGCCTCACTGTTTGTACGAAGAATCAGTCTATGTGCACACAGACTCAGGACTTCAGTGTTGTTATCTGCTATCAGCACAGTGATGTTGAGGTCACAGTCCTGCTGGCTGTCATACAGTTTACCAAGGTCCTCAGGAAAACCTCCAGAATGATCCAGGAAAAACTCAGTTTCTGGAATGATGGAAACAAAAATGAGTCATGGGGAAAACAGAAAACCTCGCTGACCATGAATTTGCAGTATAATATGCAATAAGCAATAGCCCCACTCCAAAATGAGAGAGAGGGTTATGGAACAATAGCAGCAGGGAAATTACTTTACTTGTATAAATAAAAATGTATGGAATTAGTTTAGGTGTATTGCCAAACAGTGATAGCCAGCATTTGGCAAGCACAATGGAACTTCTCTTCCCCTTTCATCATCACCTCTGTTGGGTCCCCCAACCTTCTGGAGTGGATTTGAGGGTATGGGGGGGCTGCAGGGGTGAGGAGAGGAAAGGGAATTCATGTTGCATGGAGGGGGGGATCTGTTCCATTGGCAAACAGGTACTTTTGGCTGTCACCCAAAAGCATCTGAAAACTGCAATTATGAACAACAGACTGACATAGCAAAACCAGCAGGGCTAGGTTTGAACTGGTACAGCAAGGTAGTAGTAGTTCTACCTGGGCACCCCCTATCTGAAATTGGGTAAATTTTATGCTCCCTGCTGCCACCATTGACACCTGTGACCCTAGGATATTTTGATGATACAGCTAACCACATCACACTGAGGACTCACTCTTGTTACACACCACTCCTGCATCCTCCCCATGTCCGCAGTTGTGTGACAACCAGCCTTGAGATCTACATTGTACAAGAGACTTCTCTGTCCCATTACAATCGACATCATCTAGAAGAATGGGACCAAGTCCTGTGAAGAAAGCAAACACAGCAGTCTGTCACACCAGAGATAGGGAGTAGAGAATAAGGTAGAACTTTTTGTTTTAACCTATAGCAATAAATAATAGCCCCATGCTGTAGATTGCAGAGAAAGAGAAAGACAATTGACTTGATATAGCCCACTGCTAATATTGTAGGTCAGAAGTGGAGCTGAGGCTTGTATTAATTTCCAACATACAAAACATGCCTCCAATTTACAGCAAAGATCAATTGTGCTCAATCATTCCCCAGAGCCAGAGCTCAGTTGCATGCTTGTCATGCTGCACTGACTTGGATGCAGAAGCATTGCACTCTTAAACGTTTAAAAACTAAAAATAAACAATTGTTCTCACAAAATAAGAGTTAGAGATCTATCTATCTATCTATCTATCATCTATCTATCATCTATCTATCATCTATCTATATCTATCTATCTATCATCTATCTATCTATCTATCATCTATCTGGCTGGTGCATTTATATACCCCTTTTCAAGCAACGTGCCTAACAGCACATTACAATGAGAATTTAAACATTTCAAAAGTGGTTAAAATACTACACAATTAAAATTCACAACAAAACAGTCCAAGGATGCTTCCAGACTGCTGCATTTTTGTGAATGGGATTCAATTGCATATTGGCAAATTCAGACTGCCCAAATAACAGGCGCTCTTGCACAATAAATCCCCCATGGACTTTTTGTAGTAAGGCAAGTGATTGGAAAAAGCACTGGAAAGCATGAAATAACAATCACTTAGAGCACCATTGTATAACCTTCCCTCAAAGAAATCACAAATACTTAGATAAACTTCTGGCATTGTATAACCTCCATAAACTTTTTGCAAACAAATCATTATCAGTGCTCAATAAATGTGCTGTCTGGAAGTGCTCTAAAACAAAGTACAGTGGTTTTGATTCCCGAATCTATTCGAAAACCAAGGCGCATCTTCCAGTTGGCTGCAGGAGCTTCCTGCAGTCAAGCAGAAGCCGCGGAAGCTGCGGAGGATGTTTGGCTTCCAAGAAATGTTCACAAACCAGAACACTTCCTTCTGGGTTTGCGGCGTTCGGGAGCCAATTTGTTTGACAACTAAGCCGTTTGGGAACCAAGCTACCACTGTACAAAATTCAAGATGCAAAGAGTAGCATTCAGTTATAGAAAAAAAAGCCTAGGTGAAAAAGTATGTATTAATTGGCAGCAAAAACTCATGAGACCCCACAGATTGTATCTTGGAGGGAAGGGAGTTCCATTGGGAGGAAGAGGGGGGCTAAATTGAGGATGAGAAAAGAATGGGAAAGGTCCCATACAGACAGGGGCTCAGCCTGTTTCCATGTCTCCATTGAAGGACAGCCCATTGCCTCCTATGAGACAGCCTGTTCTACTGTCCAACGGCTCTTATGGTTAGGAGGTTTCTCCTAATGTTAGAGAATATTCACTTCTCTGTAATTTCCACCAATTGGTTCTAGTCCCAGTTTTTGAGGCCACAACAACAAAAATATGTTCCGCCTTCTGTGTGACAGCCCTTCTGATTTTTTGAAGGCCACTACCATGTCTTCTGAAGACAGGAGTGCCTGGCGTGCTCTGGTCCATGGGGTCACGAAGAGTCAGACACGACTAAACGACTAAACAACAACAACCATGTCTTCCTATAGGGTGGTGTTTAATCAAAGCAGACTAATTGAAATGAATGGACCCTGCTTAGTCATATTCATTAATTTCAATGGGTCAGCTCTGAGTAAAACTTAGTTGAATACCATCTTTAATCTTCTCTTCTCCAGGCTAAACACACCCAGGTAAATTAGGATTTGGGTCTAGGAAGCAATGGGGCAGGGTAAAGGAAACAGTAGCGTACATACACTATTCTTCTATATCATAAGGGATGAAAATCTGTATTGTACCTTGCCCGTATGCTGCCCCTTGCTTTGCTTCTACTGCATTTATGAAGCCCAGGGAACGGCAGACCACGTGTGCATCCATAATATCCCAGCCATCGTCACATACTGTCCCCCACTCGCCATTATAGTAGATCTCCACACGGCCCTCAGTGAGAGAGTTTCCCTGAGCCAGCCGGACTGCTCCATCATATAGATCTGTAGTAAGTAGATGACACAAAAGTGAAAGGCTAACAGAAGCAGACTACAAGCTACAAGAAGAAGCTTGAGGTGCCAGAGAGCTAGTCACAGCATCCTTGAATTGAACTGAATGGATACCTCTCTACTCTGCCTTCCTCTACCTATTCTGAAATTGTGGGACCTGATTCTATTTATGAGCACGGATGGAATTCTAGAGCTGCTACTGTGAATTAAGTTTTTTTTTTTTAAAGGAAACAAAATTCAGAATCTAATACATTGCACTAATTTCTTGGATCAGATTTGGATGACAGAACTTCCTCACATTTAAATGTCAAAATCAAAATTTACATCGCAATTCAGTGTATGTTTCTCCATGTCGTTCTAGAGGACATTTAACAACTGCTTAAGAATGAATAGGGTTAGTCAAAAATTTACCGAATGGTACTGCAAGTCAGCTGTTGTATACTGTCAAATGCTAGCTGCTCTTGTATATCAGGCACTGTCCTGGATATGTATGCAGATATTTATTATCTAAATTCACACAGAAAAACTGGAGGCTGGAATTAACATTCAACAGTTCTAACAACTCAAGACTATCCCAGTAAAAGTATCGGTAAAATTGTGTGAGCAGGAGGAGGGAAAGGTTAGCTTCGTCAGTTATTCTGGGAATAACCCAGGCCCATTAGATGTATGGAAATAATCTGGTAGATAAAAACTATTTCCAGATATGGATCTGCTTGGTATGCCCAGGCTCAAGTCACATGGGGCCTCCTGAATATTTTGATCTACACACACACCTTTTACGTATAGAGAGAAATAGTACAATATTTGTGCAATACAAGGTAACTCTGTTTTGGCTTTTCTTGCCTTCCCCCTCTCTCTATATATAAAATACATGGATAGCACATGTATAAAAATACATAAGCAAGCAGTGGTTTCATGCTGAGTGTGCTAGAGATCATTCGACAGAAAACTTCCATACATTATTGCATTAATGTTTGGCATTAATGCTGTATTTAATTATTGGGAAGGAGTTTCCTAGTTAATGGAATTCAAACAAATGTCAGCTTTCATGCCCCCTCTCCCACAAGCAATAGAAAAAGTGGAGGGGGACCTAAGTCAGGATGGATAACTTCTGGCCCCAAAGATATTTGTTGAACTATAACTCCCATCACCCCCAGCCAGCATGGCCAAAAGTCAGTCATGATCAGAGTTGTGGTCCAGCAACTTCAGGAGGACCACAGGCTCCACAGCTCTGAAACAGGTTCCTATGCAGGTATGATCCATAGTTAATAGAGTCCTGCCACTGTGAGAAAGTCTGGATGGAACAGAACTGCCTGGTTTTTTCTTTGAAAGCAACACAAGCCAAGACATGCAGTCATACAGCCAAGAGTCAGGAACCTGTCTGTAGCTTTGTCCCATTCCCAATGGCCATGAAAGCTGCTGTTGCTTGAACAGAGAAGGATCAGAGAGCCTGAGGACACAGAGACACTTACAGAGTGAGTCATCTAAGCCAGAGCATAACAGACAGAGAATTAGCAGTCCAGATGTAGTCCTGTGCAGCCAACCTGAAGGAGAGAGAAACAACATTACCTACTTTGTAGGATCATAGTGTTTGACCAGAATCTAAAGTACATGGGAAGGTCCAGCTCAGCCCAAGGGGAGAACCTCAGACTGGAAGGAAAGTGTGTGTAGAGGCCAAGAATGCCCATTGTTACCAAGGAAGATTTTATTCCCCAGCTTACAACATTTTCAAAGACACGTTTTACCAATTTGGGCAAAATTCTCAGGTTTCTAATTAATTAATGCAGGCACATCCACACATATGGATGCATTCTCAGGAGTTGCATTTGCAGCAAACAGCATGTACAACCCTAGCAATGCACCCTCTTTCATTTACCCTACTCATTCATAGTACTGCTGCATCAGAGTGCAGAGGAGGAGGTTTTCATTTGAAGAGCTTCGCGCATGGCAGGTGTGTAATAAGAAACTGCGGGCAGCCCTGTTTAGGGAGGTTTTTAATGTTTGATGTTTTATTGTGCTTTTAATTCTGTTGGGAGCCGCCCAGAGTGGCTGGGAAAACCCAGCCAGATGGGTGGGGTATAAAGAAGAAGAAGAAGAAGAAGAAGAAGAAGAAGAAGAAGAAGAAGAAGAAGAAGAAGTTGTTGTTATAGATCCACACTGGCAAGAGGACCAGAATAGTGGCTGGCAGCACAACACAGCTTAAAAATAACTGTATGTACTTTCTATTTCTATTTACCTATATAGTTCAGCACTGTTCAGGAGAAAGATTTCACTTCGGACAAATATGTTGAGTCCACCCCTAAAATATGGTAGTGAACGGAAGAAGATGAAAGAAGTATTTCCCCCCTCCATAGACTCAACACTTCCCTCTCATGCTGTTCCCCCAGGCTCCCTACACCAGCAACCACAAAACATACAGGAGTTCCAGCTCCTTTTCCAGTACACTGAAAGTTTCAGAAACTTGAGGTTTCAGTGAAAAGATTAAGTAAAATTATTCAAGCAGAGGTTGCAAATCTAAAACAGTGCACTCTGTAGCAGGGCAGTTATGACTTTAGTGACATGAATGGCTTATGCGGTGTTTTTACATGTCCCTGCTACCTGCTTTAGTGCTCCAACCAGAAAGCTCAGGCATAAAGCGGAAACTGGTCCCCATTTGCCAGTTTGCAATTTTGAGTTCCCTATTTGAGTTCCCTATTTGATTCAAAGGCACGGGTGCGGTCTGAATAAGTAAACAGCATGTCAGCACCACTGCACTACAGAATAAGCTTTGGATTGCCTTAAATCATAAACCAAACTGACTTACAGACTGTGCCCAAACAAGATGCCACCATACTTCATAAAACTCAAAATTCATGCTGAGTTTTATTCAGACTGCACCATGCATTTAAAGCACATTTAATGCACATGGATTTTCCCCAAAGACCCCTGGGAACTGTAGTTTGTTAAGGGTTGTGGGAATTGTAGCTCTTTGAGGGGAAACTGCAGGAATCTTGGGTGGGGTGGGGTGTCATGTGCACTCTATGTGAATCTGTCCTGTATCTTTGCATCACATTACAGAACTTGGATATGCAAAAAAACAATTGGGAAACAACATTATCCTTAAAGCACATACCTCTTTTTTCCTGGGGAGCACCACTGCAGGGAGCAAGCAAGGCAGATTTCAGGAAGCACAAAAGTTAGCACATCCCACAGGGAGATTCGGGGTTATCAAATTTAGCCACCTGAACTGTTCCAGGAGACTTCCCTCTGGAAGCACAGGTCCCAGAATTAGCTGCTACTTGTAGGTCTGTTCTTAGCTGGGGGAGATCCAGGGATACTGAAAACAAGACCTGCAGAGCTATGGATGGGAAGAAGTCTTTGGCTTCAGATTGGCTCATAAACAACATTACTGTCTTCTTTCCACTGCAAAGGAAGGCAGATATTTTTCTCAGCCTAGACCTCTGAATTCTGAAATGAAGGGGAAGACATGTGGTTGCTATGGTGACTAGGCATTGGCCAAGCTGTGGCACAATGGACCATAATGTGAAGAAGGTACAAAGTTGGTTTTTTGAAAATTGTGTCTGGGCCCAGTGTAGTCTGATAAAACCTCAGGAGCACATCACTTGTTAAGTTCCTGCACATTAAAGAAAAGTGGTATGATTTCTGCCCCATCATGGCATTTATCAGTATAGAACCAATTTTTAGTTGTGAGTAAAGGACAAATGAAAGGAACCAATCAGCAAACAGGGAAAGATTTTTGGGATTTGGGGGAGCTGAGGGATACGTCACATTATTCTTCACAGAACTCCGTCTTGGCTCCATCTCTATTTCACGCAAGCAGGTTTTGTCCCCTGATTCTGCTCTGGCTTAGGTTTTCTGTGCTGAATTTTCCACTTACCCAATGTTGACAGCGCTGTTTAATCTTTGGGAAGATTGTTACTTCTCTACACAGCTGCGTTTTTCCTGAGCTACTGCCTATGGACAACTTTGCCTAGATTTTATTTTTATGGGTTACTTCTATAGGTTACTTATTTTTTTCCTGGGTGAGGTTTAGACTTCATTATTTTATTTTTGAAGCTTTTCCTCCTCCTCCTCCTGCTCCTCCTCCTCCTCCTCCTCCTCCTTCTACTTCTACTTTAACTAAATTTCTATTTGCATGTTTCTGGATCCTATACCCTGACACCTGATTGAGCTCACATTCAACTAAGACCACAGGAGCCTGTTTCCTGGAATTCCACTCTGGACTCCCTAAAACTAAAAGACCATGTAGTTAGGAGGTGGGGAATATAGGAAGCTATATATAGGTGTTCTCGAAGCTACAAATATGAGCCTGACCAAACTGCGGGAGGTAGTGGGGGACAGAGGTGCCTGGCGTGCTCTGGTCCATGGGGTCACGAAGAGTCGGACATGACTAAACGACTAAACAACAACAATATATAGGTGTGCTAGTGTGTGATTTAGCAAGGGTTAATTGGAGTTAATTTTAATCTTGCACACTGTAATCCTTGCATGTAATAGCCATTTTATCTGATATTTTAATACAGTTTGTTTCACACTTTATTATCCCATGTAACCATTGTACTTTATATTACCTGTATATACTTCTTATTTACCCTCCCCCAAGATTAATTTATGTATATGGTCCTCTTGATTATCCTTTTATATTATTTGTGGATTATGTTCACATAATTATGCATTAATAAATTGAAATGCATTTGCTGGTCTTTTGCTGATGCATTTTAAATGGATTTTCCAAACTGATTTTATCCTCAGTTCACATCTGGTCACACACACCTTGCCCATCTGGGGCAATTTCTGGGCCCTTGCTATCTATGCCACCTAGCTTTCCTCGTCAAATTCTTGTACTTACCCTGGAAGATGCTGGCAATTTGGAAATGCATCGTTGGCCTTGAAGATCTTCTGAGAAAGAGGAGTGAGGGCAAGGATGCAAAAGAGTTCTGAAACTGCCCTTTAAGAAGGAGTAGAGGAGGAACAGAAAGTTTCTGTTTCCTATCCTTCAACTAAGTTTCTATAATGCATTGCTGACAAATACATAAAATGTTTCTGGAGAATTTCCTCTTTTGCATTCCCCAAAGATTTGCAAAAAATACAAACATATTAGAGGTTTTGCTGAGGTCTTCAAGACCCAAGATACCAGATTCGTTTCCATTAGTTACTGGTGTTCAAATCGTAACACAGAAGCAGATTATTTAAACATGCTGCACCAGGAGGATACTGCAAATAAATATTCTTTTCTTAGGGACAGCTTATTTTGCAGGTGTGGGCATACATCCATGTTTCAAGTATTAAGGGTTTAGATGGTAAAGTTGTGATAAGAGAGGTCACTTTGTAGGTATTAATTTTTTCAGATAGTTTCAGGTCTGCGCCCTTGATTAAAGATACAGTTTCTAATATGGCAGCCAGATAAATATGTAGCCCTTTGGTTGGTTGCTTTGCTGTTAAAAGCTTTTCTGTATCATATAGGAGGATATAGGAGAATTGCAAGGGTGGGGTATTCCTCTGTGAGGAACGCAGGTCACACAACTGCAAGGGAGTACAGTGAAGACCTTAGATGGCACATCTCTTAATGCTCCATGAAAGGATTCTTTCACAATTTTCGCAGATGATGGCAAAACTCTGATGAAGATAAGGCTATTGATAAGACAAATTTATGGAAGATAAGGCTATCAAAGACCACTAGACATGGTAGCTATGTACTTCTTCCAGTGTCAAAGGCAGCATGCTTCTGAATGCCCATTGCTGGGAATCCCAAGTAGGGCAAGGGCTGTTGAACTCATGTCCTGCTTGTGAGCTTCCCATAGGCATCTGGTTGGCCACTGTGAAAACAGGATGCTGGACTCGATGGTCCTAGGGCATAACGCCGCAGGACATAATAAATGTTCTTATCTATTCTTATTCTTCTTTAAAATTGTAAGTCAGCTAGAAAGACAGGAGCACCAGGCTGACAAAGAGTGTCCTTTGCCAGTCTACTTCAAACTTCCAATTCATGTGAAAATCTGAAGGGGGCAAGAAAGGAAACTGTGGAGACATTACATCATTTTGGCTTGTGAATCTTACGGAAATGTTGTCTTCAGTTTGAGGGATAAAAGCTTGTTTGCCCAACAAAGTTATATATCTTAACAGTGCAGTTTATAACATCAACCATAACCCAAACAACACAACATCCTAAGGGTATTTCAACAAGGTTAACCTATTTGTATTCCAGAAAAATAGTGTATTCTAGAATCAAGTTATTGTTAATTATGTCATTTGACAGAATTTCACACTGGCGACAAAGCCAATTACCCCATGAGCTTCCTGACATACTTCAGTAGTCAGATCAGCATTTATAAAACCCAAAGAACTGACTTTTCCTGAATGTTCAACAACAATTGCAGAAAAGGTGACGAATGCCCAGATTGTCTCAAGGAAGAAGTTCAGAAGCATGGGTTTCCTCAGGATTTTTTTCAGGTTGTTAGGCAAAATAAAATACTGGAAGGGGGGGGCAAGCTAGTTTCTCACACAGAAAAACTAGAAGACTGGTGCCTGCACATTTTGCCTTATAACTCAGGTTCTGCAAATGCTAGAAACTTCCTTTTTAAAATGAAAGCTGAGAATCTGGAAGTTCTAAAGATTTATTAAAATTTTCTGAAATAGTATTATGGTCAGGTAGATCCTTGCCATGAGGTTAAAAAACCCTCTCTCACCTTTTGTGGGAAATTTTGAAGAGAAGGGGAAATAAATGTATTTTTCTCTTTCTTTTTGTATCTGTGGAGAACCCCACCACACCCCAAAACTCACAATATAACAAGAAAGAGCTCAAGTTTAGAAAGCGCAAACAGTCTTGAACTCAAGCAATGTATAACAAAGTAGGGAAAGATTTCAATAGGAAACGGTGAGGGTGAATAGTCTTTTTTATCTCTCCCCTCCCCCTGAAATCTCCCCCCTACACACACACACACACACACACACACACACTGAATAGCACCCTAATGTTCTTGTTTGAGGCTGGTTGGAGCCCAACATATATCGTAATGTAGCATGTCCCCATTAGTACAGTCAAAATAAAATGCAGTTTAAGAGATGCCATTTTTTAATGCACAAATGCAATTCTGTTGCACATTAGGAGTGATTATTCTGGATTAATGAAGTACAGTACAATATTGTGATCTTGGGTCCATGGGTTCTCAGTTCCTCAGTCAAAACAAGGTCTCAGCCTGATGCTTCAGCAACAGAGGTCCACAGATTGTTTTGCAAATGTAACTGACACTGCTCAATTGCAAACAAAAAACAGCTAGACATGTTCTATTTAAGTTTTCTGACAATGTTCTGTTTATAAAAATGCTATCAAATCTTGTTCTTAAAAGTAAATGCTAACGCACTGATCTGATGTGGCACGTAACACTATTGAACCACCTCTACCCCCCACCAAAGACTGGTCCTTTCAGATAAGATTGAATGATCTCAAGACTTGGTTTTGCTACACGCAAGTGCTGCCATCTAGTGATTAGCCTTTCATAAACTCATCCTTTGTCATACTATCATACTAGTTTATGATATAAACCAAAAGTATTGTGGTGGGGTTATTTTGGAAACATCCAACTTGGAAAAGCCCCACTAGGATGTTATATTCCATGTGCCCGAATACATTTTTACACAGGGGAAGTGAGGCTGTATCTTTGTAGTAGAGCATGATTTGCACACAAGAAAAGCCAATGGCCCATCTACTCCAGCATCCTGCTCCCCATAGAGGCCCAACCAGATGCCTGTAGGAAACCCACAAGTAGGATTCAAACAAAAGAGCACTCTTCCCGCCTGCAGTTTCCAGCAACTGGCATTCAGAAGCATTGCTGCCTCCATGTGTGGTAGCAGAGCCTCGCCATTGTGGCTAGTAGCCTTCGACAGCCCTCTCCTCCATGAATTTGTCCAGTCCTCTTCTCTGCTGGTGGCGGTGGTCACTGCCTCCTGTGGCAGTGAGTTCCATAGTTTAACTATGCACAGAATATCCCAGGATCAATCCCTGGCACTTCTAAGTAGGATTGGGAAATATCTCCATGGCTGATCTGGTGGCGTAAGATAGCCTTGCTATGTTATGGGTGATATTTTATTTATTCATCCTGTCAGGTCCTTCCTCACTTGCACCTTCCATCCTCCCCAAATCTGTTCTGAAGGGTTGGGGGAACCCCTAGAACTGACTGAGGGGGCACAGGAGGGAGGAGCCTTGCTGCGCTAGTGGTAATCCATGCGCTGATGGGACCCTGATTTAGCTCTACAATGGATAAAGCCACACACAGAAATACACACACAAAATGGCAAAGTCTCCAACTATATACATTATGACATAAACCAAAGGTCACTTGGGGTTTATTTGGGGTACCTGAAGCCTCTAAGTTCATTCATAAGACTTGGCGTTTCTTGCATACACGTTCAAAAACCTATCTGTTAGAAAATAGGCACCTAATATGTGTAGTTTACTGCCCTATAGCGTTGTGGTCTACAGGAAAATCATCAGAGCATTACTACAATCCATAAGGTGCTTTCAGGTAGGCAAAACCATCACAAGCTCTTGGACTAGAAAAGCTCTTGATAATTTATTGAGATACATAACACGTTACTAGGGCTGATGTTAATGCTCAGGACCACATGCTCTGTCTTATCACACGTGGAGAACAAGGAATGCCAAATGCAGCAAGAATAAACTAGGACACTTTATTCCAATTGTAGTACTCCAATAGGATGCTGGCTTCCTGACCTTGAACTCCACTCATCTTAAACCAAAAAAAAAAAAGGGGGGGGGAAAGGAAAATCCAAATGAGAACTTTCTAATAATGGCCTTAGCAGTGCAGGATTACTGTGTGCAATGGACAAATCTGAGTCCATTTATTCCAGTGGGGCTACTCTGGGAATGACTTGGATACAACAAACTGCTGAAAAGAAAACACCTGGGCCTAGATGGGTCGGCAGTCTGAGTATGGCTTTATAATCTACCCTTTTTGGTTCACACCTATATGGAGTCTGGGGTATCTCAAGATTAGGAACTACACGGAGCAGCTAACGGAAGCGATCCCTTTGCTGCAGCCACAAGGGGGCTGACCGCAGAGCACCCTTTTGCTCCAAACAGTTTCCCCAGCTCTCTCACCCCCTCTACTGTTATCTGACATACTCCAGACCAGAGGTCCAGGTCTCAACAGCAATGTCTAATCATAAAGAAGTACCCATCTAGCCAAGGTCCAAGGCTACTGTGGGGTGGAGTGGGATGGGTCAAGGAAGACCCTTCGGGTGACTGAATAATAATCCTGCTGGACAGCCAAGTGCTAAGGTTTCTCTTTCCTAACAAAGGCACATGTGAATTGTAGAAAATAGAATAAAGTGAAGGGATAGGATCAAGCCAATTGCTCACGTACGTCCTGCCAGATCACCAGGCTAGTTGAGTAAAGCAGGAAGGAGCTGGACTGAAACCAAGGGAGTTCCTTGCAGGGTGCAATGAAGCCAAGAAACGAAAAACTGCAAAGGCGCTGCCCACCCTGCACCACTAGGGGTCCGCACAGAAACAGGCCCACACTTGCAATAAACCAAGTTGCTTTTATAGAAGTGAAAGCTATGCCATGAAAGAGCACTTCAGAGTCCCACCATGCTTTGCAGCCGAGCCAGAATTAAGAGGGGAAATCCCGGGGCACATCCTCCTGCCCCATCCCCACACCCAGCTCATCCGCCTTGTCTCCAAAGCACCCATTCAATCCATTAGATGAACTCAATGCCTTCATATTTGACGGAACCGATACGAGTTTCAGGCAGAAGGCAACGCCCATCCAGCATGAAGGCGGTGATGTACGTTGCCACCTGCCCAGCGTCCTCCTCAGATTTCAGTGCCACAATGATCTGGTCATCCGTGTCAGGGACAAACTTGAAGGAGGAGAAGCCGTGGGTGGGGATGACGTCGCCAACACGGCTCACAGTGATGTCGGCAAAGTCCGGTGCGGAACTAAGCAGCAGGTTGGTGCCGCAGTGCTCGTCCTCCTGCTCGTTGTAGCGCCCGTGGCTGGCGCGGCGCGGCAAAAAGAACCAGCGCTCGAGTGTCTCGCTCCAAGAGGCAGACTCGTGGATCAGGTAACCTGGGAGGGGCGGAGCAAAAGTGAATGTCAAGCAGGGAGTCGGGCCAGGGGCAAATACAATGAAGAAGAGTTTGGATTTGATATCCCACTTTATCACTACCCAAAGGAGTCTCAAAGCGGCTAACATTCTCCTTTCCCTTCCTCCTCCAAAACAAACACTCTGTGAGGTGAGTGGGGCTGAGAGACTTCAGAGAAGTGTGACTGGCCTAAGGTCACACAGCAGCTGCAGGTGGAGGAGCGGAGACGTGAACCCAGTTCCCCAGATTACGAGTCTACCGCTCTTAACCACTACACCACACTGGCTCTGAAGCCACAGCAGGCAAAGGGAAAGAGAATGGGCATTATTATTATTATTATTATTATTACATTTGTATACCGCCCTTCATCTGTAGATTTCAGGGCGGTTCACAACATAAAAACGCAAGCTAAAAACACAGAACACATAATAAAAAAAAACCTTTTCACTACAAGCTAACCCATAATGCTTGTGGCAGCAATACTGCATGAGTGCATCCCTATCATCAGTGATGTGAGTACCCCAAACACACTGGAAGATGGAGGGAATGAAGAACTGAGTTTGAAGTGGGCATATGAACCGGTGGTAAGTTCACAGATACAATTTCCGTCATCTCCAGTTAAGCCACCTGGGAAAGATCTCTGTCCCAGACTCTGGAGAGTTACTACCAACATTGACAGTGAGTAGGGCCAGCTGGACCAACAATCTGTCTCCACATAAAGAGATATGCTTCTGGATCTATTCACAGGAGATGAGCGAATAGCCACATCAGGCAGCAACCTGCTATAGGTGCATGATCACAGTGTTTATGAACGTGAAAATGAAGCCCTTATTGCTTTTCTCTTCCTCTCTAGGCAGACCCATATCATGCCTCCCCAAATTCCATACCCGCTCTGACTTCCCCTCTGTCATTCACCAATCCCATCTATACGAAAAACAAACCAAAACCTAGAGTGCTCAGAAAGTCCAGAAGCAGAATGACACAGGTGCCAGCATGTTTCTTTTGAACCAGTTCTTCCAATCCAAGAACCTGCCCACTGCTCACCTGGGGGCTTGATCCCCGCCGCAGTCCTCAGTGCGTTGTATTTGGCCACCCAGTTCTCGTGAGCCACGTCACCTTTGTAGCCAATGACTTTCACCCACTCGGGGTTCTCGTTCAGCACCTCCCCAGTGGTGGTCGTCCACTCCTTGCCCAGGCCTCCTACGTACAGATGCTCGTCCTTCACTGCTAGCCACTCAGCCTTAAACCCTGCGGAAAACAGAAAAGAGTTCAAGGCGTAAGACATGGTGTTAACTGCCCGGGGAGCTGATGGTTCCAGTCAAACATACACACCCCAGCTACCTGGACCCAAGCTCCCACAGCTCCCTTGTAAGGAGCAGAGAGGTGTGTGCCTATTGTAGGGAGGCAAATTCACTTCTCAGAGCTCCATTCAAAATATGGTTAAGAGTTGGAAGGGACCCTGAAGATCATCTAGCCCAGGGGTCAGCAAGGTTTACCTCGCCTGGGCCGGTTCACTCCTGCAGAGATTGCTCTGTGGGCCGGATCGCTTCTGCACATGCACAGATGCGATTTCTGGCGCCGCAGAAGCAAGTCCCCCCTCCGCCGGTTTAGTGCAGCACACAGGGACTCGCCAAGCAGGCGGCTCGGTTCAGGGGTGGCTCGGGGGCCGTTTAAACGACCCCCATGGGCCGCTTGTGGCCCATGGCCTACAGGTTGCTGACCCCTGATCTAGCCCAACCCACTGCAATGCGGGACTATGCATCTGTCCCATACAGGGATCGAACTTTCAACCTTGGCATTATCAGCACCATGATCTAACCAAATGAGCTAATAAATGAACAGCAACTTTTGCCTCTTAATTAGTAATGGGTCCCACAGCCCAACGGTAATAAAAAGAATGCATGCAGCCGAGCCTGGAAAGCAGGACATTGTGAGGAACTGTTGGCCACTGGGAGAACAGGATGCTGGCCTCACCCAGCAGCCTCTTCTTATGTTATAACCATGAGCCGACCATATTTGTGACTGAAGGCATGGGAATTCTGACTTCTACTGTGGCCTCAGTTATACAGTGGTACCTCGGGTTACATATGCTTCAGGTTACATACGCTTCAGGTTACAGACTCCAGTAACCCAGAAATAGTACCTCAGGTTAAGAACTTTGCTCCAGTATGAGAACAGAAATTGTGCTCTGGTGGCGCGGTGGCGGCAGGAGGCCCCATTAGCTAAAGTGGTACTTCAGGTTAAGAACCGTTTCAGGTTAAGAAGGGACCTCTGGAATGAATTAAATACTTAACCCGAGGTACCATCGAGAAACTGGGGGATGACAGTGACGTTGGGGTATCCAACACAAAACCTGAGCTCACCCTTGCCAACTGTGCCATCCCCATCAGACAAGATCACCCAAGGTACCACCTTGGTGCCATCGATCTGGTAGACCACACCAGTGCGATCATCCACAGCATACAGCTTGCCATTGAAGACTACCAATTCGGAGAGCTCCATGCCACGCCCCTTCTCAGCCAGGTGAGACTCCAGCGTATGGTCCTGGGTGTCCCACTCGACAGAGACATGGTCCCCACTGGCCGACAGGGTCAGGTAACCTTTCTTCAAGTAGCTGAACCAGGTGTGCTCGCCGGGGCCCTTGGAGTTCGTGTCGAGGTCGGCAATGAGTCCGATGCGGTAGCGCACGCCCTCTGGGATCCGCTGGGGTGGCGACAAGGGGTAGGTGTCATTGTAGCGCCCACTGGGCAGTGCCCCGAGGCGCCAGTTGTGAGCGGGGAGAGGCACCGGCCTGCTTGCCGAAGGCGAACGCTGGAAGCAGAGGAGCAGCAGGACAAGGATCAGGGCCAGGGAGGTTGCCACAATGGCCTTCCAACGCAGGCGGAAGCGGGGGTCAGCCGCTTTGGTCATGGACGCCAGCACTGGGAGTCCGCCCACACTAATCCGCAAGGGATTCAGAGAATCGTCCCATTGCAGGCGTGGGCGGGATGGGACGGGCATGAGCCTGAGGTTCCCGGGAACCTGGAAGGGAAGAAGAGGGTCAGCAGGGGGTGCAAAAGGGGATGCAGCAGGGGTGGACATGCAATCTGCCCTACCTTGTGGGGGGGTGAAGGAGGGGGAGGCAGTGAGGCAGCAGCACCAAGCATACTGATTCCTATCCATGCAAGAAGGAAAAGCAAAAGGAATCAAGAAAGGGCAGAAGGTGCAGCAGCAACATCGGGGGGGGGGGGGGAGCCAGGCAACTGGGCCAGGAATTCTGCAACGGGACAGGCATGGAAGCAGGGGCACTTCCAAACTGTGCACTAAGAGGATTCCTGCTGGAGCAGAATTACACCAGAGACATGGGCACACTAAAAGTTGGGCTGTCAACTGATTAACGTTGTTTTCCAGTTTATTAAACATAACACTTTATAATGATTAATTACTTATTTACTCACATTATCCAAACTCCAATAAAGGTGCCTTTTTGAGTTACTGGAGGAAGTGTAAAATAGCTTGCAATCTATTATTATGGGGATTTTTGCCCTGTTCTTCTGCCAAAAATCGGATCGCAGAGCAGCTTATGAATATCAATGAGAAGACAGCCCCCACCCTCAGAATAACCATCTAAGAGACACATCGTAATAGGAAATGGGACACAAAATGAGGAGGGAATAAAGCAAGCTCAGGCACTCATTCTCAGTTTTATTTTGCCTTTCCTTCAAGGAGCTCAAGATAGACTGTGTGTTCCCCTTGCCCTTTCATTGTCAAAACAACCATGAGACAAAGTGACTGGCCCAAGGTCAGCCAATAAGCTCTGCAGCTCAACAGGGATTTGAACCCAGATCTCCCCAGTCGAAGCCCCGACACTCAAGCCATGCTTGCTCTTAATACACAAAAGAACTCCGGCTCCTTGTTAGAAGGTGGTAGAAGATGAGGAACCAGAAACAAAAAAATCCTTGAAAGTAAACAAACAAGTGCATTCTTAAGTCGCAGAAATTGTCCTCAGCAATTAAAATTGGCCTGCACCAATAGGTCAACTAAAGCTTTGCTAATTACCCAATTAAACTATGTAAAGTTCGTAATCCAAACAAGAAAGCACAGTGAAGCAGGCAGGGAGTTAGGGACAGATAGGAGAAGGAAGGGAGGTCACTGGGCCTTCTGAATCTAGGAAGACAAGCCACTGAGTCATGGGACAAACCAGCCCTGCCCATACTCCAATTCCCCTCTCCCTTTTGACGAGGAGACTCCAAGGCTGTGATCAAGCCCTTCAATCATCAGGTTTCTAACCGTTGGCTCTTTCACCTACCGACAACGATTCTCCCACCCCAGAAGTTTGGATCTTTACATCATTTTGAGTAGCAATTATGCCAGGGCCCTTGTGGTTTCCAGACCTTTCTGACTGTTCCCAATTCATATCTTGCTGGGAGTTCTGGGGACCAGCCGCACCTATAGCTTGCGACAGGTGGCAGAGCTTAGCTCCTCCCCAAATAGGATCCAGGAAATGTTACCAGGAAATGTCACCAGGTCATCGATTGCTGACTTGCCCAACCAGTTCTGTTTAAAGACCTAATAGACTTTCCTTCCTGTTCTGCTCGTATAGCATGTCTTGGATTCTACAAATTGTTTTCCCCCTAAGCGTTATAGTGATTGCTTCCCAGCACTACTCCCAATATGAAAGGGTCTGCGTACAAGGGTAGTAAAACATGCACTAGGTACAACAGCTTCATAGCTCAAAAAAAGAGGGGGGCAGAGCTATTTGTTGCAAAATGTCCGGCACATAGGTGGATGACCTCACATTCATAGCCCAGCATGGCTAGTTCGACCCAGTGGTAGGGAAATGATGCCAAAATTTCTACCAAGAGTTAGTTCCACAGTCTCTGCACCCACATCTGTCAGCCTTAGTTAACGGACCCATCTGCTTGCAAACAGCAGAAAACATTTCTACACTGATGAGCTCAGTTTGAGCAGTTGAGGTGCTGGACCAAAAGGCTTCCTAAGCAGCACCCACCACAGTAAACCCAACCAGGGAGAACTGGGCAGGTGAAATGGTACAAATGGAGTTTGACAGGAGCAGCAATAAAAGTCCTTGGGGACTGGATCCCTGGGGTAAGACGTTGCACAGAAGCAGCAGCCGCAACCCTTCTGCAAAGTCTTTCTACAAGGGTAGCAACTGCTCCATCGTTTCACAGTTTTTACACAATACCCAGGAGAATGTCACAACACCGCAAAGGTCCAGGAAAGCTATACTGTACTGCCAATGGATCTGCAAGGACGGGGTGGAGTACGTGGGAGGGGGGGCGTATTCTAGCCACTTTGAGGAGGGGCGAGTGTGTGGCACATTCAGATGCACTAACGTACATTTAAAAGAGATCGCGGTTTGTGCAACTTAGCCCCCCACCTACCCCACCTTCTTCTCCCGCCTGAAGGGCGGGGGGCGCAATCTAAGTGCGAACTAGGAGGTCCCTTGAGCTGCATCCCTGCATCGCCTTTGGGCCTGCAGAGAAAGAGAAGAGAGGTCGCTGCCGCCCATGAAGCAAAGGGATCTGCCGGCAACGCAGTTGCATCCCTAGGGATCTGGCACCCGGGAGGGATTCGCCGCAGCCCGCCCGGGGCAACTCACAAGGCGCCCAGGATGCAACCGCGGTCGCTCCGTCGCCTGGCAATGCCCCGCCTAGACCAAGCTAAGCGGGAGGTGGGCCACTGGGGCAGCAAGCAAAAAGAGGAACGCGCCGGTAAATGCCAGCACCCCGCTTCTTACTCGACCACCCCCCTACATCGCCCCCCTCCCGCAGGAACCCAGGTGTCCGGCAAAAGATAATCCCCCAGCCTCCGCCCCCGCCCAACCACTCACCGATCAGGCTCCTCCCCGCGCCGGGAACGACCGGAGGGAGGGAAGGCCTTCTCGCAGCACTCCCTCCCTCCTTCCCCAACTACAGGTCCCAGCGTGCATCGCGCTCGGGAAACTACTATTGGTTCCGACATCCCTTGCGATCGAGTGGGAGGAAAGGCGCCTTCTGGTACGGGCCCAACGCCGACGCGGGAGAGACTACATCTCCCAGCAACCACTGCGCGGGATATTCGAGGCCGGGGTTGGTTCAGGCTGCCATCTTCCCAAGGCTGCAAGGGAGCGTTTCGGGGCGAGGAGGCACCGGTTTGCGGCTGGGAATTGTCTTTTTTTTCCCCCCTGAGCGGGAAAAGTGACCTTTGGCAACGGCAGCGCCGCAAACCAGCTCCTGCAGATAGTTAATTGGGTTCAGCGTCCTCAAAGCCATGGGGAAATGGCCACACAAATATGCTCGGAGTGATGGGCTATGGAAACAATACGTACACAAACACATATTTCCCATAAACTTTCCTTGACACTAAGCGTTGGCTGTGTCCTTTTGGGCACCCGCTTCCCTCCTGAGTTTTTTTGGGTTTTTTTGTGCTGGCCAAGGAAGATGGCCACCCTTAATCCTGTTGGCCACTGATAAAGATTCCTAGCTTTGAACCCACCGGAGCTGATGAAGTTTCCCTCTGTGCTCTGACTTCTGCAGAGTGTTGTTAGAAAGGGAGGGGAGCAAGCCAGGATTTTTCTTTCCCCCTAGGCACAATTCCAAAGGTCCTAGTATTCACAGTTGGGCTTGTATTACTTAACTCGCACCACCAACCATCGCCATGTGGTTCAGCCTTTCCATTCACATGCACAAGTAGAATCAAGGTGAGCAGATGTGATCTGGTGAGACTCCTACTCTTTCCATAATTATGGGAAAGGGGGACAGGCGCAGTATGCCATGCCGTACTGTAGTACTGATGAGAAAAGCTGCACTTGCTGATATTCCCTCTTCTACACATATTAAAGGCACCACATTCAGGCGTTCAAAACCTGTCATTATTTGAACCACATTGAGTAGAAAAGTGCTTGTAAGAGGGTACAAGTATAGATAGAATTTTAGAGTTTGAAGGGACCACAAGGGCTCATTCAGTCCAATCCCCTGTAAGACCGGAATCTTTTTGCCCAACATGGGGCTTGAACCCACGACCCAGAGATTAAGAGTCTTGTAGTCCTCATGGGAAAATGTGGCATGATCTCTTAAGAGTAATCAAATGAAACTTTCAACACATGGCACAATAAAAGCCTGTAATTTTATCAGGACAAGTTACTTGCTGTTTACTGTTGTAACATTTGTTTTCTCAAATTTTTTCTTCTGTACCATGAAAATAAATAAAAGCAGTATTTTATTTTTTGAAACAGTTTTGTGCTTTTCATATACAACAGTGATGAGGATCTCATTTGACTACAATAATCATAATTCCTTGAGAATATATATCTCCACATACTCCACATCATGCGTAATTTTACATACACCTGTTGTTTTCCCTTGCTTATCTTTCTTCTGCAATAAAAGGCCCAACTGTTGTAACTTTTCTTCACAGGGGAGTTGCTCTAACTCCGCAATCATTTGGGTTCCCCTTTTCTGAACCACTTCTCTAACCTAAAATATCTTTTTTTGGGATGAGGCAACCAGAACTGTAAACAGTCTTCTGAGCATGGTCACACCATACATTTGTATAGTGGCATTATGACATATTGACAGTTATATGTTCAGTCCCTTTCCTAAGTTGCCCTGGCTAGGAGTGAGCTGCAACCAACCACAAGATGTGCAATTATGCTGATGCCGCAACCTTTTCCTAGAAAGTGTTGCCCTTTGACAATACCTGGGCGCCACTTAATAACTGTTCTGTGGCAAAAGTATCCCCCCTTCCTTCTTATTCTGAATGTAAAAAAACAGTTCCCTTTTCTGTACCCTTTGTTTTTAGTAAATTCTTGAATTGGAACACTTGCCTAGAAGTCCTAGCCCTAGAGCAGTAGGTCTCCATGATTGTGAAATCTGCAGTGGCTCAGAATAAAAGGACAAAGATCCCATGTTCTAAGTGACTAGAGATAACAAATCTACCCATCAACAGAGCCACCCACGACCTCACATACTGAGAGCGTAGCTTTTCTTCATTTGGGTGGCCAGGATATTCAAGGCAAGAGGAGAAAAAGGAATCAGCAAAAGAAATAATGGGGTTAGTAGTGGGTGTTTGAAGGGATAGAGGAAAACATTGAAGTACAGTCAGATAACTGAAGTTTTCCTGCGTAAGAGAGAGAGATTAGAATGAAAACAAATAAGGGCCCTTTTTAGTTTATGAATGAACTTCACCAGTGCAAAATCTTTCATAGAAACTCTGGCTGTTTGCTAGCTCTCATTAAAATTATATATTTGATATAAAACAATCTCAGTTGCACATATATATATGCCTTATAGTGTGGTAAGTTGTCTGGGGGAGTAGAGAAAGAGTTCCACTTGTGACAAAAATAACTCCCAAAAAGCACCCCTGTGTCCTACTCCAGTTTGCAATGGAGGGAACAAAGCAGCATTTAGTATAGGCAACTCCCAATTTATGTACAAGTTACATTCCAAGGCAGTGTGTTTAAGTGAAAACTCGCATATTTGAAATACTATTGAAAAAGCCCGTAAACATTCCGTTCTGCCCCCTTCTGCCCATTTTTGTGATGCTTTTAGGTCACTTCTGGGTTCGGTGCAATGCGCATATGCAGAGTCATATACGTATCAGATGTGCGTAAAATGGTCACTGCCTGTACTAGCAGTCAATCCCTATTCCCTTAGCTTACCTGAATCGCTTCAAATTTACGTATAATAAGAACATAAGCGCCATTGTGGTGTAGTGGTTGGAACCAGGACTTGGGAGGCCAAGGTTCAAATCCCTACTTGGCCATGAAGCTTACTGGTGACCTTGGGCCTGTTACTGTCTCTCAGCCTAACCTGTCTCAAAGGGTTGTTGTGGGGATTAAGTGAGGAGGAGACCCACCTTGAGCTCCTGGGGGGGGGAGGTGCAATCAATAATAATGCAATCAATAAATGAAGTCCTGCTGAATCAGAAATGTCTTGCTCTGGGAGACCCACAAGCAGCAGCTGGTTTCACAGTGCACCAGTGCCTCTGATCTTACGATTTTTTTTCCTAGTTCTAATCCCCCTTTAAAGACATCTGAGCTAGTAGCCGACCACAACATCTTGTGGGTGCAAATTCCATAAATGACTCAGGTTGTGTGTGAAGATTAAGTAGTATATTTTATCTGCACTGAATCTCCTGCTAATCCCTTTCCATTGGGTTCCTCAGCATAACAAGAGGCAGAAAAATAACTGATCCAGACAGAAAACTGTTATCACATACAGTGGTACCTCGGGTTAAGTACTTAATTCGTTCCACACAAGTTATACATTCCTCAATTTGGACTGGGGGTTGTGCCTCTAGATTTGTGGCTAGAGCCTGGCTATACTTGGAGATCACTGATTTTGTATGTGCCTTAGCTTTGCAGATTTTACTGTGGGAAAAGCAGCTGCCCCCTTATGCAATGATTTCCTTCAGGGAATTACTAGTGGAACAGTTTCATGCTGGTATATAGATTGGTTCTGCTCAGTGATTCATACACAGCTCTGCTTTTTCTCAGCCGCTCATTATGCCTGGCTTTTCCTAACAGCCATGACCTACATATGTGAGAGGACTGGACGTTCGTTAGGCAAGGAGGTGTGCTTTTTGTATGGGTGGGTAGCAACAGCACTGGAAGATTCCTATTTGGGCAGAGTTGTGCACCACAGTGAGCAAAAGCAGCCAGGGTCTTAGATTGTGCTTGCCCAAATAATAGGGAAATTGCTCAAATTTTCTCCCCTACAAATCTTAGTGTAGCATAGAAGTAGAGGCTGCGGGGTGGGGGGTGGGGAAATCATAGTATATATTCAATAGTAGAGCATCTAGAAGGTCTCTGACACCCCCTGTGCAAAGGATCAGGTAGACCAGGGGGTGGTGTGGTGGTAGAATAAGAGACATTAAGCATATGTGTTTATTAAGCACTTAAATGACAGGAAATGTCACCATATGCACACATTGTATAAAGGTAAAATGCTATACTCAAAACATACTGTCCAAACCATATGAACCACTGTCTTCTTTTTCTCCAGAACCTCCTCTTCTTCACCTTCATCTTTGGGCAGGTGACGCTTTGTCACACACCCTTAAAGAGAAACTACAGTACCATTAAAGTACAGTGGTACCTCGGGTTAAGAACTTAATTCATTCTGGCGGTCTGAATTAACCTGAAACTGTTCTTAACCTGAAGCACCACTTTAGCTAACGGGGCCTCCCACTGCTGCTGCGCCACCGCTGCACGATTTCTGTTCTCATCCTGAAGCAAAGTTCTTAACCTGGGGTAATATTTCTGGGTTAGCAGAGCCTGTAACCTGAAGCGTATGTAACCTGAAGCATATGTAACCCAAGGTACCACTGTACTTCCTTTTTTGTGCCTCCTAGCTACTGAACAGTGGCAGATTCGTAAATGAATTGTTTCTGTACAGTAGATAACGCTGACTCCAGTGGAAAAAGGACCACTGATACAGGGTAAAAACATAAGCAAGGAGCAAAACACACTTCATCTGGTTTTCTTTTTCAGGTATCTCGAGAGAAGAGGCAAGAGACTGACAAGGTGGCAGGTAAGAGCTAAGGTTCGGCCTTCCTAAATCATATTGTAGAGAGTTTTTAACTTAACCACTAGACTGCACCTGCTCACCATTCTATGGATATCCTCCACATATTAAGTGCTTGAAATCTGTATTGTGACACCCAGAAGAAGCAAGGTTTTCTGAAACAGAAAGAGGGAGCTGTGAATTGACAGCCAAAAGCACCCCAGGGGGGGAGAAGAGCTCCTTTCTCTGGGGATGTGATACTGAGGGCAGCAGATACTCCTTTCTCTGGGGATGTGATACTGCTTGGCAAGAACATGTTTTGCTGGCCTCTGCTTATGCTCAACTTATAAATAAACCAAACCCTACAGAAATGCATGCCACAAATCTCCAGCGCTCTCTCTTCCAAAGGAAGCCAAACCCAGGTAGCACAGTGGAACTGCTCCCCACTTGGGGAAGCAGGGAGCACACAACAATAGAAAGGAAATAGAAAACGGACTCCCAAGGTATTGCCTGCTGTGCTTTTCTGCATTTCCTCTGACCTCACTGTTTTGGAACGCATACAATGGGTGGAGGTGTGTGTGTGTGTGTGTGTGTGTGTGTGTGTGTGAGATGAAATGGACTGTAATCCATACCTTCAGAATTTTTTGCGATGTTCATATCCCACCTTTTCCTCCAAGATGGTGTACGTAGCTCTCACCTCCCCAGTTTTCTTCTCACGGCAGCCCTGTGAGGTTGCTAAGGCTGAGAGACGGTGACTATCCCCAGGTCACCCAGTGGCTTAGCGGGGCTTTGAACCCTGGTCTCCCACCTCCTAGTCTGACAGTCAAACTACAACACCATACACTGCACAGATGCATCTGCCATAATAAATCTTCTTGTTTTTGCTGCATGAGACAAGCGTGGCTCATGTTTGCTACAACAGAAAGGGATGCCGTTGAAGGAGTCAGAGGTGAGAATCAGTGCCAGGCTTGCATACTGCCTCCTCTTGCCAATCTGATCTCCATTGCCATGGGCAGCAGCTGCAAATTTCCCCTGCTCTCCCTCCTTCCTTCCTTGGCTCCGGACCCCAACATCTGGAGACACTTTCTGGCGGAGGAAACCTGCCTTCTCTGTCCCAGCTGTGGGTGCTGGGCACACATATGGTTAACGGCAGCTGTGCTCCCATCTGAGGGAGGAGGGCTGGCGGCGTACAGCGTCTGCCCCTTTCTTTCCCTCTTTCTCTCTCTCTCTCTCTCTTGGTTTTCCACAAAGCGTCTTGCTGCCGGGAGCCTGAGATCTGAAGGCTAGACACAGGGCTGCCAGGCTCTCCTCCTTTCTGCCCCACTAGCAAGGGGTGGCGGAAGCGTTTACTTGGAGGGGGATGCTGTAGAAGACCAGAGGCAAAGGCAAGCAGTGGCTCTGGCAGCAGCCAGTCATCCTGCCCCAAAGGTAGGTAGGTGCCCGTCAGCTGGGCAGCCCTCCAGGGCCAGGTACTTAGAGATGTGTGTGCAAAAGAGCTCAGATCTACCTGTGCAGGCTTGGCTAGGGGGAGTGGCTGGGCTTCCTGGGATCTTGCACAAGGGCCTTTTCCTTCTGAAGGCCTCAGGCTGCTGATACCTCCGTTGCTTTTTGGGTATGCGCCTGTGAGTGTGTGCAGCAGAATCTGCCCCGTGTTGGTCCCTCGCATTACAGTAGATGGGACATGGTTTATGGCCCCTCACCAGCCCTGCTTGGCACTGCTCTAGGCAACATCCTGCACACCTCTAGATGTTAAATGGGCAGAGCCCATTGGCGCTGCAGGCAAGCCTCTGCCTCCCTGGGCAAGTGTTGCCTTGGGACAAGCAGCACCGGGCAGCTGTGTGATGCATTCTCACCCTGGTCTAAGGAAGGGGAAGGCTGATTCTTGCACTGGCTGTTGTGCCTCCTGGCACGCTTGCCAACTTTCAGCTTTTGAGTAACTCAGGATTACAAGGCTTGGCTGCGGATAGTCATGGGCCACTTTGTGGGCCCCTTCTAGGAGCACCTCTCTATTTCCAAAAGGGTTATGGTTTGGGACCTGTGAGGGGAGCCCAGAGGTTTTGGGGTCCCCCTCTGCTCTCCACGCACACCCTGCTACCCTCTTTGTGTTTGCCTGACTGGAATGGGACTCTTGAGGGTTTGGTGGTCTCTTTAATGCTGACGGAGATTTTTCCAGGATGTGACGGCTTTGCATTCCCAAGTGTTACCGGCTGCTGTATCAGGCCCTTGAGAGATGGAGAGTGGCCAGAGCGAACCGGAAAAAACAAACGCACTGCCGGAGCACACATCCCTGTATGCGCCTCTGCTCCTGTCTTCCTCCTTACAAGCCTGTGTTTGTCCAGCAATGTGTGTGCCCTGCCGCTGTCTCTGGCTTCTAACGCTTGTCCTCGAAGAGATATGAACCTCCTTGCGGGCATACTATCTAGCTTCCTTTGTTGTGGGTTTCGCCTTGCGGGGCTAGAGACAGTTAGACTAAACATTCAGTTTTTAAGCCTCCAGGAAGGATCCTGTTGTTACATAATGTCTGCCAACTCTTCAGGCTTTACACATAACAAACAGGTGAGGATGATCTATTTTACCTAAGGCTCCTGGTTCTCCACATCCCAATAGCATGTTGCTTTTAAAAATTCAAATGCGATCGAAACCTCACTAAATATTAAATCTGGACATGTTAGGAATATCCCATACCAGCTGGAGTCTAATCATCCACAGACTACCCGCTCAAGGTTATACAACGGCACTTCCCCAAATGGTTGTGTTCAGACTTCACTGAGGCTGTGCAGAGATCAGGGGCTTGAAACGCAGCATGGTTGTTTCAAGTCACATTCTTACATTGCTGTACAGACCAGACAGGAGGCAGAGATGTCTTCACCGGATGCCCATTACCTGGAATTGTTTCATCATCTCAAACCCCAATTCGCTTAAGCTGCTGTCTGCGCATGTGCAGTGGCTGCCTGAAATGTCCCCACAGCTTCCCTTTTTCTAATTGGATGGCAGCTGGCTTGAGGGAAAATGCATCAAACAGAAGTATTTCTCAAGAAACTACAGCATACCTATGGAAACTGTCATGCCAAGTTTGGTGACAGTATCTCGAGAGGCGGCCAGACCTATACCAAAAAAATGGGCAAAGTCATGCCAAGGTGATGGCATGCCATCTTGGACTGCCATCTTGATTAAGAATGGTGTCCAGCGTCAAAACATTGATGAAGACTGCTGCTCCACCTTGGGAACCCCCATGCCAGGTTTGGCAACGGTATCTTAAAAGGCATCCAAATGCATAGAGAACAAACAAATGGACAAACCATTTTCTAAACTATATAATAGATTCATGATCATTCATACTCATGATGATACTCCATGTTTAAGGATGCATGTGAACTCAGTGTAGTTGAAATTGTCCTTTTTGTCAATTGGTGCCTCTCTGAAGAGCTCATCTACTTCTTAATCTGTAAACCTGTCTCCTGTTGTCATCAGCAATTCTCTCAGGTTGTCTTCTTGAATGAAACCTGTTGCTTCTTCATCAAAGCAAGCAAAGGCATTCCTAATTGCATCTTCTGGATCAGTGCCATTTAATTTCTCTCAGAACATTGTGAAGTTTATTGGTCCTGGAGCCTCATTCAACATAGCATCTAGGTATTCATCAGCTGGATTCTTCCCAAGTGAAACGAGCATACCATGCGGTCTTCTTTTTCAGTGAAACCATCTCTGTTTTGATCAATCAGGTTGAATGCCTCTTTGAATTCTTGAATCTGTGGCTGATCAAACATAGCAAACACATTGGAAGTGGCATGCTGAGGGCGCTGCTTTGTAGCCTTATTCTTTGCCCTTTTGATTGACATGTTGGCTGTTGGATTCTGAGTGGCGATGGACGAGAAGTGGTTATGGGAGAAACTCCACAAGAGTCAGTTTTGAAGCCTAAAACTTAAACTAGCATGGCTTCTCTCTGCAAGGAATCTGAGAATGATAGTTCTGTGCAGGCACTAGGTTTTCAGCATCTTCCGAAAACTACAATTTCCAGAAATCCCTCGAGGAAGACAAGTGTCTCAAATCAGCATTTATCTCTAATGCAGATGCACTTCTGAGTGCAGCATAAAGTTAACTACATGTGTGTTCCTTTCTTTGCACAGTGTGGGAATGCCTGCACATCCATTTACATTATGGTTGCAGTTCAGCTAGAATACATGTGAGCTTTGGGTGTGTAATGTGGCCTGCATGACCCTACCTGCACATGGGTTGTGTAACTGTTTCCTTTGGTCCATGTGCTCTCTTCTTCTGCCCTGCAAAAGACACACAGCTGCTTTCGTGAGAATCTTCTGGTTCTGAATTTGGGCCTGGCTGTGTAGCTCATCCTTGGATAATATTCCCAGAGGATCTTTGACCGCGGATCTTAGGAGACTTGCCCAGTTTTGCTTGGCACTGCACTGCCTTGCCTTATTAGAGGACCAGGGTGGGGCAGGCTTCCAAACTATGCACAAGCACATGTGTTTGTATACTCAGTTGCACTCTGCCATGGGATCACAGACTTGTCCCAGGAAGGAAACATTGGCCATTGATTATTGTTCTTCTTGTTGTTTTTAAAATACAACTTTTGGGCCCAAAGGCTGCCAAAGCGATTAACAGCTTGTTAGAACAACAAAACATACAAACCTATGTACTTTGGTGAAAATGTGCATGCTTGTTAAAGACCCAGTTTGGCAGCCCCCCATGCACATTTGTGTACACCCACACCCACCCACTGGCTTGGGACCTCAATGGCTCCCCTCTGGAGGCTTCACCCAGGGCAAGAAACCCAGCTAGCTCCCCCTCCCGGTAGTTATGGTACTGACATGTCCGCTTGGTGTGGACCAAGGAGAATTTACTGCCAATCAATGGGCTCCACTTAGGTGATGAAATAGATCTTGTGCCATTATGCAAATAATTTCCTGCACAGGAAGGTCATTGCGTGTGAAATGGGTGTAGGTAGTCAGGGTGTGTCTGAAGAAAGCAGTAAACTTGAAGAAGACTGGTACGTATCTACAATTCCATATTTCTCCTTTTTGTTTGGAGACAATATAGTTGAACTTAGATCCCATTGACACAAATGACAAATCAATGGAAAATACGTGCAACTATGCAAAGTCCTCTACGTGCGCACAAGCACACAATGGGGCTTTTGAACACAAATGGGCGAACTCAGCTCTATATGCTAAAGCACACAATGACCAAACCCTAAGTCCTTTGGGGTGTACATGCATAGTGTTCTCTCCATGGGGACATGAACCCTGGCCAATCAGAATTTATGCCCTTATACAGGGAGCCCAAAGCGTGTGCATCCATAGATAAATAGAACTCCTTTCAGACTGACGGCAGTTGTGCGCTGGCTGTGGTAGTGCCACATGTCAACAATGCACGCCATTATCTAGGGTGGGATTAGTCCATTTATGCACGAATCCCTTTGCACGCTTATACTACTGTGACTTCTGGAATACCTGCAGGGGCCTTGCAGGCTTTTTCCACCTTGCCTTGGAGGGTGGGACCTGGACTGACTCCAGCTACAAAAGCTGAGGCTGCTGAACAGGCTCTTAGGCTGGGGTGTTGTTTACATTTTTTGTTGGGATGGTTGCTGATGTTGGGGGGGGGGTTGTACCTTTATTTTAGATACTGTGATTTATGTGGAAAATTTTCCATTTGGTTGTGTATTTTTGATGTCTTATGTACTGTTTATGACCACTTTTGTTATGTTGCTGTTATGCTTTTTTTCATGTTGTAAGTCACATTGAGCCTTGTTTGAACTGTGGAAAGGCAGCATACAATAAAATTATGGATGTATGTATGTACAACAGTGCAGTAGAGCCGATTTACCACATTTTGAAGTAAGCGATGTAATACACATTGCCATCTAAACTGGGTCTTCCCATAAGACCTTATGAAGCAAGGGAAAGAACATGTATTACCCCCCAAAGCATGCACACGCAGCAACTCCAGGGTTCAAAATGCTGCTGCGATCTCTGCCCACCACACACACACTTCCACTTGCCTGACTCTCTCTTCTCCCACAGGGCCAAAAGCAATGAAGATAACACTGACACCAAGTGCCCTTTTGCTCATCTGCCTGATAATCCAGGCGTATTGCAATGAGAAGGATGCGGAGCAGAGGCCTGGAGCAGCAACACAGCCTCCGCCACCCCAGCATCACACTTCCAGGTAGGTTGGAGCTCGCCAACATGGTGCCTATGTGCACATGTGTGCCCACAAAGGACTTCTCTAACGCCCACAGGGAGTCCTTCTTCCTTCCACTGAAATTAGGCTTGAAATCTGTATTCGGTTGCAGCCAACAGAATAGGTTGCAATATGTGTCGTCTTCTTCTTCTTTGGTGATCATTCGTAGCTGAATAAGATTGTCTTCCATGGACACGGTTTTAACAGTGATTCTGTAAGTGACTGTGGAGGCCAATTCTAGATCCACACGTCCTTCCACGGTGGTGACATAGGTTTCCGACAATGTGTAGGATCATGACAATGAAAATAATAAATAAGGTTGGGGTGATAACACACTCCTGTTTATCTGATCCCACTGTGAATGGTTCACTTTGAGAGCCACTGTTATTGGCGATTGTTGCTGTCATATTATCATGGAGGAGCCGAAGGATGTTCACAAATTTATCTGGGCAGCTGGTTTTCAGAAGGAATGTGTGTATGGTGTATGGTGGCCATGACAGTTTCTCTAGTTGACAAATGTGCCCATGGGCCCTAAAAGTTTGCAACCCTTAAGGAGGGTCATGCCAGTGAAACTAGCAAGCAACAGGTTTCAGGGAAAGCAACAGCTTCGCCCTTGAGCTATGGAAGATGATCCCTGCTGAGGCTCTCTCACAGGGGTTCTGATGAGAGATACAGTCTAGCTGGACAGCTGCTGAAAATAGTTATGCTTTCCGTTTAGAACTGCTGAGTGTTAAAGAAATAACTTCATGGTGTACTTCAATGCCCAATTAACTCCATTAATGTGCATCTCCAGTATGCAGTTAATACACAATTAAGTCTATCACTCTGCCCCACTTTGAATGAAGCCAGAGGCTGCTGGGTGATAAGGGCTCTGGAGGAGGTGTAAATGACTGCAAAAGGGGCCTTAATTGCTGTGTTGTAGCATAAAATTTAGATTCTTTTAACCACTGAACATTCCACCATGATTCTTTGTACTATACAGGGCCATGTTTTCTAGGTCTCCTACAAATTAGCACTGTTCCAAGGCTTCAACCAACCTTAATCTGGCCTAGTCATGGCTGGAAAGTATAAAAGTGTTGTGAGCATCCCTATTTTTCTTTTTTTGATAGGGATGGGGAGCACTCCACACAGTGAGTTTTTGCTCCCTCATCCAGTGAGTGGAAATCCCATCCATCCTTCTCAGATCTCCTGTGAACAGTCATATGCATTCTTACCTGCCACTGGATAGACAGCTGAAGAAGCATAGAGGCTGGGTGAGCCAGTGGTCCATGGTTCCAAACTGGGTGGGAGACCACGTGTTGAGATTCCTCTCTTGCAGGGGGTTGGATTAGATGACCCTCAAGGTGCCTTCCAACTCCACAATTTGACGAGTCTACAAATCTGCAAACTTCACCAGCTCTGAAACACTGGCTTTATTCTGAAAATATAATGTACTGTTGTTTTAAAATGTGTGGTGTCCCCCCCCCCCCGTTTGTTTGTTAAATACATGGTTTAAAGTAAATAAAAAAATAAATCCTGGCTTAAAAGCCTGTGAGCAATGTTTGCATACTCACACCCTGTTTCCCTCCCTCCCACTCCCCTGCTGAGACTGCAAATCATCTCTCTCCGTTTAGGATTTCAGACAGAAGTCTCCTTAGGAATTATGGGGCCCCTTTGTAGAAGACGAGGGGGAAAGCACCACCGTGAAAGAGCTCTCCCAACCTAAACCTCTCTTCCCTCATTGGTGGGGTAGTCATTGAGGATAGAAAACTGTGTCAGCAGCAGCTAGTTCCCTGCAGCAAAAGCAGGGCTTTTGTCCAGTCTCTTGGCTAGATCTAGACGCTGTTCCTGAAAGAAGCAAAATTCCCGTAACGATAAAAATTTGGCACAAACCAGGAACTATGCCGCACATCGTGAGAAAGTAAGGTACCGTACTGATTTAATGTGTGCAGTTGGACGGCATGTTTGGCACATGCATAACTGAATTGACTGGCATCACCCCAGTGCTGACGTGTGCAGGCTGAGTTCAAGTGTCAGAGCACCTGCCACAAATTTCCCATGATTTCTTAACCACTTTATCTTAAAGGGTTATGCTGTTCTTGAGTTCTCTTTCCTCAGTCTGGCCAGCCTATTCTGTTTCCAAGTTTCCACCACACCTCTACCGCAGACTTCTGCTCATCCACATTTGACGCAGCTGGGGTGTGAACTGGGAGAAACTCAGCCGCAAGATGATGGATTCTGTTCTGAAATGAGGGTGGTGGTGGAAGGACCCAGCTTTAAGGCCTGTATTTACCTTTTGAGGCGATCTGGGTAATGCTTTTAAAAAATGTGTCACTCTGGACATGTGTGGAGTAAATTCCCTCCCATTCCCTCGGAGACTCTTGATCCCTAAAGGAGCTGAGTGGATGTGTGTGTGTTTGGCTAAACCTACTGCATATGAACATAGAACGCCTCTTCGATCTCCATATAACTGTCCATCCAGATAGCAAACATTTGCTGAATGTACTGGCATTTGGGTTGCAACTACTTCCACACAATGTTTTTTTGTTGTTGTTTTTAATGTAAGGAAAGGTAAAGGGACCCCTGACCATTAGGTCCAGTCGTGGCCGACTCGGGGTTGCGGCGCTCATCTCACTTTATTGGCCAAGGGAGCCGGCGTACAGCTTCCGGGTCATGTGGCCAGCATGACTAAGCCACTTCTGGCGAACCAGAGCAGTGCACGGAAACGCCATTTACCTTCCCGCCGGAGTGGTACCTATTTATCTACTTGCACTTTGATGTGCTTTCGAACTGCTAGGTTGGCAGGAGCAGGGACCGAGCAACGGGAGCTCACCCCATCACGGCGATTCGAACCGCTGACGTTCTGATCGGCAAGTCCTAGGCTCTGTGATTTAACCCACAGCTCCATCCGTGTCCCAATGTAAGGAAACTTATGGTCAATTTACTGACACACCCTGCTCTGAAGTCAGCACTGGACACAACGTGGCATGAGAAGAAGCGTGTTTCAAGCACCCCAGTTTTCTCCTACGAAATGTTTTGAGAGTATGCTGTTGCCTCTTTCCCTTTCTGTGTTTCCAGATCTGGACTCCTCAATCAGGCACCATTGCTAACTCCGTTAGGGACAAACCCAGCCTAGTTGGCCATTGTTGTTAGGCAACCATATGGCATCCTTGCCCAGATTATCCTGGAAACGGTTAGCGTTGGAAGAGTGTGTCAGCACTACAAGCCAATTCCTTCTTGGGGCAAACGGAGAGGCCACCCAGGCTAGGGCTGGAGTTGAGATTGAGGTAGTGGCAGACAGTGGGAAAAGGGAAGCATGGGGGCTTTCAGCTCCTATTGCAAATTTGGGACATATGTCCCCGTCAACCCGAGTGAAAAACCTAGTCCTGAACAAGGAGCCTGGGAGAGTGGAGCAACTGGGGAGAAACGAGTTTATTTAGGGGCTGCAATAAACATGTCCCATCTCAGTGACCCGGCTCTCAGTAATTCACATCAGCAACATTTACTCTTTCTTCCATGTATTTTTAGTGATGCTATGACATTAAGGAAAAGGATAGGGCTGTGGTCACAACACAAGGGCCTTTTCCTGAGATCTCTCCCAGGGGAGTCACCATGTTCCCTTTCCCCCTTTTCCCTGGCCCTGTGACTTAGCCTGCCTGTGCTGTTTCTGCCTCCCAGGCCCGAGAATCACCATGAGAAATACAGCAAGCGGCCCAGAGGGTCAGAATGCGTGCGATGCTGCGATCCTCCTGAGCGCATTTCAGCATACCCCATGTACCAGCCCATGCCTCAGATCAACGTTACCATCCTGAAAGGTAAGAGACACCAACTCTACCCCAGGATGCGGTATTCAGATGCCAAGCCTTTGCTCGGTAGCATCCCACACATTAGGAGACAGTCAATGGCCCTCTTCGGGTGTTCAAAAATCACAAGGCACAAATTGGGGATGGATGGATTGGGCATGCCTGCTCTACTTCTGACAGGAAGGTCTGAAGAGGCTTCTAAGTAAACTTGGTTGAATGTGCTTTGAAGCCCCAGAGCTTCCAGTCAAGGGGAGCTTTCTAAGCGCATCTGGCCAAATGCACTTAGACGTTTCCTCCAAACCTTCCAGCTCAGGGTAGGAGTGGGCACACCCCATAAGCCCAAGGACAGATGCTCCCATCCTGTGTCCGAACATAGCCATAGTGTCTCCTGTCAGTTCCTTCTCTGGGTCCCATTCCTATTACTGCAGATGCGGGAGAGAGCCGGGAGAGGAACAGGCAGATGAAGTTGCAGCTGCCATGTTGCTTGATGCAACACAGAACTTCAGGGCACATGGTGGATCTCCAGGCTGTGCCCTGGCAGCCATCTGTTCCACGTAGGGGCAGGATCACAGCATTCTCCATTGGTCTCTTATCTGGCCTGTTCTCAGAAATGCCCTCTGGCCTAAGCAAAACCGCATGCATGGAGCAGGTAGTTTAGAGCTGCCGTGGAGTGGAGTTCCAAAAGCTGCAGCGAGTTTGATTTTTCAGTGTCCTCAGGCTCTGGTTATAAGGGGTGGGGCGGTTGTCTTTGGATGAAATGTTGGGTTCTTTAGATTCCAGAGGGGCCGGTTGGGAAGAAACTGTATAAGCTAAATAAATTTCCTGGCCTGGAGGAGCTGTTATCATAATTTTATCCAAGCTCTTTTCTTAAAGAAGGCCAAGTGACACCACCAAATTAGTCTTGAGTCAAGCCCAGGACTCCAGAGGTTGCGTTAGGACATGGCCTGATTTCCCGGGAAGAATGTGAAAGATGGAGAAATTGTGTCATCAGAGGCGGCCTCTCTGTGGCTGAACCTCTACCCTCCCAATACATTTTAGAGATGGCTGTAGCTGAGTGTGTGTGTGTGTGTGTGTATGTAACATGCATATTTGACAATATTTAAGACCTAGAGGAGGTAGATTTATGTTCTTACCCACAGCTAAGGTTCCGATTCCTTAATTAACTTAATTAAAAAAATTAATTTTATTGACTCATAATTAAATCAATAGAATTAATTAAGACATTTCAATATTTCACTTCACTCCAATTACATTCTTGTCTCATACGTTTTGCAAAGGAGAAACCTCCGATTTTGCCTGCAGATATGCTTCTGGTAAAATTAAATTCCATTTAATACAGAAGAGGATTTGCCAAGCGATAAGTTTTTGAGATGGGCAGACACCAATCTAGTGCCTTCCCTGGCAGCAAGGAGAATTTCCCCACACATTTGGACCCACTCTGAAAACTGGGGAAGTGAGGGCATCATTTGTGGTAAAATTCTCCTCACCACAAGGGTGGACATGATATACCACTGCATAAACACAATGCATTTAGCGCATTTAGACTAGATGGCCCTTGGGGTCCTTTCTAACTTTACATTTCTATGATTCTATGCTCCCCCCCCCCAAGAATCATGGAAGCCGTAGTTTGTGACGGGTGTTGGGAATTGTAGCTCTGTGAGGAGAACTACAGTTCCCTGGCTTCTTTGGTGGAGGGAGTGTAATGTGCTTTAAATGTGAGGTGATGATGTGTATGCAGCCAACAAGTGATTGTTCTGTTTTGACTGGACCATTCCCCTTCTAGATTTCTCTCCCAAGCATGGGTGGAATGATTATTCTGTTTATTTGTACATTATATAAAAATGCATAAGTTGCTCCCTGGCCTGCCCATTGGATTGAATGTGGAGGCCAAGGTTGCCTACATTGAAATGATGCTCATCTATGATCTCTTCACTACTCAGGTGAGAAAGGGGACCGTGGTGAACGTGGCCCCCAAGGGAAGCTGGGCAAGGCTGGTTCTACGGGAAGCAGGGGCCAGGCAGGCCTCAAGGGGCAGAAGGGGAACATAGGGGCCCCAGGGGAGCGGGCCAAGACCAACTATGCTGCCTTTTCAGTGGGCCGAAGAAAACCCTTGCACAGCAACGACTACTACCAGACTCTTGTCTTTGACACCGAGTACGTGAACCTCTATGGACACTTCAACATGTTCATGGGCAAGTTCTACTGCTATGTGCCCGGCATCTACTTCTTCAGTCTCAATGTGCACACCTGGAACCAGAAGGAAACCTACCTGCACATAATGCACAATGGGGCTGAGGCGGCCATCTTGTACGCCCAGGCCAGCGACCGAAGCATCATGCAGAGCCAGAGCCTCATGCTGGAGCTGCAGGACCAGGATGAAATCTGGGTGAGGCTCTTCAAGGGTGAGCGCGACAATGCCGTCTTCAGCGATGAATACGATACATACGTTATTTTCAGCGGGTACTTAATCAAACCCAACTCTGAGCCTTGAATCTGCTGAAAGATGGACAAAATATGGCCAATAACGTCACCTGGCTCTAACCTTGTACTGTTTCTCTACTTGCTGATTTCTAACCCTACTTATCTACCATAACCCAGCCTTGACCTCTGATATGACCTTTATCCTCATCAAACAATCACCCCACTTTCCCTGGACAAGGTTTTTCCCTGCTTCAAACCTCTGGTCCTTCTTTCTTCCCTCTGCCCACAAGTCTTAAGCCTTAAGTTGGCGTCAATATTCCCAGTCAGATCGTCACACTAATCTAACTTCTGCTCTTATGGGACTGACTACCCATGCACAATCATTCCCTCTGCTCTAAGACTGGGACTCACACCCTCCTAGATAATAATGACACTTCTTCTATGCAAGTGTCCTTAGACTGATTTTCTTATTTTATTCTTGCTTTGCCATTCTCAACCTTTGAAAACACATGTCCTGCTAGAATCCTCCCTTGCCCCTCCACAAAATATTTAAAACAGGATTGCACAATTTCTGTTCACGCTGACCTCAAGGCTTGGCCCTTTCTGTACTGTGTTCATTATCAAGAGGAATTAAAATTTTAAAAAGAAAGAAGGGGAAACAAACAGCAGTAATATGCAGATAATACGAATAATACCAGTAGAACACCAGCAGTTCCCATTGTAGATGCAGTGACTATCAGAAGAGGAATGTTAAACATATAAGATGATAGAAGCCTTCCAGATGCCCAAGGAGGTATCCACATTGAATTGGTGCTTATATGAAATAACCAGGGCAGTGAAGACCTCAGACCACTGTGCAATAGACAGCATGTATTTATCCTTCCGGACTTGAAACAAAACCCACTTTTGTTGCCTGGTTCAGTCATTCTTAGGAAGATAGGAATCTCTCTTATATGAAGTCAGACAACTGGTCAGTCTAGTTCATTGCTACCTACACTGACTGGAAGCAGCTCTCCAGGGTTTCAGGAAGACGTCTCTCCACGACCTTCCCAGAGATGCTTGAGACTGAACCTGGGATCTGCAACCAAAGCAGCTGCTCCACCACCACCGGATCTCACTACTAGATCCCGGCTGGGCAAGGGCCTTATCTATTGTCCATTGTTTATGCCCATTGTGGGGAAACCTCTGGTCTGTGGGCCCAGAATCTCAGAACTGTAGAGTTGGGACCATGAGGAACATCTAGTCCAACCCCACGCAATGCAGGAATCTTCTGGCCCTGAGATTAAGTGTCTCAAGCTCTGCCAACTGAGCTATCCCTAATGAGTTGTTCCGAATGGCCCACTAGGCTGTTTATTGACAAACAATTTAAAAAAAATATTTTTGATGTCATCTGTTAATCAGGCCCCTTCTATTTGCTGTTGACCTCTGACGTTTAGGCTGTCAGTTTCATTTCAGATTTTAAGTCTCAAGAGTTTTCAGCAATGCAACTGTGCCTCCTTCCATGCTTCCTCTTCCCGGACCTTATCAATATCCTTAATCTGCTCTCTCCTTCCACCTCCTCCCTTGTTATCTGTAAATACCTCCTTCTCTAACCTTGGCAAATATTCTTCTCTTTACTCAGCGTGACACACATTAGTGCCTGAACGCCCAGCCCTATTCACTGAGCCAGTTTGGAATACATGGTGTGGTTTGCTGCAAAGGGCACTCGCCCTTTTCTTCCTGGAAATATGGGAGTTGGAGGTGCCAATCCATTCAGATGCTTCCTGTCTATACATTTGCCCGTTTCTGGACTGCATTCTGCAAACAGCTTAGCACCAAGGCAGCAGTATTTCACCAAGTTCTATCTTCCATACCCCAAGCTGCCGTCTCAGTTCCTTGGCATGAGGTTAGCCATACACCATGAGTGAAGTGAGCAGAGTTCAATGGTTTACTGAACAAGGCTCTGTTGGTATCCAAGCCTCCCTGCTGGACAGGGAAGGCCTGCAATGTCTGGCCTGCCTCTACTGCCAGCATCCTTGTTCCAGGCAGGCACAGTAAAATAAGAAACCTGTCCCTGTAGAACAAAACAGGGAGAAAGCTATACAATTGTTTAGCATTGAGCACCATAGGGTCCTGTTAGCCGTGCATTTATTTTTGAGGAGTCTTTCCAAGCTGAACAAATCCTCCTGTTCCTGCTGCATTCTACTGCCACCAAACACTCCTGTGAGCAGTTGGGCCTGAGCACATCTTTCATAGTGATGTGAAGGTCCGGGGGGGGGGGGGCGAAATGGAAAACTGCAACAGCAAACAGGTTTTCCACCAATTCTCTATATATGTACACACACCTGTCCACATCAGGACCTCGAGAGGGCATTAGAGGGCTTGACCCCTTTACCCACTGCAGCAGACCCAATCCAGATCAGGGTCCCTGCTGCTATTTGCATGGGAAGGGAAACTTCCATGGATTCAAAATGGTGAAAGCAATTGCAGTTTCTGTTTCTGGCAGCCCCCATCATTTTTACTGGGCCTGACAGGAAGCTGCTATGCCCTGCAGGCATCCAGACCCAGAGTCTCTTGGCTAGGTCTGCTGATTAGGCCTTCGACTTGGGGGATGTGCGTTTTACGCCATGTTTTACATTTTTGTGCCATGGAATTCACTAATTCTGCTTTTGCATTAAACCTACAGAAGCAATTAGAACAACTAAGCAATACCTTGGCAAACCTTCCTTTTCAACTCTGCTCTTTCTCATGTACAGGAATTACATTTTTACACAAGCACTCCACAACTCCTGGAAGGGCTGGTACCTTGTACCACAAAGGTATGGTTTTGCATATGAGGAAAGAGACCCCAAGGGTTTTAAATTATGAGCCCGTGACTCATAAATTTAAAGCACATACCCCCCCCCAAACAATCATGGGAACTTAGTTTCCCCCCTCAGCACTATAATTCCCAGCACCAAACTACAATTCCCAGAACTCTTTGGTTGAGGAAATGTGCTTTAAATGTATGGTGTGTACGCAGGCCTGCTGAGAACCACAGTTCCAAATGAATAAAAATCGCAGCGATTCTGTTGTGAAATTCTCACACTAATTTCTTTTTGTTTTTGGTGCTCTTAAAACATGTGCAAGGAAGGTGTCCTCAGAACATTGTCAACATTGAATGCGTATCTTTCTAATTTGGTAGCGTTAACTTCTCTGGCACAATAATTTGGATCTCCCAACTCACCCCTGTCTCCTCCATGCCTCGGCCTAGCCCTTGTTCAAACCAAACACACTGTCCAGAACACCCCTGCTGAACATGTGTGTGGTGAGGTCACATTCTTAGGGAATGGGAGTGGGGAGGCCAGGAGAGAAAGATGGGGGAGAGGTGGGGAAGGAACTGGCCACCAAGCGGATGTGCTAATACTATTATTGGCAGAAGTGCTGTGGAACCAGGAAAGGATGAAGTCACTTGCTTAGCAGCCAAGGGAAACATTCTGAGGGACAGGCCTTCATGGTCAGCTTCTGAGTCCCATGCCCAGAGTGGCACCTGTTAACAAAGCACAGAGCTCACCCAGAATACCATGCTATTTCTGAGGGACAGCCTGGCTTTGCCATCATGGGCAGACAGCTTTGCTGACGAGTCTAGTGACACCGTAACACACAGTTATTTCACGCACAGCATGCCTTTTCTCAATAGCTTCTCTGCTGAACAAAACAGGCTTGGCAAATGCTTATTTTGAGCCGGAGCTCACCTAGGAACAGGATATTTTCATATCACTCATTAGTTGGGATTCATTTTTCTCTGCAACCGTAGATAACCTGAAGGGAATAATACTTCTGAGCAGGCTCAGAGTGCATGCTCCTCTTAAGTCACCACAGCCAGCCTCCATAATTTTGGAAACCTGTGAAGTGCTTAGACTTTGTCAATCAGAGCTATGTCCCAGAATGCCACTTTCCACAAATTAAGCGTGGTATCCTTCCCCCCACCAACTTCCGCCTTCTCCTCTGAGAGCCGGTTGCTTGTATGTTGTGACAGCTTGGGCTGTGGCTTTATGTTTTTCATGCTCTCCCCTAACTCTGTGAATGCTACCAGACTGCACCCTGGACACCATATAGACAACCTCAATAGCATCATGGCAGGGATAAGCACTGCTTTGACTTCCCAGTTGTTTGTGCTGCATCCTCAGTTAGGAATGCCTTTGTAATCTTGTTCTGCCTGCCTTCAAAATAGCTCCCACCTAAGACCTAAATGTTAATGATCCCATTGGTAGCCATCAATTTAATCAAAGACCAATGGTTAACAATATGTATACACGCCTCCCAGAGAAGCCATGGATCCAAAATAAAAAAGGAACAAGCAAACAAGTAGAAGCTGTATATATTTTGCCCTTTTCTTCCTCTATTGTGATAAATGGTTGAATAATAAACATATCTATCTGTCTGTCTATCTGTCTTACATGAGGGGGAAAGAGCCCGTTTTATAGCACATATGCAGAGGCTGCATTTCAAGAGTGGCTACTTGGAGCATTTCAATGACCTGACGCCCTTGCTGCTATTTTTTAAATGCCACTCTGCTAAGTCCTTGTCCTGCATGGTGTGAGAGTCCTCCCAGATCTACAAATGAGCACAAGTTCCGTTGTCCCCAGGAGATTCCATGTCTTGTTTCATGCTTTGCCTGCTAGCAGATGGTGGCTTCAGAAAACGTGCAAGTTAAACAAAAGTAGTTATCTGCTTCCACAAGGTGCTTTGCCTACCCAGGTGCATGCAAGTAAAGGGGAGGGGGAAAGCATGATGACGTCCATCATATTGAGTACATGTGGAGAACTCACTGCAAATCATAGCTTCTAGGCACGTCTACAGGGCATAAAACAGATCTCCGTGCAGGTTTTATGTACGACAGTGTGCTCTGGGCTTACATCTTTTTGTATACCAGTATAGGGAACGTGTGGGACGTGGGTGGCACTGTGGGTTAAACCACAGAGCCTAGCACTTGCCGATCAGAAGGTCAGTGGTTCGAATCCCTGAGATGGGGTGAGCTCCCGTTGCTCGGCCCCTGCTCCTGCCAACCTAGAAGTTTGAAAGCACGTCAAAGTGCAAGTAGATAAATAGGTACCGCTCCGGCGGGAAGGTAAACGGCGTTTCCGTGCACTGCTCTGGTTCGCCAGAAGTGGCTTAGTCATGCTGCCCACATGACCCGGAAGCTGTATGCCGGCTCCCTCAACCAATAAAGCGAGATGAGCACCACAACCCCAGAGTCGGTCACGACTGGACCTAATGGTCAGGGGTCCCTTTACCTTTATAGGGAACGTGACATGTGAGAAAAAACACAAATGTCTGAAGCAACAGCTATGTGACCATCTCTTCTAATTAAAGCAGCTCGTTAGCCATTGAGGACTCCTTCAGGGATCACTCTTGGCACTTCTTCAGTCTTATGTAGTATTTTACAGGTCAGTAACCTCTCTTTACTGTAGGAAGCTCTCTTTACTGTAAACATGTAATACCTATCCAAAAAAAGCAACAGGCCATAATTTTCATTATTTAAATGTAATGCAGCCAAGTTTTTAAAAAGTATTTTCAAAAGGGAAATCTGCTAATTAACAAGGTACAAGCAGAATGCAGATGAGCTAGGGCTTGAATTTGAAGGGGCTGCAGAGGATGTTGTTATCTCCTAAGGCAACCAACCACAAGTGTAACGCAACCCAAGCTGTTAGGACACACACAGAGTTATGGTATCTGCCTCCAGGTCATATTTGACCGTGTTTAGTTTTCCTATAAAGACCTTCTTTCAACTTCCTCCACCCTGAAAGGAAAGTCTCCATGGAGACTAATAAAAAATAAATAAGCTTCCCTCTGGGAACCATTGTTTGCATTTAAAGAGACCACGCAAACTCACATCAAGGCCTCCTCTTGAAAACAGAAAATATTTGTGAATCCAAAAGGGTGGGTGGGTGGGGGAATGGTGCTTTGAAAACCCCAATCCAAATAGCAGGGGGCTTCCAGCAGGAGACACAAGCACTTGAATATTCCAAGGCCTGGGGCCAAACTCTGCAGGAAACTATAGCATGTGAAGGGGCCGCTTGAATGCATATCCCTAAAATGAATTTAAGGGAAGATCCCATCAGATTTTTAGAGGTTGCTCCACATTATTATTATTATTATTATTATTATTATTATTATTAATTGGGTTTATATACTGCCCTATACCCGGAGGTCTCAGCGTGTTCACAGAAAAGATCAGGGCGGTTCGCAGGGCGGCTTTATAAAGTGACACCATCTATGAGCTGGATCAAAACATATACCGGTATATGAAGTTGCAATCTGTATGATTTAATGTGTGGGATGGGTATTGTGAAAGTACTTTTGTAATGCCAGGAAATATAATGCTATGACGCACAGTTCAAAGGAACTCTGTAAGCTCAAATCTTACTGTATTAAGAGGTCACATTATGATTTTATTGTATTTTTAAGAAGAACTAGGATGAGGGCATATCCTGTATATTTTAAAGAACTACAGAGGAATATTTAAAATCAAGCATCCACACATTCAATATACTGGGTGAGGGGGTAACAGAGAGCTATCTACTTGGTTTGAACTAGCTAAAAATGGTGGATCATATTAATTTCCTGTGATAATAGTGTGAGAGATGATGTAGTAGCTCAGATCTTTAGCTTTGTGGATAAACAGAATTCAGTTAAGGATGTGGAATAAAGTAAAACAGCATCTCATATGTCCCTAGACTGGCCTTGCCATGTAAAGTCTCTGGGAGCAAGTGACAGGCAGGTGAGCTGCCAGACAAGATTAAAAGATTATTTTGTTCACAAATTGCCCAATGTTAGAAGTTCAGACCCTCCAAGTGTCCCTATTTTCCAGGGACAGCCCTGGATTTACAGAAGCTGAAACTGATCCTGGAGTGCCCTGCTTTTCCTTAGGATGCCTCTATTTTCATCAGAGACATTTTGGAGGGTTTGGAGTTGTGCAACAACCGAGCCAAGAAAAGAAGCCCTTTATAGGGATTTTTTTTTTAAACCCTGTTTAATCTTTTATTATGTTTTTATATATGTTGGAAGCCGCCCAGAGTGGCTGAGGCAACCAAGTCAGACGGGTGGGGTATAAATAATGAAATTATGATGGTGATGATTGAATAGGACGTCCCTATTTTCACCGGAGAAATGTTGAAGGGCATCGGGTGCGAAATGGGAGATAGAAAGATGTAATAATGATAATAATTTTATTATTTATATGCTACCCATCTAACCTACACGGCATGAAGAAAGATAATGTATCTCGCAGAAGCCCAAATCTAAAGAGCAGGAGCAATAACAAGATGGGTGGAGGGCTTCCCAACTGGAATTTCTCCCTCAGCCATCAGAGTTGTCTTGGACTGTCCCTTCCCAATAGCTCTGTGGCTCGTTACTGGTCCTGGCAGGCATAGGTGCCAACTCTCTGGGGCCCTGGGTGCCCGGGCACCCACAAAATTCCCCATGAAGGGACCGGACACCCACAAATTTTGGTGCCAGGGCCATGCACACTACATGGCACCCACAGCCCCGGGCACCCATGGTTGCAAGGGCCAAGCTGGCATTCCTGCTGGCAGGTCAATGAATTCCCCTCTATCAGCCCCCTTCCCCTTGCACCATGGGGCAATCAGCAGCCCATGTAGTTACGGTAGTTCCTAGGTAGGGAGTGGCATAGCCGAAGCTGGCGTTTCAGGGTGACATGAGTAAGAGCTGCTGGTAAAACGGCTGTGACAACTCAGACATTTTTATGGCCTTTGCTGTCTTTCGTTCCTCCGATACAGCCAATATCTGTTTCTCACATGTAGAGAGTTTTTTCCTCCAACATCTCTCCTCTACCCTTCCGTGACAGAAAGGCAATGAGGTTCTGCTTTTCTCTTAATTAAATTGGCTGCTGCTATCAGCGGGGTTTGTTAAGGCTGCAGTGCTGGTTGATACAGGTTTCTATTTTTTTATTATTTAAAAAAATACATAAAATCGCTTGCCAAAACACACCTTTCCCATCGCTTGCTTAATTTCATTTTCCTCCCCACAGGACGTTTCACAGAAGCAACAACAGCCCCAAACCCTAATAGCCTGGGCTGGTCTTGTTCTCAAACCCTTCCAGCTGGAATGTACTGTCTGTATCTTCCAAAAAAGAAATGAAGAGTAAAAACAAAAAACAAACGAAAACCTCACCGTTCTAATGAAATGTCCAAAGATATATGAGAAATTAAGCAAGCAGTTATGGGAAAGGTACACTGGTTTTATAATATATTTTACAGTTTGTATTAGTGTTGCAAAAAGAAAAGGGGTGAAAAGGAAAAATGAGGGTAAAATCGGCAAGCAGAAATTTTTATGTATAAGCACACATTTGAAATAATTACTATAACTTAAGGAGAAATACAGGACATCTCACCATAGTGGGGAAGACCCCCAGCTGGCTTGTGCCATACTGCTGACCAGGAACTGAGATCTGTTGATGGGCAACTTCAGGGCTCCTGCTCTTCCTTCTTAAAGGTAAAGGGACCCCTGACCATTAGGTCCAGTCGTGGCCAACTCTGGGGTTGCGGTGCTCATCTCACTTTATTGGCTGAGGGAGCTGGTGTACAGCTTCCGGGTCATGTGGCCAGCATGACTAAGCCGCTTCTGGCGAACCAGAGCAGCGCACGGAAACGCTGTTTACCTTCCTGCTGGAGCGGTACCTATTTATCTACTTGCACTTTGACATGCTTTCGAACTGCTAGGTTGGCAGGAGCAGGGACCGAGCAACGGGAGCTCACCTCGTTGCGGGGATTCGAACCGCCAACCTTCTGATCGGCAAGCCCTAGGCTCTGTGGTTTAACCCACAGCGCCACCCGCGTCTTCCTTCTTACAGTTCTTTAAATCAGACTCAGTTTGGCTGGCCCGCTTCTAGGGGACTGTTCTCTGTCAATCCTTCAAAAGAGAGGACTATTCTATGTAAAACAGGACACCTGACCACCCTGATTCATACTTACCTTGTTTTTTCCAGAAGAAACGCCCAAAGTGGTAGACACCGGAGGTATAAAACACACGAGGGTCAAAAGAAGCCTCACTTATTCCAAAGATGTTTTGGCACCTGAAATGGAAAATCGAAACACTACCTCTCAAAAGTAAAAACACAATAATTCATCAAGGAGCTGCAACCTAGCCAGGTTTTAATAGTACTTTAAATCTGCTGCCCATGAAATCTGTTAGGGGAGTGAGGTGTGTGTGTGTGAGGAAGGTCTGTGTATGGATTATGTTCAAGATCCACCAATAGCGATTGCTGGCTGAATCTGAGTTAACGCAGATACAACTCTTTTTAGCAGTACTGACTCTCGACTGCAGCATTTACGTTTGGATCCAAACGTAGCTGTGTCTTGGACCTTAAAGGGTTATGGGAGACTTTTAAAATCCAATTAGCATTTCAACTCTTGAGTTTAGGGGGCTTGCTAAGCTTCCTCCTCATTTTGTTATTTTGGCCCTGGAGAATCAAGATCTCAAACTAGCTTCATCATCCACTTTCCAGTGTATTAATAGAAGCCTTTCTCTAAAACCACACTTGCAACACTGGATTACTTTTGTACTGCTTCTCAAATTAGGTGTAACGAGAGGGGTGGTCTTTATTGGGAAGATCTGTCACCACCATCACAGCAAGAACGAGGCATGCAAAGCTGCCCTTTCTGCATCCTCATAACCCTCACGTTCTCTGTCTGGAATAGCAGTGCTTGTTCTTATTCCTTCCCCCATTCTTGGCATCAGAGAGACATGCTTTTCCCAGATGGGTGCTAATTTTTCTTTTAGCCAAGGTGATCTTGGAAAGATGCTTGGATACACCTCAAATTGCTCCTGGCTTTTCCAATTTATCTTGTTACAAATGATGTTACCTTTGCCAGCAGTTACTAGCATTGCCCAGGGCTTTTCACTGGATGTCTTCTTGCAGCACTTTTGCCCTCCAAATGCGCAATGCTACAAATGGACCAGCAAATGCTTGCTGTTCTTCTTTGAGGCCCCTGCTTTTCAGGTATCTGTCTTTGTTATTTTAAACTGGGTGCTTTGCTCCCTATCACGTAAAGCAGGGGTCAGCAAACTTTTTCAGCAGGGGGCCGGTCCACTGTCCCTCAGACATTGTGGGGGGCCGGACTATATTTTGGGAAGAAAAATGAACAAATTCCTATGCCCCACAAATAACCCAGAGATGCATTTTAAATAGAAAGACACATTCTAATCATGTAAAAACAGCAGGAAGGCCCCACAAATAACCCAGAGATGCATTTTAAATAAAAGGACACATTCTACTCATGTAAAAACATGCTGATTCCCGGACTGTCCGCAAGCCGGATTTAGAAGGCGATTGTCCAGATCTGGCCCCTAGTTTGCCCACCCATGACGTAAACACTCTACTTTTAAAAAATAATAAAAATTCTGCTGGTTTCCTGATCTGGACCATAAAATGCCTTCCTTCTCTACCAAGGAAATCCTTTGTCCCCCACAATGCCAAAGATGTGCTGGGAAGACTGCTAGTATAACCCAAGTCTCTTTCAGATCTTATTCAGATATACAGTGGCACCTCGGGTTACAAACACCTCGGGTTACAGACTCCGCTAACCCGGAAGTAGTACCTCGGGTTAAGAACTTTACCTCAGGATGAGAACAGAAAACGCGCGGCAGCGGGAGGCCCCTTAGCTAAAGTGGTACCTCAGGTTAAGAATGGTTTCAGGTTAAGAACGGACCTCCGGAACGAATTAAGTTTGTAACCAGAGGTACCACTGTACATTGCATGTGTGGAAAAGGTACGGGGCAGGACAGTGCTTCTGGCCCTGCCTTGGACAACATGCCTCCTGCTAACCTTCTGCAGACCTTTGCATGCAGAGCTCAAGGTCTTGAAAGGGGCACCAGTGTACTTACAGCAACAGCGTCTTCAGCTGTAGCTCTGGAAACAAAACATGGCCACAAAAGCACCCACCAATCACCATGTCACTTGCTGATGTTGCCTTCACATGAGCCATGCATGGGAAACATCAAGAGTAAACACACAGTTACGGCATGGATGCCACAGGGGCCTCTCCCATCCACAGGACACAAACATATACTCCCAAGAATAGATGACCCTGATTGCCCAGGGATCAGAAGACACTAGAACGTAGAATCCAGAGGTTTCCAAGGAGAAAAGTTTGAGGCCTGCAAGAGACAGAATGATTCAGGGAATCGACAACATCTGGTTCCAAGGTCTGTTCCCCTCGCACTCCAAACTCTTCCTAAATCAGCCTTCATGAAGCTGGTGCCCTCCAGATGTTTTGGACTAAGGCTCCTATCAGCCCCAGCCAGTACTGTTCTAAACTCTCCTAAGGGAGGTGATGGAATAAATATTTGTCAGAATCATTACAAAAGAAAAGGGGCGAAACCATTTTTCCTCCTAGATTGAGAGAGCTGGTTAAGCCTGAACTACTACAGTCATTTCCACAGAACTTCCTTACACTATTTATTGGGCTTGTTCTCACAATGAGATCTTGAGACGTATCATGTGAAGTCACCATTATTTACATTTTAATTAAAGGGGAAACGATGGCTGAAGGAGCAGGGCCACATATGAGTCAAGACCAGAAATGTATCTGTGGCATAGATTGGACTGCACACAGGTTTTCAAGACACAGGTCTCAGACCGATGCACTCATGTATCTTCATAATGCCAATACTAAAGATAATTCCACAATATATATTCTGTACTTTTTCTGTCCAAAAAGTCAGGTTACTCTTTAAAGACTGCCTGGAACATTCTGTCACTAAGAGAAGGGAGAGTGCACAAGCTACCCAGAACTTAATACTGTATCCCTTAAAAAAACAACAACACCCTGAGTAGCTTGGTAGTTTTGAGTAGCATTTGTACAGTAACTTGTGCAATATTTGCCTGCAAGAAGAGTTTTCAGGGAAAGGATTGCATGATTTTATTGGATGACGAGTCCTATATTCCACTGCATTTGGTGACATCAACGTTATTACTTCCCCAGATCCAACCAGTTCTGGTGGTATGGGAAAAACATGCCTAAGCTGTTCGAACTAATCATAGCCCAAGCAGGCTGCATAATGATAAAAACTTCAGTTGTCTTGAGTGGCCTCCTGGGAAGCAATTGTAAGAAAATACAGTCGTTCGCTTCTGAAAGAACCAGCCCAGAGGCATCTGCAGCCCATAGAAAGACAGTAACTATAAACTGCGTGTCAAGAAGAGGAATCTTCTCAGCTTTACTTAAGTCTTTTAATAACTCCTTCCCAGTTCCAGACGTCGGGCAGCCGTAGTGATTACATGCAAAGTGTTGATGAACACAACATCACTTTCTTTGTAGCAGTTGCTCCCCAATTTCTGTCTGGGGCAGCTCCCAAATCGTGCAAACACGGCTGGCCTGACTCATTTCCCATGAGCAAAATCTGTAGTTTTACATGGCACCATCAGTCCATGTTCCAGGGAGTTACGTGGGGACCTGAGGAAAAACAGGCTCAAGCGGTGCCTGCTAGGGTTGGCAATAAGGAAGAGCCAGGGTTAAGGTATCTGTGCACTTTCTCTGCTGAAGGAGCAGGTGGGAACTACACCCTACTGACCAGGTGTTGTGCGGTGCAGGAGAGCATCAGCCCCACCTCTCCACAGGCCAGCCCCCAAATGGCTGAGTTATGAAGTGAGCGTTTTAGCGCATGACAAGGCTTATATTATGCCTCATGGACAGCAGTTCCATGGGGCACTGTAACACCCTTCTCGGTTAATCACTCTCTTTTGCTTGCTGCGACCTCAACCTCGGGACTAGGACAAGCCCAGAGCGTCGACTGAGCGTCAGGGCTCCTTGCTCTCCAGCCAGCTTCCAACGACAGGACTGAGCTTGCATCCATGGCATAGTGCAATGAACAGAAACTAGGGCAGGCTCAGGATATAGCAAGGCTCAAAAATCATAGCCTATGAGAGAAGCAACTTTACAAAGAAGCTTGCATACAAGCTTTACATAGACAAACCACATCAGCAGACTGGAGATGCTCTCTTGTTCTAAATTAGCTTCTGTCCCTGGGGCAGGTGGAGGTAAAGCAAGGCACAGAGTTTAAGGTTTGGAAAGAGCAAGAGCTCCTCCCTCCAACCCTCCCCTCTGCCCACATGTTTTATTAAAGTGGCATTAGCCGTGGGTGGCATTGAGGTGAGGAGGTGTTGCGGTGGCAGCAGTTGAGAAGCCTCTGTCTGTGACCGGCAAAATCAGCAACCAAGAGGTAAAGGGCCAAAGGGATGGAGGGCCAAGAAGGGGTGTCCTGTAACTCTCATTGGGACACACCGAAGAGGTGTAGCGATCCTCTTTGCAACCTGCTGAATATGCTTAAAGGTAGAATTCAGGAGAAGAAAGGATCCATTTTCTGGGAAAGGGACCATGCTCGGGTTGTTAGTTGTAGAGGAACAAGTCAGGGTCTGAGATCAGTTTACACCAACCCAGTTCTAAATGTTGACATGAGGAGAGTCTTTTTGGAGAGGACCTGTCAGAGAGAAGGAAGCAGCCCTGGGTTCTCCTATACTGAGGGAAGCTGCCTTGGACTGGGTCAGACCTTTGCCTACACTGACTAGCAGCAGTTCTCTGCGGTTTCAGACCAGGACCTCTCTCCTTTCCACTAGGAGATGCAGAGGAGTGGACCTGGCATCTTTTGCATGGAAACTAGCCATGGCCCTTCAAAGCATAAGCTCACAGGGCAAAGAAGGTAGGCCATCTACAGGGTTTGTTGTTGTTTAGTCGTTTAGTCGTGTCCGACTCGTTGTGACTCCATGGACCAGACCCCATGGACCTGAGCACACCAGGCACTCTTGTCTTCCACTGCCTCCCACAGCTTGGTCAAACTCATGTTAGTAGCTTCGAGAACACTTTCCAACCATCTCGTCCTCTTCTCCTTGTGCCCTCAAACTTTCCCAGCATCCGGGTCTTTTCCAGGGAGTCTTCTCATGAGGTGGCCAAAGTATTGGAGCCTCAGCTTCATGATCTGTCCTTCCAGTGAGCACTCAGGGTTGATTTCCTTAAGAATGGATAGGTTTGATCTTCTTGAGTCTCCTCCAGCACCATAATTCAAAAGCATCAATTCTTCAGCGATCAGCCTTCTTTATGGTCCAGCTCTCACTTCCACACATCGCTACTGGGAAAACCAGACTTTGCTATTTGGCAAAACAAATACAAGCATTGCCAAAGCAGGAACTGAAACCAATGACAGAAAGCTACTGTGTCTGAATCAACAGTTGAGCAATGGGGAATGAAGTCAAACAAGAGGTGTAAGACCCAGGGAGTTGGAAAGTTAGGTGAGAAAGGCACATCTATTTGTCAGTCTGAATATTTGACTCTGTCTGGGTGGCCTTCTTGGGCATTAGGATCTGCAGAAGTGGCTCCCTTGGTAATCCCACCCCCCTCTGAAATGCAGGGAATGGCGGAGAGGGAGTTCTGTGGCAGCCCCCAAACTGTGGAACTCCCTCCTCACAGATGTACACCTGGCATCTAACAAGTTTTCAGTGGGTGCTTAAGGTGTGCCTCTTTACCCTTGCTTTGAACCACTAAGGTGTTCTGTTCTGTTCTGTTCTGTTGGACCCACCTTTTTTGCTGAATTGAATTGATATTGTTCTGCTCAACCTGGAACGGTTTTATGCTGGTAATGGTTTCATCTGTTTTTATAACTGCATATCACTGTAGCCTGCCCTGGGACCTCATGGTGACGGGCAGATAAGAAATCTTATACACAAATAAGGAAATTCTCTTTCTTTGGGTCTTTTGGTCTTCCTTCCTTCCTTCCTTTGTCGAGTAAGATGTTTCATCTTGTGTTTCACAAAGCCTAATCTCCTGAAGTACAGAGGTTAGGCTGTTGTGTCAGTTTCATAAGCAAGTTCCTGTCAACAGAGAACCTATATTTTTTACTTATCAAGTCCCCCAGTCTTCAGCTGGAGCCAAGTTGCAACACTTCTTGAAGTCTATGCTGTGCCTCTGCTAGGAAGACAGAGGTAAATCTTTTGACTGGATTAACTGTGATTTCCTAGAACTGGTGTCTTAGAACAGGAGCCTTTGACCACCCTGGAGGCCTCCAGACGGTTCAGATGAAAGCTCCCATCAGCACATGCTGGCTGGGGCTGATGGGAGATGTAGTCTAATGCATCCTGAGGACCCATAGTTGGGGAATGCAGTTCTATAGCAAATGAGAAAGTAGTTCCTATAAATGTAGATGCTATAAATGTACAAGTCTTAATGAAAATAGCATACTTTTAAAATTAAGTTGACTGCAATGCGGTAGCATAGCGTGGGGCAGTTGCCCTGGGCACAAAATTGTTAGGGGCACAAAGTTTCAACATCTTGTGCTAGAATGCTTCTGTCACTAGACACTGTTGAAAATTGCATTTCCATGCGAACCAGCAAGTGACCTCTCCAGACAACGGAACGACTCTTCTTTTCTTTTCTCCATGGCTGCGATCTCCTGGGTCCATTAGGCAGCTGAATGCACATGTGTACTCCATCTGTTTCCCTCCCTTCCACTCACCCCTTCTGCGTGGCTCCAGGTGCTGTCAACCCATGCTACACCACTGCTGCAATGTTCTGTCCTGTCCTAATACTTTAAATAAACAAACAGAAGTATGTACAGGCTGCCTTTACGAGCATAGGCCTCACAAGGTGACAAACAAGAATGAGATATGTTAAGGACCATTTGAAGTGTCAAAAAGAAAGAAAAGAATACATGACCGAAGGAGGCATAGAGTCTTGAGATTTAGTTGCATGAATGATGCTACAGAAAGGCAGGGAGCAGCAGAGTTGGGAGGGCAGATAGGAGAACAGTGGCTCAGGCATCTCAGTCAGATCTCTCCCCACCAGGAGACCTCCAGCGCCAGTTACCGTAATTCAGAAAAATTGTGGCAGCTGCTAAGCTGCTGGAATATTTTAGGGTAGGTTCAGTTTTGGTGGGAAAGCAGGGGCCCTGCCAAGCCCCTTTAAGTTGGCTTACAGGGTGACCTCCCCACCATTTCCAGGGTAAAAGAGGATGTGTTTGTTAAGGACTCTTTGAAAGTACATTGCAGTACTTTTGAAAAAGGTTTCACCATCCTGTACTAAAAGGGGAAGCAGGAGAATTATTAGAGGGACAGACATCTGAGCATAAAAGGGAAACGTGAAAACTAGAAGGGGTATAAAAGTGCTAGGAGGTACAAGAAGAAACACACACACACAAAAATAAGGGTCTTTACGGAACAAAACAGCTTTAGGGTCACAAAGGTGGATGATGCGATTAATTGCTCAGAACAGAATGACAGTCCTCAAAGGGGGGGGGGAGGACAGTGTGCAAATAAGAACAATGGAATGATTGTCTTCAAAGGTGGAAATAACTGTGAAATGACAATTCCAAGCCTGGGGGAAAAATCCTATCTGGAGAAGAATTAAATCTGAATGATAGTGTTCAGAATGGAATGACAATAGAATGGCAGTATGCAGAAGACAGTTTGTAGGATAAACCGACACTGAAATCAACAGTGTTAGGAACAGAACATTAGAAGGACACAGTCAGGAGTGAGGTAATACAGTGGTACCTCAGGTTACAGACGCTTCAGGTTGCAGACTCTGCTAACCCAGAAATAGCACCTCGGGTTAAGAACTTTGCTTCAGGATGAGAACAGAAATCGCACGGAAGCAGTGGGAGGCCCCATTAGCTAAAGTGGTACCTCAGGTTAAAAACAGTTTCAGGTTAAGAACAGACCTTCAGAACGAATTAAGTTCTTAACTTGAGGTACCACTGTAACAGTGAATAACAGTCCAACCGCAGGGCACTCAGAGCCCCCCTCCCCCAAACTCCTTGGCCTTGCATGCTGCTGCTGTCCATCACTTTCGCCATGTGATAGCAAAGAAATACCTTTCTTTCACTTTCCCATGTTCGGCATTTTAGAAGAAAATTTTAGAAGAAAAAAGCATCTCAGTTGTGTACCCCCACCCCCAAAATCACACCACATTTGCTTCTATTATTATTACAATAACCAAGCCATAACCAAGTAGTCCCCTAACAGGATATTTCTGGGTAAGCAAACTGCCACAGTGTGGGATGCGGGTGGTGCTGTGGGTTAAACCACAGAGCCTAGGACTTGCCGATCAGAAAGTTGGCGGTTCGAATCCCTGCGACGGGGTGAGCTCCTGTTGTTCGGTCCCAGCTCCTGCCAACCTAGCAGTTGGAAAGCACGTCAAAGTGCAAGTAGATAAATAGGTACCGCTCCAGCGGGAAGGTAAACGGTGTTTCCGTGCACTGCTCTGGTTCGCCAGAAGCGGCTTAGTCATGCTGGCCACATGACCCGGAAGCTGTACGCCGGCTCCCTCGACCAATAAAGCGAGACGAGCGCCGCAACCCCAGAGTCGGTCACAGCTGGACCTAATGGTCAGGGGTCCCTTTACCTTTACCTTTTAAACTGCCACAGTATAACTTGCAGGTAATTTAATTCTCCCCTGTCCAATGTACTGTACTGTATATTGTTTTGGCTCCTGACACATTGTTGTTTTTGCCTGCCAACTAGCAGGGAGATTCTGATTAAGCGCCTACTTTACCGTTGTTTTTGTTTTCCACATATTTTACTTATTTCAAGGAACTTACAAAACCAGGTTTTGGGGTGGTGGTGGATGCCAAAGGGTTGAGGAGAGTGCAGGAATCCAACACCCTGCTAAATCTATCAAGGGGGAATGTACAGTGTGTATCCCTGTGCATGGATGTATATAAAGTTGATCCTGCTGTTCTGAGCTTCTGGGATTACAGTATTTTCTTCAGTTAACTGTCGCAAAAAACAACAACGCATGGGTCAGATTACCTGTAAAAGCAATGGTGAAGGAACGAGGTTCGGCTACCTGTCGCGGACGGACCATGAGCGAGACCTGCTGGCTGGGTGCTCGAGGAAAGGGTGGGAAGTTTGTGGTCAATTTATCTATTGAACTGTAAGGAAGCACACCTGGATGGAAAGTCTGGAAGCGGAGAGTTATGTTGAAACCACTGGCTCTCTCTCCTCGCCTCCCGCGCGTTAGGAAAAACGCTCACCGTCTCCCTTCAGTCCCTGAAAATGTTTTGCCAAGCGGAAGAGAGCGCCTCTGAGAATGTGCAGAGCGCGTTCCCCTTTCCTACCCTTCACACTCCACAGCCAGACTCAAGGGAACTTTCGCGCCAAAGGCGTGGCTTCTAGCGGGTGGGTGGGAAGCACCAGCCCCGAGAAGCACTTCCGTTGACTTTCTTTACCAGAGCAGGCCGAGGAAGCCCAGGCGCCGCCGGCGACCCTGGCTGCCTCTTCCCCCCGCGGATGCGCTGCCTCCTCCCGCTCCACAGACGGGGCTGCCCGCCCGATGCCGGGGCTGCCCGGGCGCCTGGTGGCAGGGAGTTGCAGCGGCTGGATCTGCTGCGGGGATTGGCCGGATCCCGGCCGCCCTCTGCCTCCATGTGACGGGGGACGTAGGAGGAAGGCGCAAAGAGAGAGAGAGAGAGAGGGGGAGATGGAGGGAAGGGAGCAGGACGGAGGAGGGAGGAGAGGAGCCAAGCGAGCCGACGACGAGAGCCATGGAGGTCCAGAGGAGCCGAGGCCGGCCAAGGGGCGCTTCAGGCCCGGGCTGGGGTAAGGCGCGTCCTGGGAGCCGTGGCCGCGAGGGGCAGGGGTTGCTGGTGGGGAGGCTGCCTGTTTGCAAAGGGGGGCAACCGCCGGAGCCTCTGCTTCCCCGCTTCAGGCGCGCAGGCAGTCGCCTCCCTTTCCGGCCTCTGTCGCCCCCAAGCCGGACTTCTGTCAGAGAGGCTCCCGGCTGACCATTGCGAGAAGCAGGAGCCTGGGCTGCACAACAGGCCCGTGTGCTCCCCTCAGAGTCCCAGCCTCTTCTGGAAGAGAACTTGCAGCCCGTGCAAGAAGGGACGGGGCTTCTTCGGTGGTGAGGGGAAGGCTTGGGGGACCTTTGGGGTTCTAGTAAAAAACCTCGAAACTTAAACCCAACAACTACCCACAAGCTTGAAGGCTCCCCAGCCTGGTGACGATGCTGCTGCTGTTACTGCTGGTGGGCAGCTTGTGGCTGGGGATGCAAAGCGGTCCTGGAAGGTGGTAAACTTGGGGGCAATGCAAGCGAAAGCTGTCCAGCCTCGGGAAGGTGGTGGCGAGCCCGGCCTGTCCTGCATGTTTTCCTCAAAACATTCTCATTGGGAAGTTCCCTAAGTTTCCTAGCGCTGCAGAAGCTCAGTTCTAGGCCGGACAGTAGCTCACCTTGTTCTTAATTGAATTGCAAGTTTATGGAGGAAAAGGCTGTCAGTGGCTGCTAGCCAGGAATAAAAATATTTTTTTAAAAAAATTATTTGTACCCAGCCCATCTGATTGGATTGCCCAGGAAGGCTGTTGGAGACTCTGAATTGTCCATTGCTGGGAAGAGCAGTTCTGCTCAGGCTTGTGCTTGCAGGTTCCCTGTGAGCATCTGAGAACAGGAGGATGGACTCAATGGGCCATTGAGCTGATCCAGCAGGGCTTAGCTCACAGTCTTCAAAGGAACCTGGGATCTGATATGGCAGGGAAGGAGCACTTGTTTGGCAGGATGCTGCACTTGTACCAGCTATGCCTTGCCCTCCAGCACTGGGAGTATCAGAGCTGCCGCCCCCAAACTGACTCATTCAAAGTAGATCAACCAGGAAAATGAACTGGAGAATCTCTCTCTCTCTGTGTGTGTGCTTGCATCACTCATAAAGTCTCATTGAGTTCATGGGACTTGCTCCCAAGTTAGTCCGTATAGGATTGCAGCCATAATATCCCAGGTCTGGAAATAGGTTTGATTCTGCAGCCCTGCATAGTGACAAAGAGCTGCATTTCCTAGCCAACTGCTGGTTGGGGTATCACAATGTCAATACTTCTCTTGTCTCCTTTTGATGGCAACAAACTTGTCTTTGGGCATTTTTTCACTTGGGCAAGCCTCTTCCAGGCTCTGAAAGAAGAGAAGCCTGCAGCTCCCCACTGAATCCCAACTTTTCAAAGCCACCTCCTTGAACAGAACATCACTTAAAAATGGGGTGGCCACCAGCTCTTCAAAATGGTTAAAAGATCAGGGCTGGGCAGACATTAGGCTTGCATAATCAACTTGTCTCTCTCTCCTTTTGTTTGTTAGAATTTTGAGGTCTGGTGCCACCCCTCCACCATGTTCCTTAGGTGCCACAAATGCCCAGCAGATCAGTGCTTATGTTTCCAATTCCTCCCTGCTGGGCATGCATGGCCACAGGTGTCAGTAATGGCTGGAGTAGTGGGATGGAGTGGCCCTCCTGGATGCCAGCATCCTTGCAGCTAGCCTGGGTGGGGTGGGGCAGGGTGGTGGTGAGGTTGGGGCTGTGCAGAAACACCAGCTGGAGTGCTGGTTGGCCAGTCTTCCTCCTGTGGATTGTGGCCAGTCCTTGGGCTAGAAAAGGAAACCTGAAGCTGCCAGGGCAGGGTTGGGTAACTCCAGATGATGAACCCAAACTGTCATAGCTGGGGATGGTGGAGTTGCAGTCTGACAACATCTGGAGGGCCCCAGGACTCCCATCCATGTGATGGCATATATTGCCAGTCCATTTCTCAGCACAATTCAAAGTGTCGGCGCTTACTTCTTAAAGTCCTTTATGGTACAGGATATGTGTTCCTGGAAGAATGCCTGTTCTGACATCAGCTTGCCTGTGTGTTGAGATCATTGAGAGAAGTCCTCCATTGCTTGAAGTGAGCTGGGTGGCAGCCTGGGAGAGCGTCTTCTTAGTGGTGGCACCCTCTCCATGGAATTGCCTCTCAGAGATGCTTTCTTGGTGTCTTTTCAGGGCCAGGTGTCCTTGTTTTTTCAGGCTTCTAAGGTTCTATGATACTTATGATACCTGTACAGTAGGCACAGAATCCTTTTATTTCCTTTTCGGTTGAAATGACCAGGATGGTCCCAACAACAAATGAACCATGACTTTGTTAGACTTATTCCTGGTCTTATTATGTTTGGTTTTATGTGTATTTTTTGTACGGATTTTTTATTTTTTGTAGCAGCCAAGCATACATTATTTGTTCCTTTTAAAAATGCTTTTGTAAATGTGTGTAAATAAATATGTATGCCTGGCTACTTTTAAGAAGTCCTTCCTCAGTACAGTGGCCTTTTTGGATGGCAGGGGAAGGGGCACAGAATAGAGGGTTCCCAAATAGATTTGTTGTTTCCCCCCCGATTCCTTTTTTTCTTATTTTCAGCTTGCAGTTGGATATGGAGAGCCAAAGAACATCCGTTCTCCACCGGGTGGTCAATTTCGCCCCCAGTCCTCTCCCTGGTAAGACTTGGTGTTGGGCGAAGAGCCATGATTATCACCACTCTGCGATTGTAGGTATTCACAGTCTGCCTTTATTCTTCCCAGCTAGGCAGTATGACACAAAGACCACTGAGCCAATCAGCTTCTACCTCTCTGGCTTGGAAGAGCTGCTCGCCTGGAAGCCCACCAGTGACGATGCTTTCAACGTGTCCACAGAGCCGCTGGCCAAACATGAGCCTCCTTTCAACAGCCGTAGGCCCCGCACGCTGGTGTGCCATGATATGAAGGGAGGTTACCTGGAAGACAGGTTGGAACTGGGGCAGATGCTGAAACGGGAGAGCTTCCAGATTCAGAAACAATAATCCTCTTATTGCCAAACTAGCCAGAATTGGCTCAGTCTGGTCTTGGCTGAGTGTGCCTTGGTTGCAGCCACATGGAACTGAAGGGTGATTAACTTGTACCAATATTAGTTATAAATCACACTTCGGATGTTTAAAATGTTTCACATACTTGGGGTTGCGTGCAACCAAGTCCTACTCAGAGTAAACCCATTGAAATAAATGCCGCCTGGCCCCAGTTAATTAAGTTTAAAACAAGCTTTAAAATGTTATTTTGCAGAGAATGTCAGCCTGGATATAAGTACCCCATGCTGGGGGACACGATGAAGTCTATGCTCTGCGGACATTGCGATAGGGGAGCGTATTGGTGCAAAAGATAACAGCACCAGAGGGTGGTGTCTTTGGTCTTAAAACAACAGATGCTGAATATTGACATATGGGATCAGCCAGCTCCTTAGAGGCACTAAAAACAACATGGGCAAAGCAGCAACTGCTAGAAACGGATCACATCTGCAAGGCCCTTGCTTATTTGCGTAGCTCATCCTATGAATTTGGCAACAAGGCCTCATGCCTCCTTGCTAATGTTCAGAAAAACCCCCACCAGAAGTCTCTGAATTTGATCACTGGGATTTGTGACCAAAGCTATGTCAAGGTCCGTAAGTGCTAGTAATATAATAATAATAATAAAAATTTATTATTTATACCCCGCCCATCTGGCTGAGTTTCTCCAGCCACTCTGGGCAGCTTCCAATCAAGTGTTAAAAACAAAACAGCATTAAATATTAAAAACTTCCCTAAACAGGGCTGCCTTCGGATGTCTTTTAAAGAGAAGATAGCTGCTTATTTCCTTCACATCTGAAGGGAGGGTGTTCCACAGGGCGGGTACCACTACCGAGAAGGCCCTCTGTCTGGTTCCCTGTAACCTCACTTCTCGCAATGAGGGAACCCCAGAAGGCCCTCGGTGCTGGATCTCAGTGTCCGGGCTGAACAATGGGGGTGGCCCCACGTACAGAGTTAGTCCTGCTCTGAGTAGGATTAGCACTGAATGCCCCCTGAACTGGGTCCCCAAACTTCATTCAGGTGGTCTGCAGTTGGTCTGTAAAAATACAATTAAAAATCATTTAGCACCTAGCACAGTGCATTACAATTGTTACAACAGGCAGAAAATTCAATTTAAGTGGTCCACCAAGACCCTCAGGTATTTTCAAGTGATCCAGGGGGGAAATAAGTTTGGAAACTACTGCATTAGCTCATTGATCCCTACATTGGCCATGTATGACCTTTATTATTACCACTGCATTGAAGATGGTGCATGCAGAGTGGAAGAAGAGCTGAGATGAGATTTGAGCTGCTAGCTTCTTGGTTCACAGACCCAAACTATGTGTTAACATTAGCAGTATGTTTATATAGGGGTGCTTTGGACTGGGCAAAACCTCTTCCACGAAGGCAGCTATGCACCATCAATCCTGATTGCGGCCGTAGCATAGAAGGATATCACTGTCACTAAGAGGTTCAGTCATACTAGGCAGGTCCAGTTCCTGGCAGAGGTCATTCACCAGGGTGGTGTTTTCAGTCCTTCCTGCACTCCAGTTACAGTGGGTTAAGAACGTGCAAAATTAAGAGCAGGGAAAGAGATCAGGGAAGTAAATCTGGTTTCTGCAGGCAACCAGGGGAATTTCACTACTTGTTGGATTCTCTTGAGGGAGGGTGGGGGCTGGGCCACCCTAGCTTCAGGAAATTGCAACAGCTTGGACTGGTTTAGTTCCTCTGAGCAAGATTATAGGACCTGAAATATGATTCATATACCTACTTTGTATGAGATCTGCCATGCTGAGTCTAATTGTACCCTGTTGGGTATAATGCTCTTCTCTATCTCTTTCCTCTTACTTCTGGCAGGTTCATCCAAGGCGCATCGGTGGATGACCCCTTTGTGTTCTACCACTGGTGCTACATTGACATATTTGTTTACTTCAGTCATCGCAACGTTACCATCCCACCTGTGGTCTGGACTAATGCTGCTCACCGCAATGGAGTCCTCATGCTAGGTGATCTTCGCTGGGCCATCCCCTGGAGCATATGATACACATAGTGTTTGGGGCCTGTGGGAGGGAGGGCCTCACTCTCTAAGTCGTCCTTTCCTTACTCCACCCCTTTGCTGAGTTGCAAGAGGCAGGAGTTGCAGTGGGTGGTACTTCTTTCCTCCTATCAGTTGCATTCTTGACGCATGCTGCCACTTACCGGGGGGGGGCCCTCCAGATGTTGTTGCTGGATTCCAGCTCCCATCATCCCTGAAACGTTGGTCATGCTTGCTAGGGCTGATGGGAGGAGTCCCACAACTTCTGCAGGGCCGTAGGTTCTCCGCTGTTGAAAGTCTGGGGCCACCCACAGCCTCCATTCCTGCTAATCTCCCACAGCACTCTGCTTTCTGGGAGATGCAGGGAGTTTTTGCAAGCAGCTGCTGTTGCTGTTCCACTCTTTATAGCCGTGCTTCAAGGCACAGGCAATTGCCGACTCCTCTGACATTGCTTGTATTTTGGGTATTCCTCTTTCCCCCCTGGAGGTTCCTCTGGGCTCAGCTCTTAAGCCTTCCTGTGGCGCAGTGGCTCACTGCGCTTGGCTGTTAACCAGAAGGTTGGTGGTTCGCACCCACTGCGGGCAGAATTCTTGCGTTGCAGGGGGGTGGGCTAGATGACCCGCGGGACCCCTTCCAACTCCAGGATTCTGCGGTTCTCCTGATGCACAGAGGTTTTGGATGGTCCAGGAGACGAGCCGCTCCGTTACTTCCCTCCATTTCCTTCCCTACCTGTAGGGACCTTCATCACAGAGTGGGGAGACGGTGCAAAGATGTGTGAGTCCTTCTTGGCAAGCGAGGAAGCGTACCGTGCCGTGGCTGATCAGCTGGCTGCGATTGCGCAGTTCTATCGTTTTGATGGTTGGCTGGTCAACATTGAGAACTCTCTGAGTGTAAGCAAGCAACATTGCCCCTCCCCTGCCAACCTTGGCCTAGGAGGGGAGTTAGGGTTCATCCATACATATGTGTTCCTTAAAGTCCCTGGCATTGCTCAGGGGGAGCAGGAGCTATACCTAGGGGTATGCTCAGTATCACAATGCAGCTGTGATATGTATCCCCACGTCAGAATTTCTTCCTTTAGGTCCCTAGGATCCTCAGAACCCCAGGTGGCTTCTTACCTTCAGAGACTGGCTGGGTAGGCCCCTTACCCCTAGGGCTTGAAAACCCCCTTTACGTCGCAGAACCACTTTCCTATTTTTATGCCTGCCTGCTAGGGCTGGGCGATACCTAGTTTTCAACCCCGTGATATTTCACCCACTGAACATCATGATATACTGATATATTATGATGTCTGAAATAAGGATGGAGCTATGCATAGCCATTGGCTGGCTTCATGGTTTCCCCCCACATTGTGATTTTCGTATAGCATACACATCATGATTCGTGATGTATCGCCAGGTCAAAAATTACGAAACTGATCTCGCAATATGGACTTCAAACTGGTTTTGGATGCTGTATTGCCCAGCCCTGCTGCCTGTTCCCCAAATTACTTGTAGCACAGCGATTCCCTTTACCTGCCCATGCTAGTCCACACTGTTGCCCTACTGGCTCACCCCTTAGAGTTGCCCCCGAACCTCTTTCCTCTCTCCAGTTCTCTTCTTACCTTCCTTGCCTTGTCATTTCTCCTCCCCTGTCCCTTTCATAAATTTCCTGGGGCCTCTCCTCCATCACTCCTTTCCCATCCTTCCTTTTCCATCGCCACTCTGGGCCTCTGATGAATTCTGTGTATCTGCTGGCACCCAGCTGCCTGTCCCCTGGAAAATATATATTTCCCAAACTGAGGTGTGTCAGTCTCCCTGGCTTTGGGCAGCATGCATATAACATAATAATAATAATAATAATAATAATAATAATAATAATAATAATAATTGGCATGCTGAATGATGGACCAACGGCCTCCCAAGGACCTGTCGCGCTGGCTGATTGGTGCAATTCTTTCATGGCAGGTGTCGGCAGCGCGTAACTTGGTCCACTTCTTGCGCTATCTGACGGCCCAGGTGCACAGAGCTGTGCCGGGAGGGCAGGTGGTGTGGTATGACAGTGTCCTGCAGAACGGGGAGCTCAAGTGGCAGAACGAGCTGAATGAGAAGAACCGGTGAGTGATGCCCCTCCCTGTTCTACAGGCAGTGGGTCTTGCCCTGGGGACCAGAGGAAGAAGGGCAGCACATCTGAACCTGAGGGTAGCCCCACAGAATCTCTGCCCCCTGCCCTGCAGCATCTCCCTGATACACTTGGCCTGCCGAGGGGAGCTCGTGTGTGGTACAAAATAGCCAAGATCTACCGTAACCAAGAGCTGCAATGCACTAGTGCAGTGTTTCTCAAATGTGGGCCCCCAACTGTTCTTGCAACTACAACTCCCATCATCCCTACCTAACAGGACAAGAGGTCAGGGATGATGGGAGTTGTAGTCCAACAACTGCGGGGGACCCAAGTTTGAGAAACACACCACGCTAGTACATTGTAACAGAGAACGAGAAAACCAAGCATGGGCCTCAGCGAATGGTAAGATGCGAGAGATCGACAGGCATTGCTGAACAAGGGAAACATCATGCCTGCTAAATCCCAGCTAGCTGGAAGACCAAACTTGACTCAGGGGGCTGTATCCTTTTGGGGTTTGTCTCTAGTGCTGTGGCAGAGATGGGGAATCTCCAGGTCTCCAACTCCCATCAGCCCCAGCCAGCATTGCCAGTGGGCACAGGGATGATGGAAGTTGCAGACCAGCAAAAACCAAGGGCCACAAGTTTCCCTCTCCTTCCCCAGGCGGTGTAGAAAGTATCCTGGAAAGGGACAGGAATTCTCTCTCCCCCCTTTTTCACAATGCATTTTCCCTGGTCCTTGTCAGCTGTGCATGGTCTACAGCTGAAGCATCCCTTGGGCCTGGGCTGCTAGGATCCATCCCGCTAGAGCTACCTGGAAGGGCCTGTAAAGCCTTAGGCCTTCTGGACGCCACAAAGGGACCCTCTTCATGGTCCTGGAATGAGTTGGAAGGGACCACGAGGATCATTGAGTCCAACCCCCTGCAATGCAGGAACCTTTTGCCCAACGTGAGGCTTGAACCCACAACCCCGAGATTAAGAGCCTTGCACTCTTCCATCTGAGCTATCCCAGACGTTCCTCCGTTCCTCGTGCCCATGCAGGGTTTACTTTGACGCCTGTGACGGTTTCTTCACCAACTACAACTGGACGGAGGAGCACCTGCTGCGTACGCGAGAGATGGCCGACGACCGCCGGGCGGACATCTACGTGGGCGTGGACGTGTTCGGCCGTGGGGTTGTGGTGAGCAGCGGCTTTGACACAAACAAGGTAGGCAGGCTTTGGGGCCTGTGGGAGGCTTGCTGCCCTTGTGGCTCGCAGTTCCAGGTGACTGAGAGCTGGAGAGGACAGTCGTGGTTGCCTTGGGGTGGGCGGACCCAGCCTCCACTCTTGTCCTGGGTAGGTTGGCTCCCCTGTTATAGAGGGGGGCAGGGCAGTTGCCACCCTCCCCGCACCCCATGGCTGCCCACACTCCGGAGCCCCACCCCGACCCCCTTTCAAGAGGAAATGGTGACTTGGCGTTCCTTGTGTCCCCGCAGTCCCTGCGCATGATTCGGGAGCAGGGCCTCTCGGTGGCCATTTTTGCACCTGGCTGGGTATATGAGCACTTAGGTCCGACCGACTTTCTGAACAACGAGGACAAGTAAGATCCAGCAGGGAGGAGGAGGGACTTTGGGAGGGGAGGGGACTCTGCTGGAGGGCCTGCCTGGCTTGGCTTCACTTTGCCTGACTGCCTGGGATTTTCCGGCCCCCTGTGGCCTATTATGGGAGGGTCTTTCTGACAAGCCCCCACAACAGTGCAGCAGTGACCCAAGTTTCCTTTGGGGTTTGCACAGTGGCGTGGAAGACTTCTCAGCGCGACTCCTCTCTCGCTTGCTTGTTTGCAGATTCTGGGCCCTGCTCTCCAATCTGCTGCCCACTCACAGCATTGGCTCCCTCCCCTTCAGCTCCTCTTTCTCCCTGGGGATGGGGAAGAGGCACTTCCACAATGGGCAGGTAAGAGTACTGGGCAGTTTTGGGCAGAAGAAGCACAACTGCCTCTTTTAAGCCTTTGCAGCTTGACTCGCCAGCCTCTGCTTTGAAACTTGCTGCATGTGATCTATACAGACTGGAGACCCAGTAAGGCCTTCTGGGTAGCTCACTGGGCTGTATCCCCAGCCCAGCTGATCTGCCTGAGGTGTCAGCGACTCGAGGCCTCAGATTCTTAACCTTCAGGGACACTCTCTTTCAGAGCTAATTTTCCCACAGTCTTTCCTGTCGAGGGCTCTGCAGGAGGGCTCTTGAGCTTCAAGTCCCTTTCCACCCACAGGAAAACACTGGAGCCTGAATTGCAGAGAATGAGGAACACAACTCTATAGCTTCCTCCACCTCTTGCTGGCCGGCTGAGTCTGTGGCTTGTTTCCAAGCTGAATTCCCACCCCCGCCCAGCCGCCGTCAAAGCCTTTTAAACCTGGTCTGGTCTTTTCCTCCCTGGGCTTCCCTGCCCTCCTGCTTTCTTTCCAGCCAAGGTCGGCTCTCTTTCTACTTGAACGAGTCCTTCTGCAGCCAAATAGTGTTTCTATTCCCCAGCCTCTGCTTCAAAGCAGTGTCTGATGGGGTGGTGGTATGATTGGCAGCTGTAAGCAGTGCGAAACGGTAGGCAGGTGTATGTGATCTTTTTAGAACCTGCCAATCTTTCCTCCGCTCGAACTCCTGGTCACTTTCCTCCCTGCCAGTCTTTGAGAAGCATGTTTGTTATTGGGGGTGAGGGGGGCAAACTCTGCCCGAGACCCTGGGATATGGGCTGCCAGTCATAGAAGGCTTGATACAGAATAAGGCAGCTTTCTACAGAAGCAACGTGGACTGTGTTTTATGTGGTTAACGGCATCCTTGCACTGCATTTTTGTTTGGGGGTGATTTGGTTTGGTTACCCTTTTAAGAATCAACAGCGGCATTCGATTTTAACGTACTCACGCCTTCTGAGGTTAATTGGAGCTATTGAGAGCCACGATGAAACCTTAGCAGAGCGCTTCCCTCAAGGGCCATGCATCAAGCAAGACATCGCCACTTTGGGGGCTTCCAGCCAATCTCAGCCCTGCTTTTCTCAGGGCTTCAGAGTGTCGGGGAAACTCCCCATTTTACAGCATACTCCTTTGCACACCCCCTTGGAAGTAAGCCAAGAAAGTATGGAATTTCAGCTTCTGACCCTTTCACAAGACAGGCTAGTATAGCAAAAGTGTAGCATTTCCAATGCACGCTCCCCCTCCCCTAAGTGCTTGCCGACCAGGAAGAAAGTCCCGAACTATTTCAAAGGAAAGAATCAGCTCGCTAATTAGGTATTTAAGAGGCTTATCTTCCCAGTTGGCCCAGGAAGACTCCTAATAGTGTAAGAGGCCCGATGCTTCCAGATGGGAATTTGCACGAAGCAGTGGAACGCAAGATTTCGTTGACCTGTAATGCTAGCTTCTAGATACATTTTCCCTGGGCATGTTGGAAAGGTATGCTCTGGAGACTTAAGGGAACACAAGAATAATCCCGTTCAAGGTGGAAGGCAGTTTTGTTGCCATGCCCAGGCTGAATTCCCAGTGGCTCTTTTTCTCTTTTTCAGGAGAGTAGGATGGAGCCCTGGTACCACCTGAGTGCTCAGGAGGTCCAGCCACTGAACGCTGAGGTTTTTCAGGAGCGTAGGATGGGGCCCTGGTACCACCTGAGCGCTCAGGAGGTCCAGCCAGTGTACGCTGAGTTCTGGATGCCCAATGGGGGCCGACTGAGAACGCGCTGCTGCCTGCAGGATGCCTGGTGTGGGGGCAGCTCTCTGCTGCTGGAAGGGACCATCCCGTCCAATGAAGATCACGTCACAGCCAGGTGAGCAACGGTTGAGATGGCTGCAGGGTTTTTTTATTGGATGCGGGAGTCATATCGGGGTGTGTGTGTGTGCTGCTCTTGCAAAGGGGCTTCCTTAAAAAGCTGGTAGCAGGCAGAGGAGAGGAGAGCAGAGCCTGCAGACCATATACAGTGGTACCTCGGGTTACATACGCTTCAGGTTACATACGCTTCAGGTTACAGACTCCGCTAACCCAGAAATAGTACCTCGGGTTAAGAACTTTGCTTCAGGATGAGAACAGAAATTGTGCTCCGGCAGCGCGGCAGCAGTGGGAGGCCCCATTAGCTAAAGTGGTGCTTCAGTTTAAGAACAGTTTCAGGTTAAGAACGGATCTCTGGAACGAATTAAGTACTTAACCCGAGGTACCACTGTAATGAACACAGTTGCCTGCACCTGTGTGCAAAACAGGCTTGCATGTACCCAGTTGGCATGAATCGTGGACGTGCGGCTGCGTGTGTGATGCGGATCATTCAGCCCACCCCCTGCCCTCTTAACTGTTTTCTCAACTTGAGTGCTTTCCTCACATTCTCTTCTTAATCCAGGGAAACTGCTACACAGCCTTTGCTTCCACTAAGAAGCCTTTAGGGAGAGCACTGTCCCAGCGCTGACCACGTTCCGCTTTCCTGGGAGCTGCTTCTCAAAGGTGGAGCAAAGTTAGAGACTGTGACTGCCTGCCTGCCTGCCTCTGCAGGGATCCTGACAAGGGTTGGTGGTGGTGAGGCTGAACTGGGTTCCCCCAAGCAAGGAGCAGATTTGGAGGGAATACAATGTTTGAGACAGTCAGGATTTTGTCATCTGGGATAGAGGAGTTTTCATGGGCTGTTTCATCATGGAAAGAAGGGGGTTTGAGAAAGTGCGTCTGACCTGGAATCTTCAGGGCCCAGCCGTGAGCTCAGTGATGTGGGAAGGCTCAAACTCCTTTGTGCATCCGCCCTTACCATCCTCAGTGTTCCTGCGTGTCTGTGAGAATGAAGCCTTTGCACCTTGCATGCCTAAACCCCTTCCTTTTGCAGGTGGCGGCTGCCTAGTGCCCAGAGTTGGCCGTGACTGTGTCCTCTCTCTGTCTCTCTTCCTGTCTGTCTGGGGCTTTTGGGGGCGGGGGTCACCAGGCTGTTTTCCTTCCAGGTGCCAGCACCCCCCCGGCTGTTCCTGGTCATAATTTATAAACACGAGGCCTCTTCCCAAGGCGTGAGCTTTGCACCGGTGTTCACCACGCGGCAGTCAAGTTCCTGTTTCTCCAGCGGCGAGTCGGGTGAGGAAACGCCAGGCCTGCTTTGGGGGCTCTCCCTCTGACTGCCCAGAGGAAGGGGGCTTGTGGATCCCCCTCTGTGGGGCAGCAGAGGCTGGGTGAACGATAGCTCCAGATATTGACTGATCCCTGTTCTGTCCGCTGCCTCTCCCTCATTGCTCTCTTCTTCCCCCCCAGGAGAACCAAGGAAGCACAAACCCTCCCTGCTCCCCACACCTCCCCATTACCTTGCTCAGCTGCTCAGGGGGACAGGACTGCGTGGGGAACATGACTGGCAAAGTCGGTGAGTAGAAGGGATTGACAGAATGCATCACTCTTGGGGTTTTGTTTGTTTGGTTTCTTTCTTTCTCCTTGAACTGACCATTTTAGTGGTGGCCTGGCAGCCTTTCCCCTCTTGTCGGATTGTAGTTTGTAAACTCTCTGGGTTGGTAAACCATCTTTGACGGCTCTGCATGAAATAATAATGGGGCCTGGGAACCAAAGAGCTACGGGCAGTGTGGGATGGGCTTTGCAGTGCCCAGCAGCTTACATTCTCTCTCTCTCTCTCTCTCTCTGTTCCCCTCAACAGATGCTATGAGCTGGAGCTCCAGAACTGCTTCCTGGACCAACTTTCAGTGACCGTGTCGCGTCGCCAGTCTGGCCGGAATGAGGTGCCCTTTGCATGCCGCCTGGGCAGGATCTGGGTGAGTAAGCGGTGGAGGCTAGGATGGGAAGCCTCGTGAAAATGGAGAGAGGGGTGGGTCAGCCGCAGTGGCGTAGCGTGGGTTGTCAGCACCCGGGGCAAGGCAAGTAATTTGCGCTCCCTAACCCGTGGATTTGTGCCCCCTAACCCGTGGATTTGCGCCCCCTAACCCTAACCCCCAGATGTTGCGCCCGGTGCGGCCGGCCCCCCCTGCACCCCCCACGCTACGCCACTGGTCAGCCGGCTTCCCCATGAAGCGCTGTGTTCTCTGTGGGCCTCTCGCAGCCCTGCTAAGCCCGAAAGGAGGAAGGTCTTTGTCCCTGGTTCTTTAAGTAAGGTGCTATGACATAAAACAGGGATGGGGAAACTGTTACTCCAAGCCCACAGGGGCTGCTTGAAGGCAATGGAAACGTCCTCCTGTTTTTGAAATTTGGCACCTTCTACTCTCTTAACCAAGTTTCTCTAGAGCCTGGCGAGCTCTCCTCCTCCCTCCCTTGCTGCAAGGCTTTGCCACTGCAGGCCAGGTGGTCTTGATGACGCAGTTTATTTCTTACCAGTTCTGGCCTTGCAATCAAAGAAATACTAAGATCAGGCCAGAACTTCTTGCTACCCCTGATCCCTGGGCAGATGGTTGCCTTGTCCTTGGCATTCTTGGTGACCCCAATTCAGCCTGGTCTTTATAAGGTGGGAGAGGCCTCTCTGCACCCATCTCCCTTCATCGCACTCCTGTTTCTTTGGGGCCCCGTTCCTGTTTTTATGCCCGCCCTGTGCGTGTTCCTCCACAGGTGCTGGATGCCACTGCTTTGCGCCCGCTGCCATCCGCTGATGCTGCCATCCCAGTGTCGCCTTTAGAAGTTGCCCATGTCCGTTGGCAACGGCTTTCAGCTGGAGAGCTCTCCCTCAGCCTCACTTTGCGCTGGACCTATCCTCCCAGCAAGGCCACCTGCTTCCGCGTTCACTACCGCAGGGGCTCGTGTGGCAGTGGTCCCGAACCTCGCCTGCTCCCAATCGGGGTGGCGTATGCCCCCCAGTACCGAGTGACTGAGCTGACCGTGCCTGGCGCCCTTTCTGAGTCCTCCTGCCGCTTGGAGTTCCTTGTGGAGCCGGTGCCCGACGATGGGTTCCAGGTAGACGCTGCAATGTGGGGGAAGCTGGTCTTTGTGTACTCTGATCCAAAGCTACCCAGTCCTGGCCCAGCGCCTGAAGGAACCTCATCCAGTTGATTTACATTTGGATCCTAGTGGACAATGCCCTTCTCCGCTTCCCAGATCTGTGCTATTAGGCCCTTTTTAAAGAGGGAAGAAGGCTTTTATTGAAGGCACTGGAACTCGCGTGCTCAGGCATCAGAAGCCCAACCATGGACAATTCAGTATCCAAAGATAATTTTTCATTGGGGAAACCACTTTAGTGGAATAGTTATCATGCACTAGAAACAACAATAAAAATTTTCAGGGAAGTACACCCCAACAAAACAATTCCACACTTGTGATATGGGCTATCATGACAGAACAGGCTTATCAAGTCACGTTAAACTCTTATAACATCCTTTTTAAAAAACCTGCACCAATAGTTACCTATCATGTGGGCTGAAACAACTCGAATTGCAGCTTTTTTGATGCTGAAGTAATGTGTGTATTTTATCATTTACATAAACTGATAAAGCCAGGGCAGAGGTGGGGTGGGTGGCCTAGCTGGCATGAGCCTACGATTTTGAGGGGCCTACTTCCAAGTTCCCCTGTTAGAGGCAAAGGGGAGACCCATTGGTAAAGGTTGTTGAAATGGGGCCTTCATTTCCCATCTGGCCTGGGTCTGTTACCAGCTTTGCACGGCCCTGGATAAAGCTGTCAGTTCTCCTCACCAACACATTTTCAGCAAAACCTAACTGGGAGACTGTAGCTTTTGAATGCAACCAAATCTCTAAATTTCTTTTGCCCTGAGAAAATTCATGATAATTATCCCACCCCTTCAATCAATTCTACATTTCTTATTTATAAGGAAACTTTAATTATGACAATATATCAGGCACTTACCTAAGAAAACTGAAGCCACAGGAAGCTATTTTCAAAAAGAGTAGCCCTTAAGGGTGGAAAAAGTACACATGGGGGAATTCTGAAGTGTTCTAGTACCTGGTGAATTTCTGCCTGCTCCTTCAGATTGATTTTTTTAAATAAATTTGTTCTGCTTGAATAGAGTTTATATGACTAAGGAAGACATGCAAGTGAAAACGGGTCTGGCAGATGAACTGTTTTTCTACAAAATATGTTGTGACTGGTGATTTACATTGACACTTTTTACCTCCTGTGTCTTATGAAATGATAAAATGTGTGCTTCATTACTTTTTTGCATTAGGAGCTCTGGATATGCTGATAGCCTTAAACTGCATAGTGACGCACAACAATTCGCAACACGGTTATTTATTTATTTTTCAAAATTTCTTTAAAGAAATGTTTTTAGTAGCATGTTGCAACTTTTAATGAACTCTGTCCTTGTGCAATTTTGACCCCTAACATTGGAATACAATATACAGTAGTGCCCCGCAAGACGAACGCCTCGCAAGACAAAAAACTCGCTAGACGAAAGGTTTTTTCGTCCGCGATTTGCCTCGCAAGACGAATTCCCCTATGGGCTTGCTTCGCAAAACGAAGCTTGCCCCGGGGACAGCGGGTCTTCTCTTTTGAAGCAAGGGGCTGGGGGGAGATAGCGATCTCCCTGCAGCCCCTTGCTGCAAAAGACGTCCGGGGGAAGCGGGGAAGCGAAGCGCTTCGCTTCCCCGCTTCCCCCGGACCTCTTCTGAAGCAAGGGGCTGGGGGGAGATAGCGATCTCCCTGCAGCCCCTTGCTGCAAAAGACGTCGGGGGAAGCGGGGAAGCGAAGCGCTTCGCTTCCAGCCCCCCGCGACCCTCTCCCAGCTGGAGAAGTGACGCGCGCCTATGGCAGGAGCCTCCATAGGCGCCCGTCACCTCTCCAGCCAGGAGAGCGCGCGCGGGGCTAAAGAAACCATAGCCCCGCGACCCTCTCCCAGCTGGAGAAGTGACGCGTGACTATGGCAGCAGCCTCTGAAGGATGCACCGAAGCCTGGCGTGGGGGGGGGGCGGAGAGACCTTCTCCCCGCGCCAGCCTTCGGATGGCTGTCCTGAAGACTTGGGGTGGGAGAAGGGTTTTCCTTCCCACCGCCAACATTCAGAATGCTGTTCTGAATGTTGGCGGTGGGGAGGAAAAACCCTCCTCCCACGCAAGCCCCGGGAACAGAGGGAAAGCGCTGCGCGCCTTCCCCTCTGTTCCCGTACCTGTGCTGAAGGCTTGCGGTGGGGAGAAAAGCCCTTCTCCGCACCGCCAGCCTGGCAAGCGGTTTCCCTAGGAACGCATTAATTGATTTTCAATGCATTCCTATGGGAAACCGTGCTTCGCAAGACGAAAAATTCGCTAGACGACAAAAATTGCGGAACGAATTAATTTCGTCTTGCGGGGCACCACTGTAGTTGCTGTCTCGTGCCGGAAGTGCCTTCATTGAGACAGCAAGTGATTTATACAGTGGAATAGCTCCATGTTCAAGGCAAGGTGCTGAACTCCAGAAATTTAAGAGGGAAGTTGGAATAGCCTTTTTTTTTTAGCACTATAGGGATGGAGATGTGTGCATTTTCATAAGGTCTTAAATGGATGACATAAGGGGAAAAAGGAATGCAGAGTTTTGAATACGTATATTTCTATAATTACAATACCAAAATCTTAAGGCTAATCAACCATAAATGAAATACTGGACAATCACCGTGTTTATTTGCACACCAAATTTTTGCTCTATTCTAAACTTTATTTTACTATATCTTAAAGAGTCAGAGCTATTTATAACTTCCACTATTTTCCTCCTTTTTTTGAGCTACTAATAAATTCACAATAAATGTCTCGTCTTCTCTTTCTCTTTTACTAGATACAATTGAGGTAGTAGTTAGAACAAGCATACCAATCAGAACGTCAAACAAAAACCACTCAATGTTTTGTTTGAGGCATTTTGAATTCAAATTTAGGGAAGACAAAAGTGGGCTAGCACTCCTATGGTCAGACAAGAACATTCACATGATAATAGCTTTTAAAAAAATATATGAGCAAATCCATTTCTCCTCCCTTCATGTAAACAATACAGAGAAGTCTCCAATTAACCAGTTTCCCCTTTCAAGCTGGGTGACATAGTAAACAGTGGTTATCGGCTTCAGTGATTACAGGCTTCATCATACAAAGTTGGTATTACGATCCTAGCTTTTCCTGAAGCTGGTAACTCTAGTTTGAGTTTGGACTGTGATTAATTGGAGATTTCCACATTGCATTCAGGTGCACCACAAACCGAGGAGAGAATGGGTTGTGTGCAGAGGCAAAATACATATTAAGCAGAAATGTGATAGTGTGGACAGGGCCTTGGCCTGAGACTGAAAAAGGGGACATGGCAGTGATCAACAAAGTCCACAGGATGGCAGCAGAGCTTTATGCTTGGCTGCTGCTGGTGTCTTCAGGACTTTGCGAGATAGAGCAGGGTGTCACTGAGCCCTAAGCTCCCAAAATGAATTAAAGATAACCAAGTTATTCCCATTCCAGAATCCTGAACAGATCTATTCCAGTACCTTTGCAACTTTGCCAATACTTGCTTCAGAAAGAACCTGTCATATGCAGTGAGAGACAAGCTCTGGAGGTGTTGCTGCACTCTGCACTGGGTTAGGAAACTTAGGCTTTACAGCAGGGACTTACCTGATGTCTTAGTGATAAAGGTGGTGAGGTGGGGTGAGAGAGAAAGAGAAGACAGGCATAACAGCAACAACCCAGGGCTAAAGGGACCAGTCCTTCGGCCAGCACAGCGAGCAAGTGTTTCCTGGAGAGGTGATCTCCACAAGGTTTGGCCAGTGGTGGTTTTGGGGCGGAGAGAAAAGAATGTGGAGGTGTGAGAGCTAATGGGCATTTCTGCATTTGCAAACATCCTTGTTTCAGGCCACCCCTGCCTCCTGTCTGCATAAAGTCAAGCAATCTCCTGTAGGCCTTCCCCAGGGCTGGGCTACTGCCTGCTGTGTAGCAGACTGACAGCCCCGTCACCTCGCTTCCATTCCCACTCCTCTCTTGTATGCACGCGCACACACACACACACACACACACACACTTCTTTCTCTGCCCCCATCTCCGAATTTCTGATGCAGAGCCAAGCAAGAGAATTCCCTTGCAGTCCAGCATGCAGGCAATTAGCGGCATGGAGTTTGACCAAGCGTGATGTGCACAGCGACCTCAGCTTCTCTGCTGCACAGGCCTTGTCCCCATGTTCAGCAACATTTGCACTGCCAATGCTGCTCAGGTGGGCACGACTGCAGCAAGAGCAACAAGCTTGGCATTTTGAAAATTGTCTAACCCAGTCCGTTGCTTTAATAATGAAATTTCCTCCTTCAGCCAGAGCTGTAATGGGGTGTTTGAGAAATCCTGGTCTCCCAGCATTAACACGAGTATTGCCCTGTTTCCTATCATGCCTTTCACAGGCAGTCAAGAAACTCTTCATTACCTGCTCATGCTTCCCTGTTTGCTGGCCTTCTATTTCCTCACTTTGTGTAGAAGAGCAGGGGTGGGGAATCTGTGGCTCTCTGGATGTTATTGGAAACCCATTAGCTCCAGCCAGCCTGGTCGAAGGCCAAAGGATGATGGGAGTTGTAGTCCAGCAACATCAGGAGTAGAACCACAGTAAGAAACTTAATGCATGATGAGGTGTTCCTCCTGTGCAAATCCACTTTGTGTGGCTGCCTTGAAAACTGCCTGCTGTTATCATCACCCACTTCTAATTCCGTGTGAAGATAGAATTGCAGTGGAAAAGCATCAGAAGCAACACATTAAGGTGTGGAGAGGAAAGTGAATGCAGAATTTGTGTTAATCCTTATACATGGCAAATGACAAGGGCGTGTGTGTGTGTGTGTGTGTGTGTGTGTGTGTAGCTGGACAGACAGAGCTACAGAACTGCTGGATATATTTACTAGCAGTGGGTCACACAAACAAACAAAAAACAGTTCCACACAATTTACCTGCATGGAACATTCATGGCTGTGTGATGCTGCAAGGCTGTCAGGACTCTGTAATGGATCTGGCACATATATGGAGAAACATTGTGCTCCACCAAGAAGATGCAACTCATCAGCCATATAGCCTTCCAGGTGCTTAAATAGCTCTGCCCCCGCCCGCCTGCCCCGCCTGCATGTTTGCAGATTAGCAGGTAGCAAACACAAAGGAGATTTATGGAGCCCCTGATGAGCAGCAGAGAATACCTCAGACCTTGCTTTCTCTTAAGTCAACATGGTCTCCTGTAGAGGTCACTAGACTCAAAATCCCATCTTCCCTGACCATTTGATCCCAGGCTGGCTGTGGCTGATGTTGGGAGTCCAGCTGAGCAGTGCATTTCCCATCGCTCCTGTAGTGATCTGCAATCAGAATACCGCTGACCCATGGCTCAACTCATGCCTCCTCCTCTCATGCTTCTTCCTGCTTGTGCTATTCATTGCCCCCCTCTCTTTCCCCCCCCACCACCAAGTCAAAAGCTTGAGCCATCCTGGTTGAAGAAAGAAACCTTTATTAATAATCTTAATAATAATAATCAATAAATAATAATAATAGTAATAATAATAATACTGTTTATTTGAATGGTCACACCTTTGAAGCGTACAGAATGGGGTGGGTGGGCGGGCTGATGCTCCCAGGGTGGGAGACAGGGCAGCAAATGGGAGGAGCTTTATACAAGGGGGAGGGAGTGGCAAAGGAAGGGGCTATATACAACGGGAATAGAAAAGGAGGATCATCTGGTTGCTGGCGTGTCAGGAGCTTTAATGCTGAGTAGAAAGTGAGGTTTCATGAGATGAATAAGCCAAGGGGGGGGGGCGGGTTCAGGGTCAGCATGGGGAAGGACCAGAGTCCATCTGGCTCTGGGAGCAGGTGGCAGGGTGTGGGGAGCGGGCCGTAGGACATGCACCCCTCCCACTATGGGCCATGGGCACGGAAGAAACCGATGGGAGAGAGTGTGCCCACTGGCGCCAGCAGGTATTTGCTCAGTTTGTGCACAGCCCTTGGCGCACAGCCCCGCCTCACTCCCTGACACCACCATGGGGCTGTGGCCTCCCACGGGCTTGGCCACGCAGTTGTAAGGGCGTGCTTGTCCCGGTGGTGGTGGTGGTGTGTGTGTGTGGTGGCAACCGTTGGCCCTTTGAGGATAGGGGTTGGGGGTTCTTGGTAGATCTGGAGACCACGGGCAAGGCGGGGATTGCCTCGGATGATCTCAGCTCTGTGAAGCCACAGTGAGAGCAGCCAGGCCTACTGCAAGGAAGGTAAACAGGGTGCAGCTTCTGACCCCCTCTGGGGCTGGTGGGAGCTGGGTTCTCGGGGGAAGGGGGGAAAGTGCAATCTCTTCAAAGGAAAAAAAACAACAACACCCCTCTAAAACCCGAGATTCCCACCCACAGAAACAAGGTGGCTGTGCCCAGAAAGTCCCTGGCCTGGCCCTGCCTGGGCATCCCGAGGCCTTGCCAACTTGACAAATGGATGAACCAGCAAAGCACAAAAAGCATTGGGAGGTTCTGGGAAGCGAGAAGCAGGATTGCTAGCCCTGCGGGAGCGCTCGTGGCGTGTTCTGTGGTTAGGGGACGCCCGCAGCTCTTCTTCTTCTTCTTCTTCAGGAGGGCTGGAAGGAAGACGTGGTGGCCTGGGAGGGCCTGCGGAATCCAGTCTGTGTCAGTGCCTGTCCCTGGCCCCGTGGGTCTGCAGCGGGGTGTGGGGGGAGCAGGGCACGGGTCTCCCGGTGTGCAGACGGCTTTGCAGAGTCTGTGGCGGCTGCCGTCCATCCGTCCCGGTCGGTGGGTTGGTCGGTCGGCCGGTGCTTGAGCTCCGTCCGGATGGCCTGTCGCTTGGCTTGTTAGTTTTGTAACTGTTTTGTTGGCTCGTTAAGTTTTGTAACTGTTTTGTTGCTTTGCTTAAAAAAAAAATTTTTTTTTGGTGCCCTTCCTGGTCCCAGAAGGAAACAGCTGAAGGTTTCACTACAACAGAAAACAAAGGCAGAACGTTCCATGGAGCAACCTGCAGGTGGCAGGCGGGGAAGACTTGGTGTCGGGGAAGGGCTTTCTGCTCTCTGGGGGTGTGCTGGTCTGGGTATGGTAGAGCTGGGAAGTGGGACCCTGGGACTCAGTTCCCAGCACCCAGCACCCGCCCCGCCTCCTATGTCTGCATAAGTGCCCTCCCCTCCCCTGCCCCCTTTCTGTACAGATGTATGTGCCAGACCTGCTCACACAGAGCGCTGCCCACCTCCTACATGGAACGGCTGCTCCCCATACGAACAAAGGAGCTGGGATCATTCAGCCCACCAGGAGGCTGGTCCCAACCAGCTCCTTCACTAGGCATGTGGTTTGATAAGCCTAGAGAGCAGGGGCTCCTTGCAGGGTTCCCTCTTCCCCCACCCGCTCTCACTCTTGCTGCGTGCTTGGAAAGCTATCCTCCACCTCCCCCATCGCATCATTCCTCTGCAAGGGGGCAGCTTCCAGTTCCTGCAGGCAGAGGAAGCAAAATTCTCCCTGCTGTTGCTTGGAGGCTGAGTGCATCTAAGCAGCGTAAGGTGGGTTGGGACTGCAGCCTGCACCTGCTGGGATTCTGGAGCAGCCTGGGGCCCTGCCCACCTGGTCCTTGCGTGTGTGTGAGTGAGGAGCGTGGGCAGTTTGCATCCGAGAGGGATAACATCCTGAGTTCTTTTAACTGCACCCTCCCTCCCCTGTGCAAGGACCTGAACACCCGGCACAATGCAGGGGGCCTGACTGGGGGCCTATCTCGAGCGCCACATGGCCCCGGGGCTTGTGGCAGGAAAGCTTGGGAGCAGGGTGGGCTCTAGGGAGGCTCTCCGTGAGGTTCTGCTTGCTGGTGTTGTTTGGTTTTGTTTGGTCTGGCGGAAGCAGGCGCCTGTCCCAACCCTCCCCCCCCGGCTGGTAGCTTTGCAAAATGAAAACAAACTTGGCGGCACACCATCAGAGACAGGTGGGATGTGAGGCATGAGAGGCGGCTTGAGGTAAAGAAATATGTGGTTTAGGCTGCCGAGGGCCAGCAGCGTGGGGCGGGGGCCCATGTCCATTTGATTTTGGTTTGATTTCTAAGGAGCAGTCAGTGTTACTATTGTGAGGAGGGGCTGGGTCTGTCTTGCTAGTAGGGAGTGAAGCGGCTGTACCCTCCTCGGTATAGACTAGCCTGCAACATCAAAGACGGAGAAAAAGCCAATCAGTATAAAGGAGAGGCACAGCCCATCCCTGCCCTGTTATTTCAGCCAAGACGGGGGTCCCTTGGGACCCCCAAGGCTGGCAGAGGCCTTGCTTTGTGGTGGGGACGAAGTGGTGGTGGTGGTGGTTGGACTCAACTCCCAGCATGCAATGCTGCTGTGGGCCTGGGCTCACAAGAAGTCCAGAGGATAATGGATGGATAAGGCTGAGGTACATTTTTAAAAAAATAAAATAAAGGAAAGCAGAGCTTTGGAAGCTGGAACTTAGCTGTTTCCTATGGACCATTTCAGTAGTAAGGGGAGAGAGATGAATTGCACTCAAGCCTCAGTCCCCTTCAGCCAGCCCAGGATCTTCTGCCCTGCCTCTCCCCCCCCCCCCGACACCCCAAAGAACTGAACCCAATTCCTTAAGCCCACGAGATGGCTGAAAAGGCCATTCGTTCCTTGTTTTATCGCTGGGAAGGCACTGACACCATGGGGTGGGCTAGTGGCTTGGGTGGGGAAGGTTAGTAAAGCAGGGTGGCTTGGATGTTTCTCCTCTTTGATGCTGTATGTGAAAGCTGATTGCAAGGAGGCGTCACTGCAAGAAATGGGTGCGGCAGTGTGTGTGAGATGGGGAGTAGCAGGGAGTGGCGTTGGGCTGTGTGCTTGTGCAACCAACCCCACCCTCTGCCCTGCTCCAGTTCTCTGCCTAAGAGTTAGCTGCTCCTTCAGAAATGGTTCCTGAGCAAACGGCCACTTCCACTTGGACAAGATGCTGCCCGCTCTGGACCGCTTTCCCTACAGAGCAGTGCATCAAGGCAGGCTAAACAGGAGGATGCCTGGAGACAGCCAAGAATGTCGCAGCAGGCCTGTGTATGTCCTTCCTAGTGGCCACGAAAGCAGGAGGGTCTGCACCAGGCCCTGTGTGTGTTGTGTGTTTCTGTCCTTCCCTCCCCACTCTTGGGATTCTCCTCCTTAGGCTTCCTTTCCCTGCACAGTGCTGAGGAGGCGGCTGCAACCGAGGGGTGAATTTGGATGTTTCCCAACACCCCTCTCTTTTTACCCGAAGTGGCCAGCCCAGCCCCAAGGCGGCATGCTTCCCAGACAGCCCCACGCGCAAATAGGTGGGAGGGAGGGCTCTTACCATAGTGCCAATGCTGTAGGTGGCAGCAGGGCCGATGGTGTGGTGGTAAGGATCTGCAGCTGCATAAACTCGGCCATAACTAGGAGCGAACACAGGGGGCAGCGTTAGAAACTGGGGGGTCGCAGAGTTGCCAACCCTAAATGTTAAGAAAATCATGAATCAGGCCCCAGATGTCATACATAGTTGTTGTTGTTGTTGTTGTTTTAAACTTATAATACACCTCAACAGAAATGGCAGGATTATTTCCTGAGTTGTTAGGAAACAACCCACCACAGAGCATTCGGTCTCCTCCATACACACACACAGAGCACTTCAAACTTTGGACAACCTTAGAATACGCCAAGATTTGTGAGCCACGTGCAAACTGCATCTTCATTCCCACCACTCTGGTTCCTTAAGCCCAGATGAAATTCCCCCTGAACATCTTCAGAAGGTCTAAGGGAAGGAAGTCGTTACTAGCAACCAAGGGCTGGCCACTGGAAAAGTGTTGCAAACAAGAGAAATTCTGTGCTTGGCACCAGAGTGCAGGGGGAAAATACGCAAAATCTGAAAAGAACTGAGAGAGCGTAAAAGAAACACACATTAGAATAGGTTGCGAGGTGTGCATTTGGGAGCACCTGCTCAAGCCCAGCCCTTGCCCATCACCTGTGCTGCCTTGTCACAGATAGCAGTGGGCATGCTGCGAACTGAAAGAGCTGCCCTGGCATGGACTGCTGCTTCAGTTCCACCTTGCAGAGTATCTCCCGCTCTCACTGGCAGCACAACTCCCAGGTCTCTGGCCAGAATGACACATTACATGCCCAAGTTGTGTTTCCAGTCCCCTGGGCATTCCTTCTCTGCTGCAAAGTGGCAATTGCAGGGTGGGGGGCAGCGAGGTGTGCGAAACAGAAGCATGTGCCTGGAACCTCCGTTTGGCCAGAAGTGATGGGCGTGGGACGAATGAAACAAGTGCCTGCCCCTTCCTCAGACTTGAGAGAACAAAGGCATTGGCAGCCCAGGGAGGGAAGGAGGAGGGAGACTAGCTAGGGAGAGGCACCCCAACTTGGGCTCCTAAAAAATCTGGCCAGCTCCTAGATCCGCTGTGGGGGAACCTTTGACCTGTCAGATGTTGCTGAACACTGAATTCCAATCATCCCTGGCCACTGGCCATGCTCGCTGGGGCTGATGGGAGCTGTTGCTCAGCAAGATCCAGAGGGTAAAAGGTTTCCCACACTTATCCTAGATGAGGAGTGGGGAACCTCAGGGCAAAATGGTCCTCTGAACACTCCCTGGGCTAGAAAAGGTTCCCTGGCTAGATGTTGTCCTAGACTGTGAACATTAAGTCTGTGATGCTGTGCACCTGTGCTTATTAGAAAAAGGAGATGGAGGAGGAATCGGAGTGAATTACAGTGTGGCAACCAGCTGGAAAAGGGGATCGAGATGAAAAGAACTGGTTGTGTGTGGCATACAGGAAATGGAGGCTGAATAGCTTCCTGGCTGCCTCTGGAAAACAGGAAAGGGTGCGGAAGGATGGGGAACAGGGACTGGAGCAGATCCTTTGGCAATATTGGATCATATGAACCAAGAGGAAGAAATTATAAGAGGATTTTGTATGTGAGGAAGAGAAGGACAAAGAGCTTAATTCCAGGGGTTCTTAGACTAATATTTCAAAAAGGAGAATGGAATTGCAAGACTGATATTCAATAGCTAAAGTCTTAAAGCAGCAAAAGCTCAGGGGATTTTAAGAATGCTTAGTATTTATAGTTCAAATTACTTTGTGTGCATAATGATAACTTGGAGGTTTGAATACTGCAATGGGCTCTAAGTGGGGCTGCCCTTGGGTCTGGACTGGAGGCTTGTGGTAGGCAGATTGTGGATGGGGGCTTCTGGTCAGGGTCCTTCCCAACTCTACAATTCTAGAACATGTCACACCATTGTTAAAACAGCTGCACACCTGCTAACCAAGCCAGGTTCAAGGTTCATGGATTGACTTACAAAGTCCTGAGTGACACGGGTCCAGGACACCTCAGGGATCACTGAGATCACATGCAGGAGTGTCTTTGGTTGTTCCCCGAGTTGGTGAGGCTTGTTTGACAACAATGAGAAGCCTTCAGTGTCATCAGCCCAGTCCTATGGAACACGCTGCCAACAGAGATTCAGCAGGCCTCTTCAGTGACAACTTTTAAATGCCTGCTGAAAACTTTTCTGTTCTGCCAGGCCTATGCAGGCAATTAAGAGTACACCTGTTGTACTTTGTTGATGTTAGTTTTTAATTTTAAAGTTAACTTTTGATGATTTTATTGTTTGGTTTTTTGTTTTCATATGGCCGTAAACTGCTGTGATATAGCTTTATGACACAGAGGTATATAAACACTTTTAAATAAATAAACCATCTCAGTAATTCTTGACACAGCCCTGTAAGGTAGGCCAGCATTACTGCAGATGGGGGGCTGAGATTATGTTGGGATTCACCTAAGACCACCCTTGTGGCTTAAATGAGATCCGAACTGTAGCTCAGAGCCCATTCTTCTAAACCAGGGGTGGGGGAACCTCCCTCTAGATATTGCCGTTGGCCAAGTTGGCTGGAGCTGGTGAGAGTCTGAGCCCAACAATGTCTGTAGGCACACACAGCTTCCCCTCCCCCTGCCCCTAACCATTAGAATGCCTATACATTAAGTAAAATGTGGGCATTTTAAACCAAGCAGAATAACTAAACATGCATTTTCCTCTTTGTTGAGAAATAATAGATGTGGAAAACTTTATATTATAATCTATTTAAAAGTCCATTTATATTTTCCAGGAGACTCATGAGAAGGACCTGGCAAAAATTTAATAGGTTGCTTGCAGCTCTTTCCTGGGAAAACTGGATGGGTAACCCCCCCCCCATGCTGTCACCATGTTTTTCATCTGCATGCTTCCATGGAGGAAGAATGTCATGTTGGAGTGATCTAAAAGTAGTTACCGTTCAACGGTTTCCCTGATATTCCACCGATGGACTAATTAAATGACAATCAACTGCATTTCTAATAGGATACTAAAAGACAAAGGTAGTAAAGGGGTGAGGGGAATGTTAATCAGTGTGAATTAATAACCAGATAAATAATATTTCCTCCAGCTTTCCAGTAAGATAACCACAGCCACCTTTGTCATAATTTGGATATTAGAAGAACAAGGGGACTGTGAAGAGTTAAATACAGCTGCCTTGTTACCACAGAGCTTTGCCCTGCAAGAGAGGCCACCTAACAGGCCCCACAGAACTTGGTCATGTTCCATACAGTTGCTCCATATCCATATGAAGTTAGGCATGTCCACCAGAATAGAACAGAATAGAACAGAACAGAACAGAACAGAACAGAACAGAACAGAACAGAACAGAACAGAACAGAATAGAATAGAATAGAATAGAATAGAATAGAATAGAATAGAATAGAATAATTGATTCCTATAGGTGTGAAAGGAATGAAGCAGATTCTCATGAACAACTGGTATTGGAGGCACGTTATAATAAGAGCCAGGGGTCAGGTCAGATTGAGTCTGGATAGCTCAGCTGGTTAAAGTGTGGTGCTGATAATGCCAAGGTTGCAGGTTTGATCCCCGTATGAGACAGCTGCATATCCCTGCATTGCAGAGGGTTGGATTAGATGATCCTCAGGGACCCTTCCAACAATTCCATGCGCTGCTGAGCCTGGAGTTTCATATCCAGACAGGTCAAGCAATGGCCCTCACAGATGCAGAAGTGGGTTTGTAGAGGATGGGAACACGGCCTGCTGAAGGCAATGATGGCCCACCTTCCTCACTCCTTGCGGGGGCACCCTTCCTCATCCTTGTTGTCGAGGATGCTGGCTGATAACACTGGGCAGGGGAACAGGCCATGAACCGCAAGATCAGGACTAATAAACAGGTAGGGCTGCTTACCTGTCACTGTAAGCTGCTGCTGCCGCTGCCGGCTGGGCATATCTGTAGGCTGCGTAACCCCCCTGGAGCAAAGAGGAGAGACAAAAAGTTACTGCGAAGGCTGCGGTGCCTGTGCTGGCAACCAGGAAAAGAGGCATCTTGTGCCATGAGGCTGGTTCTCAGCAAAGAAGCTGGGCACCCCAGGTGCTAACCAAGCTCAGGAGGGACGCATGCAGCCACCCCACCAGACTAGCCCAACACCAGTCTCATTAGCATTCCCCAGGGATCTCACTAACATTAACCTGCAGAAATTAAACATGCTGAGGAGAGAATGTCACCTCCCTGGCGGGTGGCGGTGTTAACGAGATGTCGCCTCTGATAAATCCGTCAGTGTGCGTCTGAAATATTGCACAGAGCACTTTAAATATGGAGGGGGAAATGCCGCTAGAAGACAGCATGCTGACACTGGACCAGCAAATAAATCCTGCCCCGGGGGGGGGAGCAGCTGTAGAAGGCACAGGGCCACTGGCAGGTCGAACCTGCGTGCGATCCTGAGCGCCACCCCTGTCCCAACATGCTCTGCTGTTTTCAGTGGTCCTCCTGCAGCATGTATGTGGGGAAGCTTATTTCAAGATGTTTCCTTCACTGCCTTGCTACTATGGGGGACTCTGCAATGGCGGGGTGGGGGTGGGGAGAGTCAATGGTACACACACCTCATAAGCTGCAACTCAGGAGTGATGAAAAGGGATAGAGCGGATGGAGGGTGTACAGTTGCTGCCTTACCTCCTCTGCTCCCCAATGCCCTGAGACCAAGCAGAATATCCTTTGCGCTTGCGTTGCATTTGCAAGCACTGGCTCTGCAAATCCCCTGCCCGGTCGTCTCTCTTAACCAAGTGAGCAGGTGGGATTTGTCAAGACATGAAATATCCTTCCCAGAAGGTCATGTGCCTATTTACCAGCGTGTGTGTTTGTGGGGGTGAGAGAGGAGTGGTGTAGCACGAGAACCAGCCGGTGGGCTACTGCAGCTTGGACTGGAAAGTCAACAAACAAGAATTTCTCTCTCTCTCTCTTTCTCTCTCTCCCCCCCTGTAAGAGCAAATTAAGAAAGGCTGGACTTACATAAATTTCAGCACCGTAGAATCCGTCCTGGTAAACCACTCTGCAGAGGAAAGAAGCAAAATGCAACGGTGACTTATGGCTGCGTGCGAGGCACTTTGAAGTCCATTCCGTGCGACTGCACATTTGTTTCAAAGGGTAACCCTGGCTCTGGCATCAAACGGACCTTGTGACTCTGGTTTTCAGTGCTGTTAATGGCCTCTCTCTGCCTCGACGGCAGGCGAGATGCAAATGTGCTAGTCATCACGCTGGATGGGGGCGATCTGCCTGACAGGCAAGTGGGATGACCAAGAAGGAGCAGATGCTCCTTCGGGGAATCTGGCCGCGGCCACTCAGATATGCTCCATGCTTAAGCATGCACATGGATGCTATGATTACTCATGTATAGATACTAAACTAAGCCAGTTTCTAACTCCTCTGTCAGTAGGGAATAGAAAGAGTCTGTAAAGGATGCAGCTTCTGTGCCTACTATGGCCACCTGTCCCATTCTGCATGGCCTCTAGTCATCATCTACCTCCACCTTTGGAGGCAGTAATGCTTATGAATAGCAGTTCCCAGAAACTGCTTGCAGGCTTCCCCCAGGCATCTGGTTGGCCGGGGTGAGAAAAGGATGCTGGACTAGATGGGCTCTTCTGATGTTCCCATCTTTCCTTGTCCAGCTGTCCCTCATGCTTCCCTTGCTGCCAAATAAATCAATAAAATCTACACTGCGCGAATCAGTTTCATACTAGAGCATACAAATAAATATTTTGCGCAAAGCATATCTGCATGAATGCAACTGGCTTGCATAATTTATGATGGGCAGAGGAGTTGAGGGTTCTTACTGGGGGGGGCAGGCGGGGAGGAAGTGCACAACTACACAGTGTGCTTTCCCAGCTGTGCAATGATTGTGATATGTCAAGTGCCACATGAGTGTCTTCTATGCGGCAAGTACATGGGTTTGACAATCACACCCACTGGACTCCTTTAGCACTATTATTTGCATAGTCACAGTATTCAAACCAAACCAAACCAAACCAAACCAAACCAAACCAAACCAAACCAAACCAAACCAAACCAAACCAAACCAAACCCTCACTTTATATATAACTGTCAGTTTCTATTTCACTACACAGAAGAGATTGTACAGGAAACAACCAGTTTGCACGTTACTAAGGCATGCGTGTGTGCCACTTTGGGCCCCGGAAGGGGGCGGAACGGGCTGAAGCATGCATTGACCTGCAACGCAACCCCTGCACCAGTGGGAAGTTGCCTGTATTCCTCCACCTCGCAAAATAAAAAAAATGTAAACAGGCAAACAGGGACAAATCTTCTGAAAGAGCCAAGACAAAATGGCTACTGAATACCTTCTGTCTGCCTCCTGAGTGTGCTAGTCACAGTGTTACTTCTATGGCCAGCTATCCTAATCAAACAGGCACACCTAACACAGACGCCTTTCTCTAGGTGAAACGGGCAGCCAGCCAGGTGCAGGCCAGGGCTTGCCCCAAACCTGGCTGGAGATGTAGTCAGGGGAGGGCGACTGGGAAGTGTTTCCCCTGAGGCTTGCTCGTGGGGAATGTGGGGGCAGACCAATCGCCTGTTGTCTCCGTCCAAAGAGCCCAAAGGCTCCCCCCGCCCGCCTTTCGAAGGCCCCTGTCTCTGCGGCAAATACTCACGCTCCGTAAGCGGGGATGGGCGGAGGTGGGGGAGCTGCCCGGAACGTGTTGTAGACCGTGCGCCCCCGCCCCCGTAAGTGCGCCCCCCGGTACGCTACCGCTGTTCCTGTGGCTGGGTATGGAAAGCCTGTCACTGTGGGAGAGAAAAGGAAACCCCCATGAGCACCCCCAGAAGAGTCTTCTCCTGGTGCCAGACGTGGCCTGCCCACCTCTGTGTGGCAGAGGAGGGATCCCCCAGAGAGGAAGTGAGGAGCTTGCCCCTCGTCAGGTGTCCTGAGAAATATCCTCATGTGCCTGGGAGGAGGACACCTGGCTTCATCCCACCATCTCTTCTCTGTTATATACACACCCTCTGGGAATCTTTCTGCACCCCAAACTCCCCTCCTGCTCCACTCTCTTGAGAGGAGCTCCATAGTATGACTCCTCCTCTGGCCTGTTTCACTGAGGTCCTAAGGATAGCACTCTGCCCCCAGCCCCCTCTTCTTGTTTTGCCACAGGCACCTGTGTCAGGAACAAGCAAGCAAGGATCTTGCCCAGGGACCTGGTCTGATCCAGACATTACCTGCATAGAACTCTGGGCCATAGACGGTGCCCACCACAGGGTTCAGTTTCCAACCTGGGGAGGAAGAACAAGGAGACGTGAGAGCATCACCCTGGCCCATACCTGTCCTGTGCTCTCACTGCCAGCCCACCTGCCCAGAGACCTAGGTGAAAGGCCTAAGGAGCTCTGGGTCAAGCTTTCTAGCAAACAAGAGCCAGTTTTGTCATCTGTACCCCAGGATGTACTACAAAGTCAGGCTCCTCGCCCTGACACAGCCCCCCCAACCCCACAGAAAGCATTTTTTTTTTAAAGGCCTGCCAGTCTTCCAGCAATGACCAGCTCTGGCCTAGCACACCCTCTTGCCACAGCTTCACTCCATTACCATTTGTGTAGGGATTGGCTGCCTTCTTGTTTGTCATTACCCGGGCCGTGGCGTTGTTGACCTGGCGACACAAAGCACAGAGAAAGTGAGTTAGTGGCAGGCCTTGGACCAAAATATCCTCCTCCCAGGAGGGAACCTGGGACTGGAGACGCAAGGAACGTTTCAGGACGGACAAAAGCCAATCAGGGTTTGGACCAGATTCTCCAAAGAGTATGGGCTGGAAACCCTGCCTGCATATGCCAGGTCTGGCAATGCCCCAATTTCCTTATCTTAGGTGTAGAGCCCTTTGGAGCACACAGGCTTCAGGCGTGTTGAGTGGGAAGTTGAAATTTGGAGCTTTCAAAGGAAACGTTCCTGAACCTCTCCATTCCCAGCATAACGTTCAACACCCAGCATGCAGGGAGGACCCTGCCCAGGCTTCATGCACAGTGGGAGATCCATTCACCAGACAGGCTTGTGAAGGTGCAAAGGAACACACAGGGGCAGGAGCTCCAGAAAACGATGGCGTCAGCATCAGATCAGCACTGCCTGTCCGCCCTTGACCACAGCCCTGGCGAACTCAAGCAACATTATTCTGCAAGAAGCATCTTATATGGCACAACAGTTTGTGCCTCAGTGTGATCAAGAAAGGTCCACCAGGGCAAAACCAAAGGCCTTGCTCCATCTCACCTCCTAACTCACTGACACTGAGGCTGCCCATCCTGTAACATTTTGAAGAAAACAAACCAGAACCAGAACCAAGAAGGAAGCCAGGCAGCAATACGACTACCCTTTAGGGCCTAGGCGTCGCAAGTGGTTTAATCTGGCTGGCGCCTGGGAGGTTGGAGGATTTGGCAGTATCACGCTTGCCCTCCCTCCCTCCAGCTTTTCCCTGGCAGATCCCAGCAGACTCCTGCTGGAGAAGGTCTGCCCTCCTCTTCTTCTTTTGCTCTGTGCCCCACCCCTCCCCACCACCTACGGGAGATCAACAGCACAGGGCATGCAACATCCACTCGCCCGCCTGCGTGTCCTGGGAGGCCCAAGAGGTAGAAATGGTTAGAAAAGAAAGGGGTGTCTGTGTGTGTGTGCATGTGGGGAGCAAGTGTGACTCCTAACGCCCCGACGCAGAGCAGGCAGTGCACATGTTCGCACCTCGATCTTGCGTCCCTCTACGATGGTGCCATTCAGCTTCTCCCGTGCCCGATCGGCATCTGCACTAGTTTCAAAAGTTACAAACCCAAAACCCTGTGAGTGGGGGAGAGAAAGGGAAATGGAGAGAGAAAGAGAAAGAGGGGGATTTGGGAGGGAGGGAGAGAGGGTGGAAGAGGAGTAGGAGGAAGAGAATGAGAAGGGGGGAAACGGGGGTGGGTGGGACAGGACAGAGAGAGGGGGGTGAGTAAGGAGCAGTAGAGAGAAGAATCCCCCAGGGCCTGGGGAAAGAGGCAGGATGTGAACTTCCCAAGCGACCCCCAAGGGCTGGGGGGGGGGAGGGACGAAGCAAGGAGAAGGGGAGGGGGTAAGGCTCAAGAGGAATAAGGACAGGCGGCAGCTTCCCAAGAGGCCAAAATTGCAGGGCAAGACATGGCAGAGTACATTGCCGCTGCCTCATGGGAAGAGTGAGGTGTTCTGGACTGAGCTACTGGTACTTGCAATGGATTCCACCTGGAGAGGCATTACATTCCTGGAGATACATTACAGTATATTCATTCACTTTCTGAATGTCTGATGGAAACTGTGGGAAGTCCTCATTCTTTGACCAGGACCAAAGGCCAAACCAGACAGTGACATGGGAAATCTGGGACTGGGGGGATCTCCTAACACCTTTTCCAAAGTTTAAATGCAGCTTGGGGTGTGGATAAAAGATGTGGTGGTGGTTGGGAGGAGTTTAACCCTTTCCCCATCATTGCAATTTCCCATTTGGAATACCCCTCCCCAAACATTGCCATTAGCCCTTTTGGGAGATGGGGAAAACACAGGTACCTGGGTTATACCTGTCCACCCCTACCCCCCTTTCCAAAAAACCTAATATAAGTTTTGTGGCAGGGTGGGGTGTGGGGTGGGGATTTGAATCAGGAAGACATTGTAGGGAGAAAGGAATACTTGTTGTTGGGAATCACAGGTGGGGGCAGTGCTGCTGCACTCAGGTTCTGCTTGCGGGCTTCCCTTGGACATCTGGATAGCCACTGTGAGAACAAAATGCTGGACAACATGGGCTTTTGGCCTGATTCATCTTATGTTCTTGTGGGTTAAACATCCCCTTTTCCCAGTGCCATGCTCCTGATCCAATTCCCCACCCACACTATGGCATACACACAAGGAGAAATTAAGCTATGAAAAAGACGTGGGGAGATCTGGTCATCCATCTCCCATGTCACAGTCTGGTTTGACCCCAAAAGCCAATATTGAACCTGAAGAAACGGGCCTAGGAAAACTCAGTAATTGTGTTATTTAACAGCTGGGAGAAATTTCAAATCTTGTCAAACTAAACACCCCCATATCCTCCTGGAAACAAAATGCAAACTATGTTAATAAGTATTTTGGCATCTATTTCTGAAAAAGACCCATGCTCAACTCTATCTCCTGCAAAACCTTTGCAACAACTTGCCTTATGTAAAACATTTCCCCCCTCTTTTAATTTGAGTGATTTCCAGTTTCACCATGAGAGGGTGTTCTTTTCCTGCAATTAAGTTACCTTAGCTATAAGGTTTGCAGCTCCTAGTTTTATCATCTTTCCAACCTTACTCTCTCTGTAGCTTGCTTCAGAGTTAGCATCTGAAGAATGCACAAACCTGATACTGTGGAGTACCTCCATTCAGCATGTTCACTTTTAGGGTGAAAGTTAAAACACCAAACTTTGATTCTAAGTCAATGGCTGTAGGGTTTTAGGGGGCGGGTGGGAGAGAGAGGGGTGATTAGAAACTAGGTAGGCAACTTGAGGCACAGAGAGGAAACTGGAAGGGGCAAGAGGGCAGTCTGGACCCTGGGAAGGCGCACCTACACTGATGTTTGGGTTGCACCAGACACCAACATGCTGAACCCACCTTGGAGCCGCGCTCATTGAAAATGATCTCAACATCCAGGATCTTTCCAAATTGCTGCAGAACAAAACAAAAACAAAAGTAAGGAAGGGATGGAAGGTAAAAATAGAAGTAATAACTCCCTGTCTACTCCATCTTAACATGTCTGCTTTCATTCACTTATTTATTAAATTTAAATACCACCCTTCGCCTGAAGACCACAGGGCGGTTTACAGTACAAAACCACAAAAATACATAATGTAATAACAAACCAATAAAAACAACCCTGTGACTTTTTAAAAGGCCATAGATAATTTAATTAGTCCAAGGCCTGGGAGAACAGAAAGGTTTCATATGGTGGGGGTGGAGGAGGTATTGCAGTCCCGAGCCTTTTAAGCTGTCCATTTACTCAAAAAGGGGCACTGTGTCCTGGTAACCTCTGGAATCTGGGGAGTAAAGTACCAAAATGTACCCACTTCTGCCACAGGCCGTTGAGAGCCTGCTCCATCCCTGGGAGCTTGATAGCAACATGGCAGACACTTCAGGATTGAAGGACCAGTCAGTCTCATGTGCGGCATAGGCTGAGAAGATAGGTCAGTCCTGCTTGGGGCTGGGGTGGTGTCACAAGTTTCATGGGAGAGATTAGAAGGGAACTCCTGCCATGGTATGACTTGGCTAGGAGCAGGAGGCTCTGCACTCTCACCACAAGAGCTGTTATGAGACCTCACAACAGCTGTTCATGAAGAAGATGTGTGCAGGATGCTGAGGGCACACAGCTTGAGGAACATAGGGAACTATCTTATTACTAAGTCGGACCACTGGTCCATCAAACTCAGTATTGTCTACTATGACTGGCAGCGGCTGTGCAGGATTTCAGACAGGGGTCTCTCTTAGCCCCAGCCAGAGCTGGACCAAGGTGTTTTGCTGTCAGAGGAGAAGGGCACGGTGGCACCCTTTTCCTATTTCACCTATTACCATGGGTGACATGAAAGCATCCTACACAACTGAGATAGCAAGCCTGCTTGTGGGAAGGGAAGGGCATAGAAATGGTCATGATGCAACAGAGTGGAATAACTGGGGGCTCCAGGGAGTGCTGTTGTTGTTCCCCAGCATCTGCCACCTGAGGCCGTTGCCACACTCTGTCTAATGGTAGAGATGGCAGTGGCCCTATCCAAGTATATCAGGGATTGAACCTGGAACCTTTTGCATATAAAAAGTATGCTCTGTCCTTTCCTTTGGGATCAAATGTTATTTGATCCCACCAATTAAGGATGTTGGAAAATTCCAATGGAATAGGAAGTGGAAATTGCTGCAGTTTGCATGCTTGTCTGTGGTCAGCAACAGAGATCAGTCAAGCAAATAGTCAATACGCTTTCACAGTGTCATTGGTTTTCTTAAGTCCGCAGACTTACAAAATGTAGCTGATTTTTTTTATTGCTTCTGACATAACCTTTATGTTGAAACAAATGTAGGTAACTTACATAATTTATGCTAAAAAGCGGACAGCAAGGTGAATAACGTATTTGGCAGGAACCAAACTGCAGTGGAACAGAAACAGTGATGCCCGCGACAGGGCAGAATGGAAATGGCAGCACTGGCTCTGCCTGTAGCAGGTACTCAGAGCTCTCTGGGGACACTTGTCAGTGTGCTTAGCAAAAGAGGTTGCGGGCAGTGACAGGAATGGACTCACCCCAAACATTTGCCGCAGGTCAGGGTCCCGGAAGCGGAAAGGGATGTTGGAAACGTGTAACCGTTTGGGCTGCTGCTTGTCAGAACCACACTCTGGTGGGTGTAGCGTCTGGTTGTCTGTCTGTGCCGCTTCATCTGTGTGCTGGGGGTGAAGGGGAAAATGAAAAGAGATTCCACTGTGATGTCACCACTGTTTTGTGCTTGCTTAAGACCATCACTGCCCCTTGCAAAAGCTGGCTGCAGATATATGGGCCGCCTGCAAGAGTGCTAAGTGTTGGGAGTTAGGTTTGCACGTGGCCATTGGGTTTGAGTATGTGGTGATATGAACTCATGGTGATGGACGGGGAATGGGTGCAGCTGCCAACCTTGAACAGCATACACAGATCAGTGGCATATGCAGATAGTTAAGACTGTGAGCTGCTCAGACCTCACCATTCACAAATTCCCTATCTGGCTTCAGGCCTTAACCTCCCCAACTGCAGAATGGGAATAATGACACTGGCCTACCTTAGAGGGTGTTCTTAGGGATTCTGATCGTTATTACGTTTGTGTTCATGAGAGAGCAGGATAAAGATTGGTGCCGCCACAAAGGTGGGCAGGGACAAACAAAGCGGTCCTGGCTTGACCCCTCTGGGCTTGCATGTGGGTCTGCATGTGTGCAGCCATGTGGGGAGGCAGAGCTCACTCTCCCCGCTGCGCGGTGGCAAGCAGCCAGCCTGGCACTCAGGGACGGAGGAGCGGCTGGGAACTGCTCACTCAGCGCTTCCTCACTGAGCTGCATTACAACCACATCATTGGCACGATGGGATTGGCAAGCAGCCAAGCAGGTAGATTACAAGTGATTAGGGACACAAGGGGAGCCAGGAAACTTAAGCACTGAGCCACAAATGCCCACGGGGCAGCTGGGGCACTGGCATTGCCTCTGTGAACTTGCCTCCTGCTGCACAAGCCCTCGGCTCTATTTCAGGCCCAATTCGCCATCCCTTGTTGTCTCTTATCCCAGATAAGCAAGGAGAAGGGTGAGGGGTTTTGATCTGCTGCTTCAGCCCACCTGCTTGCCTATAATGCTGCCCCTCGGTCTCGAACCAGGACGTTCTGCCTCCCTCCATTTTTTGAGCTGAGACCTCTCCTTGGGCTTTCCAGCTGAGTTTGCGCATGGACTGCAGAGCAACCTGGCTCCATACCTGCATCCTTGCAGATAGAACCACCCTCCTCCTTCCCTACCTGACTGCAGGCTTCCTTGAACTGGCCTGAAAACCCACTCTGCAGGCCCTCTCTGAGCCAGGGCTGGTCCCCTTTCACAGTTTCGCTTTCAAGCACCGAGTGTCTTACCGGTACTGTTTGTGTGCCTGCTATGGATTGCGTGCTGGCGTCGGTCCCCGGCTGTTCGGTGTGGCTCTGTGCTGGCGTGTAGAGAGTCAAGGCATGCTCAGGTACTGTGCTCTGCCCCGAGTAGTCCTGTGCTGGGTGTGGGTGTGGTGGAGGAGCGTATTCTGCAGGGATGCCATTCTGCGGGGGTGGTGGGTACGTTGCTGGAGGGGTAGGGCTGGGCCATTGCGTCAGGCGGAGGCCGTGCGCGTCCTGCGTTGCCCTGCAGAGACATAATAATCAGAATAGATCATTGAGAGCTTCAAACGTATTGGTCAGCGTCATTGCCCTGTGATACTTCATGTGACTATCGGGCAGCAATGAAGCGTTTTATCTCCTATGCACAGTCAGTCATGGTCCCATTCTTCCCTCCCAAATGAAGGCAAGGTCAGGATAATTTTACATAACCTATCCTTATGAAGTCAAATTGAACATGACCGAACCATTCTTCTGTAATGCCTCTTTATTTTAATGTAGTCTCCTTTGATTTTGTTGCTATGTTCATAGTATAATTGTACCACAGAATCATAGAATGGTGGAGTTGGAAGGGACCACGAGGTCTTCTAGTTCAACCTTCTACAGTGCAGGAATCTTTTTGCCAAAATTGAGACTTGAACCCACAACCTTGAGATTAAGAGTCTCATGCTCTATTAACTGAGCTCTTTGCTTTTAGTTGAGGTTCAGTGCACTACATCAATATATTTTCTTATGAGTTTATGGAATAGAAATGAGACAACAACAAGGGTTGGGAAGCAAAGTTAAAAAGTTGTAAATTACAAATTAGCTACTTGCTAATCCAGGGTGGGAAATCTATGACTCCCATCATCCCTAATCTCTGGCCATGATCTGATGGGGGCCAATGTCCAGAGGGCCACAGGTTCCTCACCCTTGTCCTAATCCTTATAATGCCTGCCAAGCTACTCCCTGACACTGAGAAGGTTTTTTCTCTCTCTATGGTTTACTTTCTAAGCTTAGGCTAGAAACTCCAAATTTCTAAAAACAATAGCTGATCGAAACTAGATTCCAGGTTTTCTTCTGGCTATGCTGCAAACACAAGACATGGATACCTGGCCATGGAGTACCACTAGTTTTTGTCCACAAGCTTCCTTCTGGCATTTCAGTTTCCCGGAATATATAAATATTTATATGTGTGGGTGTGTAGATAGATAGATAGATAGATAGAGACATAAAGATGCACATATGTATATGGGTAATTGTGTGATACACACATATATTTAGATAATTGTGAAAAACAATATTTGCTTCTCTGTATTAACAACTCTCTTGGCCAAAGTGCAGCCATCTTTTGACGCATTAAGCTGCAAAGTTCAAAGGTTATGCTTCAAAACTGAGGCTCTCAAGTGCATCCATGTGTACACATAACCATTGGACCATGATGCCAGCTAGTTCCGTAGGTGTTCTGGCAGGCAGAATGGTACAGGAAAATGTGTACATTTCAGCTGTCTCCCCTCTCCAAGCTTCCAGCAGGAATCAAAACAATAAGCCAGATTTCAAAATCGCTAGATTTGTGATATCACTATTGTGGGATGTTAGCATCCAGAATGCACAGGTAAAGGGTTAATTGAAAGAGCTGTAGAACTCTATGACCTTCATACACTCTGTGGCAGTTATGGCAGTTGGTACAGTTATGGCAGTTGGTTGAACCATCTGAACAGTTAGAGCAGCAGGTATGTTGTGTTGTGCTGCTGTCTACCTCAGAGTATGTCAGCCTGTAAATGTTAGTCAGTCTTAGATAAAAATCTACATAAGATGTTTCAGCAACTTAAGTATCATCTACCTGCATTGTATATATTTAGCCGGCAATGACAAGTACACTAAGTAAAAGTTATTTGTTCTTTAAACTTTAAAAGAGAGTGTCTTGTGTAGTTTTTATAGGGGAGGGGAGAGAATGAAAGGGTCAAACGACCCAGGGCTGCCTTCTGATTACCCCGCAAATGGGAACACAAGTCTAATTCCCACAGCTATCACACCTGAAATGGACCTGAAAACCACACCTGAAAAGGATGTGGGTTTTTTCCCCCAAGACAGTGTACAAGCAACAAGCGAAGCATACCTGCTTGGATCAGTTTGCCAGATACTGAGTCAAAAGTGGGGGGGGGGGGAACGACTTACAAATGGACAGGCAACTACCTACAGTTGCTTCCATGCCAGAGCCCTTTAGCACTGCTGAGGCATTGCTTTTCTGTAATTCATTGGAAGTAGAATTAAAACAGAGGTCCCACACAGCACTTAATACAGCATTATATTATAAGCAATGCCCTTCTTCATGGTCTATCCCCCCACCTCCATAATGTTTACAATGTTACTAAGTCCTGCACATGGCCGGGGGGTTAATGATGAAGAGCCTCCCTTAATTGCTCCAGCATCTGCTACTATACTGAGAAATATGCTGGTGTGACTGGCTCCTACATCAAGGGTGCAGAACCCCAGGACTGGGGAACAAATGAGGGCTTCCAGGGCTCTAGCCAGCCCTCGGGACTCTACCTAGGCCCCTCCCCACCCCCCAGGTCACATAACTCACCATCCCTGCTCCTTTCTCAAGTGTTTTTGCCTGGCTGGAAGATTATCCATAAGGATGTGCAACCCTCAAAGGAAAGCAGCCTCCAACAATGCCTTAGATCCATAGCAGGAAATCTGACATGGCAGGTGGAAAGGAATGGCCAACACAGGATGGTTAAAGCTTGCAGAGATGTCCCCTACATACTTCCACTTGACCTCTCTCGGGGATAGAGAAGAAAGGATAAGTAAAACTGTCCATCATTTGGAGAATAGGTGGTCCCCCACTCAAACATACCAGGTTCTGGTTGGCACAGGTACACACACGGCCACAATATCACTTCACTGATTTCAGAGCTGCAAGCTATGGCAGCAGTAGGCAGTGGCGTAGCGTGGGGGGTGCAGGGGGGCCGGCCGCACCGGGCGCAACATCTGGGGTTAGGGCAAATCCACAGGTTAGGGGGCGCAAATCCACGGGTTAGGGGGTGCAAATCCACGGGTTAGGGGGCGCAAATTACTTGCCTTGCCCCGGGTGCTGACAACCCACGCTACGCCACTGGCAGTAGGGACCAGTCAGGAACTGGTTGGATGCAGAAGAATGGTGGGAGGAACCAGCTGGGGAACCCCCAAGGAAAGAAGGCTCAGGACCTGGGTATTGGTAGTGGGACAACAATGAGTGATCAGAAGGAGAAAAGGGAGAAGACTGGGAAGAGGTGGTGGTGGGAGCTGAAGAGGTAACAGTGCTTAGTGAGCGGGGAGAGTTTGTGGCAGAGAGAAGCCCAGAATCAGAAGCTGAAGAGGATGAGGGAGGCAGAGATGGGTTAGGCCTGTGAAGAGGCATGGGTGTCTCTCTCTCCTGCTATGACAACATGCCCTCCTCCTTAGTCTCCCAGAACCAGGAGAGGCATGAAACAGGAGGTTCAAAGGCAAGCACATAGGCACAGTCTCTGATTGCTTGGCAGAAACCCTGGAGAGGAGGGGACTTGGGTGACTGTGGGGAGGCGGGAACCTTTAGTCTTGGCAACTGCTTCAAGGAAGCAAGACCTGATGGAGATGAGTTGCTGTGCTCATTAGGCCTGACACTCCTGTGTAGATCTTGTTTTGCTAATAAAGTGTTAACTCACTTGGCGTAATTTACTGCTGCTCGCTCTTGTCAGGATCCTCTGGCTCCTCCTGGACCTGGTTAACATGGCAGGCCTCCCTATTTGGCTCACAAGGCCAAATCAACCAAGCCTCTCCCATCTGCCTGACAACATATGGCACTGGGGTGGTGGTGGTGGGCAGGAAAAGATGCAGCTGAGCCCAAAGACAGTTTACAGGCACTGCCTGTCAGGTGATGGGCAGCACCTGCAAAGCACTGTGCACACCATTTTGCAACACCCAATGATGAGCTGATCATCAACACTTTGCAGTCTGCTCCTTTGTCTGCATAATTTGATTTCATTGTGACATCTGGTGACTGACAGGTGGGCGGCTCTGCCCATCTATCAAACATGGCCCACCAGACAGATCCAGCTGCCCACAGCTGCTATTCATGTGGAAGCAGCATGAAACACCTTCTGCCTTGTAGCTGTGCCACATGGCAGCCACAAAGTGTCCACCAGCTTGCTACTGGATCTCTCACACTGCGTGGAAGGTCAGCTTCCATGCCACACCAGCCATTAGGTGATCCTAAAAAATGTCTGGAGAATGGTGTGATTACATTGTCCATGCTAAGGGAGCAACCCACACAATGAAGTGGTCTACACAATTGCCATGTTCAGCAGCTACTAATGCTACCATACACACAAACGAACACTCCTCCTAGACACAATCGTGCACAGAGTTCTCTCCCTCTTCTCTCCCTTGCTCAAAAACACACAGTTTCACACCTCACTGCTCTCTTCTCCCCCGCCTCCCATCCGACACCACGTCCCCTGCCTTGTGCTGACAAACAGCCACAAGCCCCTCTGCTAGGAGCCCAAGTTCTGCTCTCAGATGCTTTATAGCCCTCACACAGCAGTGCCTCTCTCTCTCTCTCCGTTTCTCTCTCCCGGGATGAAATACATCTGCAGCTCCTGGAGCCGAGACAGGCTCTTTAATTGTGTGTGTGGTTAATTTATGACAAGGCAAGATCACAGTGGGACAGGCTTGGACAGGCAAGCTTTCCTTGCTTGAACAGAGAAACCTTTCCACCCCATGCCCTGTCTCAAGGCTGCCCTCTTCCTAACCACACCAAAGGATGCTGCAAGGCCCTCTTCACCTGGGACATGGTGGCTGGCGCAAAAAGCACACAGGGAACAACCATTTTTGAATCAGCAAATTACTCAAGGGTTACTCTGCTTCTTCCTGCACCAAGTCAGCACTCAATCATCCTGGGGGAATGGGGAGAAAGGGAGACATGCATCTGTTTTACTGGTACTACAGCATCTTAGGACATATCATGCCAAACACGTTGTTTACTGGAGAGGAAACAGACAATCAGGCTCAAGCTGTTACAGAAAGTAGAGTGATCAGACCCAGGGATCTCAGGATCCTGAGCTAGAAGTCTCTGTTGGGGGAAAAATAGGCTATAGAATTTTTCTTCAAAATGTGTGTATGTGCGTGGAAGTCCTTGTCATGGTCTGGGATTCTGACCCACCTCAGAGTCAAATGAGAACTCTGACCTGGATGATTAGGCCCCTAAAGCGCTCCATTAGGCAGTTTCCAACAGAAGCTTCTGCAGAGGAGGAACCCTAACAGAT